CTCGACTACCTGTTTTCATGAACATTCGTTATCTCGAACGATTTGCTTTTTCCCCTCATTTTGATGATTGGAATTCTCTAAATAAGACATTCACTATCCCGACTGTCCTATACCTCTGGTAATCGCTGTCGAGACTCCTTTTGATGATTCTTAGAGGTAAAATGCTCCTTTTCGTGAACTTGATTAAAATATGTTTTTAAGTTATCGATGTTAATTTGATCTTGTCAATTACACAGAAAGTAGCATGTAAATAATTTCCACGATGCCTTAGAAGGTTCCAAGGAAGAGATGTAGAAACTGCAAGGATAAGCTCAAATTTCCCACGGCATTGCAGATACCGTTGATTTTAACGAATCTTACAAGGAATTGATAACAACTGTAGCTTTGCATATAGAAGATGAAATGGTTGCTGTTACATGGGTAGATTTTTAAAGATGACAACTAAAGAAGATGATGCTAATGATGATGATGATGAAGATGATGCTGATATTTCGTATGATGATGATGATGACGATGATGACGATGATGATGATTTTAGGCCAACAGCAATGCAGGAGGTAGTTTTCCAGTAATGCCTGTTTTTAGAGCACGGGTATTTGCTGCGTTACCATTCTATGAACCTTCGCGATATTGTGTAGCTGGCCATTAAATCATATTTGTTGATGCATCATTAGGCCGATTTTTTGCGTTAGTTGAATTTGGCGCACATTGATAGGCACAGATCTAGCGCAATCTTAATTTAGCGAATGTCAGCTTCTTTAGTGAGGGAAAAATGACTTTCAGTAGCTTGGATCAGGGGAATTTAAATAATCTCAAAGCTAAAGATTTTTTGACCGATCATTCGCTTTCTTGAAAAAAGTTCAGTTTCCCCACAGAGTTCGAGAAAACGGATGTCAACTGAAGTTCTTGGTGGAATGACGTCACACTAAAACTAAAATATGAACTTTCATGAAAATTTTAATCGCTCGTCATCAGGCTCGTCATTCTAGGCGGGCGTTATGAATGTTAACTCCCTTTGAAAGAATTTCCTTTGTGAGGAGTTTTTTGCCATCTAGGGGTGCTTATTCAGCAAGTTCTCAAACTTGTCGGCAAATAAAGGATGGCTCACCCACCCATTTTGTCTGTAAATGGGACCTGGAAACCTCCCTTGAGCACCATAGCTAGTGACAGGCCTGGACGTTATATCTTACAAAATTAATTAAAATTAGCACTGGCCTAGAGGGAGTCAGCCCTCACCCCATAGCTTTCAGGGTCCAGGTTTCAGGGTTCAAAGGCAAGTGAGTGCAACATCAGCTGTGTAAAATTTTACCGAAACAGAATGCAGACAAGAACAAATGGAGAATCCCCTCTTTAAAGGTATGTTGGAACTTCGCAAACATTTCGGAATTTGGTACCCTGGTAAAAATCATGAACATTGTCAACATAAAACCAGACAAAGCTTGATGAATTGCAGTGCGCATATGTCAGAGTATTTTACCAATCTTGCGAATATTTTCTCGCACAAAGCTTACAATAACCCGCTTTTACAAACAGATTGGACAGATCAAACTTAAAAATCCTTACTAGAACTACTTGACTCTAAATCGGATAGTGTAGATATAGACTTTGCGGCGAAACTTTTGCGACAGAGAGGTATAAAGGATTGTACTATCTGCCAGTGGAATTTGAGAGCTCCTTTAGAAAGACATCATCTCGTATGACAAAATACAGTACCTCCAGAAACCAATGATCATTTTTTGGTGTCGGTTAATATCAGAGCCCATTTTATTAATGTGACTTAAAAGAGAGTATTAACACATTGAAAATTAATATTGGCTTCAAATAATAGTTTGAAAAGCTTTTATTGCTGAATTGCAAAGGATAAAATGTTAGTTAACCTTTTCTCGTCTGTATTACCTGAAATATCTAGAAATCTTTCTTTACGAATTTCTTCATTTGCACTGAATTCTACTAGTCTCCCGACTCAGTATTTTTACAAAAGCATTTCTCCCTAGCAAGAAGACATAGTAAGAATTTTAAGAAGTTTTTAACATACGTTATCAGAATCTTGTGTTCCATTTTGATTTTTGCGATCCATAGCAGCTTTTCGCTTTTTATCCTCCATCTTATCCACACTATGTCGAAAGAAGCAGTGAGATCGTGGGATCCTTGTTTAAGCTATTTAACTAGCCACGTACCAATCATTCTTTGAGGGTTTCTGCTTTAAAGGAAGTCTTACTGGCGTGCCACCCAAAGATCTTCCAATCAATTGGCTTCAAAGGTTTTAGCTATCTGGCATTCCAGTGCATGTGTTAATGCGGAGGAGACAAGCAATCTGTTTTTTCTTTAAGGGCTTAGAAGTTTTGAAGCACAGCTTTGCGTAGTCATCGTTCGAATCGGGGAAGTTTTTTATAATGGAAGCAGGGTATCTTTTATCATAAAGGGTGGGGCAACATCTTTACTAGGCCAAAGCTGCAGCCCCAACTCTGAAAATAAAGCTATAGTATCCAGTCAAAAATCCTTTAAAATGTTCTGCATTGAAAAATTTGTACTTTTCCTCTAAGCAGCGGTATTCAATTATCGTTTTAGCATTTAATTTTTGCAGTGAAAGGCCTGTGAAAGTTTTGATGCTGATAGAGATAGAACTCGCTTTCATTACTTTGGAATATAACCTCGTTATCATATCTTGCTTGTAGTTCTGTTTGATATCAGCACAAAGATTGAACTTCAAAGGGAAGTTAGAAGTTGCCCTACAAATTCTCCTGATATCTGCCATAGGATCCTATTTTTCTTTTAATTGAAAGTTAAGGCAGCGAATCAGATAGAATGAATTTTCAAAGGAAGGAAACCAACTCTGCGACATTACCTTAGTTCTTAGAGGGGATATAGAAATTTAAACTCTGTAACATAAGGGTATATAAAAACAATTGCAAGGTTCAAGGTAACTGAAATCATAGCTGATACGTATCAAAAATGTGTCATCAATATAGAACTGAGTTTTGTTGCAATTATCTTCCATCATTGCGACAGCTGGGTGCAAAGCAAAATATGGCAGTTTTAAAATACGTAGGAAACTGGCATTTTCTTGTAAAATAACAAAGGAAACAGAAAGGAAAGGAAGGACGAAATCGGTTATAAACAAACATCGTGTACGTAGTTTCTGTTAACGGATTTTTCATTTTTTTGTGGCGTCAATTCTGTATAAAGCTAGGAGTGAGTATTATTAAGGACAAAGTTTCAAGCTGCTTGTAAAAGGAAGCTAAAGACTTGTATACCATATTTTCATCTCCACCTTGTAAACTCACCCATTTGGTCAGAGAATGGCATAAGTTGCAAATCTCCCAGCATGACTTTAGGTATTAGCCATGCAACCTGGATCTGCTTTGGATTTGTGACACCAACAGATGTCAGTGACAGCAGAGAAGGTGTTAGAGACAGTCAATGTACAAGTTTTGCTCGGGAGGAGTGGAATCGAAGCATTTTATCTTTGTCTTGCCACACGCACAAGCCTGCCATGAAAAGTAGCCTATCTACTTCAAGATGGACATGAAGTCTTTAAGTCCTTTTTTCACAATAGGTTTAACAATACATGACATTTGTCCAAAGTAACTGAGGCCTTTTATAAAAAGTTTCAAACACTATAAAACGATGCATGGAACTCTCCCTAAGTTATTTTCATATATCAAAATATACAGATAGGTGGCTGCACTGTAGTGTGTGAATTATGCCTCTAGTTTTTTTAAAACAGATATTGATCGTACTCGTTTATCGTGTAAAAGAACCCATGTAAAAGAAGAATCAGTTTTTTCGCAGCATGTTCGATTCTATGCTAGTAATGTTTTAACCTTTTCCTTCATTTCAAATGGTGTTTGGAAATTTAGCCAGTTTTATCCGCGACCCTAATTACCAACCCTCATATCTCCTGGTTTCACGGTATTGAAAAGCAGCTTTTTATTACTTTCGAACTTAAAATGATGCAAAATCCCAAATGATAAGAGGGCTAAGATTTCAAGCAAAATCCAAAGTAAAGACATAAACAAAGAATGGAAAGGAAGATATAAACTGGACCTTTGAAGTAGACCGCCAGTATACATAGCTATCTTGCCGAGAATGAACTTCGAAATCGGAATGGCTTAAATTCGTAACAGATGTTAAAGCACTTTATTAAAGCTAATACCTCTCAAAAAGCCGGAAAAGCATGCAGCTAAAAATACTGTTGCCTTTATTCAGATCATACTAAAAAATACTTGATTAATCCACGATCACCGACCTAGGACCTTTAAGGCCTAGGACCAGGGACATACGAGACATTCTTCGGAGTTGATGTCTCTCGCTCGCACGATCGGAGCCTTCTTTGACCACAAGAATATTTGTCTTAATCAAGAATTAACCAAAGCCTCTGCTGACGTATTGTATAGTATGTCTCGCTTAAAGTGCCCCGTTCGCGACAACGTAAAGAGACAAAAGTTCCTCGTAATTTTTTCTACACTGCTCTGTTGCTTTTGCTAATCCTCAAAGGCAGAATTAGTTGATGGTAATTGATTCATTCCACATTTGAGTTTGTGTCTTGTCAAACATCAAACTCAAGTCCCGCCAATTTCGCCTGTTGTACCCTTTTAAAAGTCACTGATTAAATCAAAGTACGTTCTGATTATTGAGACCTTTAGTCTATACCCATGCCTGTGCTTCCCGAAACTGAAACTGGGAAAGAGGTTATGAAACATGTGCCCAGCGCGGAGAAGCGGAGGAGCGTCATCTTCTATTTCCTCGTTCGAATTTTTGAGGCTCTGGTAACCAGGGTGCCAGCGCGGAGAAGCTTAAGCGTCCCCTTGTTTAACACAGCGCGGATCTCAACTTCTTGTTTATGTATATAATTTCAATCCTAAAAAATTGGTTTAAAAGAAACATTAATCTTTTCAAATGTGTACCTGCCTCGTTTCTGGAAAATATTCTGAGGCTCGCATACTTAAGATATCATTCAGAATAGAAATGTATAAACATATTTGTGACATGTGACTCACAATGCCTCCTTCCTTTTTTGAGACAGGGGATTTAGGTAATGGGTGATTGATTGCGTCATAGTCGAATTCTCCAGAGAACGGCCTAGAACGCCGCTTGCCACTTGCTCTTCTCAAGGGTGATGGGATGTTTTCTTCGTCTGCGCTGGCCGCTGATCCATTAGCATGCCGATGCCCTGCCTGTCCTGTAGCTGAATTTAGGCCAGACAAATTCCTACTTTGCCTCATTCTGATCCTTCTTTACCCGCGTAAAGATCTTCTGAAACGAGATTATATCAACTTTTATTTCATGACTGGATAGATCTTCGATTCTTATGGGTGGAGTCAAAGCTTAATGCGTCTATTAAGACGATAAACATATTTTCAAGGGTGGAGTCTACCTTTAACCATAGTCCCAACAGCTCAAATTTAGTACTGATTTATTCCATTCTTATTAAGTCCAACAATTTAACAATGTAGCGGATTTGAAATGTCATTGCAATTTTAACGTAGCTGCCCCCATACTGGCTGCATCTCGAACTTTAAAGATGAGGAGATGTAGATTAGAAACATTCAGTTATCGCAGTTTTCGAAAACACATCTACTAAAAAGCGCAGGTCTCCTGTTCCCCTCCTGGCCCACCCTTTGCGCTCTTGTGCAATACAGTACATTTCCAGCCTGCTCAATTATATTGAGAGGTGTTTTTTGCAGCGATTGTAGGGAGGTCTACAAAAGGAGCGTCTCTCTTGGATCTCTGTAACTGAAAACAAAATCCTGAGAGATGCAATCTGATTCAAAAAATCACTGTAAGGTACCAAAGATATTTGAGTTGGAATTGTGAAATGAAAAAGACTGGTTTTCGTGCTCCCTTCAATTTCCGAACAAATACTCTATAGCACCTTAGTAGCTTTTGGCCCTTGTATCAAGATAACTCAGTAGCTATTTTCAATTACAGGCTGCTTCTTCGAAGGATTTATCACCGACTTTTTTAATCTCCTTTTCAAACCAGCTGACTGTTTTTGGCTTTTACAAGCATCGTTGTCCTGTTATATTAGGCCCTCATCTTCAAATTACCCATACTCCTTTATGCTTCTGCTGTTTTACCCTGTGACTAACTAAAGGCGATAAAAGCCAAATGAAATTGAGTTAGTAGATACATATTTCATTATGAGAGGGATACTGAATACGATACTGTTTGCCTTTGGATACTCTAATAAAACCTATTGTTTATGAAATAAATTTTAATTTGATTTTAAAATTAGACGATTAATATTAATTTTTTATTCAGTGGTTTCTTGAATTATCAAAGTCTAGAGCAAATTATAGGCATAGATTGTGGCTAAAGAGAGTATCTTCAGACATAAAGAAGATTATATCCTCAGGAAGAAAAATGATAAAAACTTCAATTTGTCTTAATCAAAACATCAGCACCACAATAGAACTTCGTTGAATTATTGAAAACCATGGAAGGATAGCAGCTGTTTGAAATTTCATATACACTGCAAGTTTTGTCATCTAGTCTGCAAGTTTCTCGTTATCTAGTCTGCAAAACTCGCCATCCACACTACAAGTTTTGCCATTGACACTGCAAGTTTTGCCATTTTCTCTGCAGGTCTCTCTATCAATACAATAAGTTCCGCCATCCACACTACAAGTTTCATCATCTAGTCTGCAGGATTACCCATCTAGTCTGCAAGATTCGCCATCTAGTCTGCAAGATTCGCCATCTACACTACAAGTTTCATCATCTAGTCTGCAGGATTCGCCATCTAGTCTGCCAGATTCACCATCTTGTCTGCAAGATTCACCATCTAGTCTGCAGGATTCGCCATCTACATTGTATGTTTCGTCAGCTACACTGCAAGCTTTGCCCTTTTCTCTGCAGGTCTCTCCATCGATACAATAGGTTCTGCCATCCAAACTACAAGTTTCACCATCTAGTCTGCAAGTTTCGTCATCAAGTCTGCAGGATTTGCCATCTAGTATGCAAGATTCGCCATCTAGTATGCAAGATTCGCCATCTACACTACAAGTTTCGCCATCTAGATTATATGTTTTGTCATCTACACTGCAACTTTTGCCATTTTCTCTGCAGGTCTCTCCATCAATGCAATACACTACAAATTTCACCATCTACACCACAAGTTTCACCATCTAGACTAGAAGTTCCCCAAAGTTTCGCTTTTTTCTCTGCAAGCTTTTCAATCGATACAATAAGATTTCCCATCTGATCTACCTGCTTCGCAGTCTAATATGTTATTATGATTGTGATATTCACAGTCCTGTTCTCTGATGTGCCCCGATGTTTATAAGCCATCAAAAGCACGGTGAAATCTTTATGTTACAATAGCTCGGTAAAATACCTTATTATGTTACAATCTATATGATTCAATAATTGTCCATTGCAGTGGGAAAGTTTGGTGCACTCGTTTAAACACTAACACGATTGGTAACCATTTGAGCCTAGACTATACATGTCTAGAGTTTTTATTTTTTATGAAAGGACTTTCATAAAATAAGGACAAATACCTGTTAATGATATACATAAATATATACCCTCGGCCAAATCAAATATTATGTTATTACTAAGTTTGATGTGCGCCACTAATTTTTCTATTGTCATTTTCGATCTATTTGAAAGTAGAATCCGCCAAGTTCGATGAACAATTGGTGTAAGTTTTCTGGATATCAAATGAAAAAAATAAAGAAAGGCTGAATAGTTTTCTGGACACACTGCAAGCTTCTTAATTGAGCTAATCTGCTTCCAAAAATGTTGATAGGCCTACCAGGGCTAGTGAACAAAGCCTCTGCGATTCAGAATTGCACTGCTTAAATTTCTGGTTGAATACATTTTAAATCAAGAACAATTTAAAATTCCAAATAAAAGAACAAATTAAGAATAATTCAGCCACAGATTTTCGAAAAAGTTAAGAACAGCCAGCCTGAACTTTAGTTGTTTCGCTGTAATTTAGTTGTTCTTATCGAAAAAGAGTATATGCTACGATGAAGTAACACCCATCAGCCCCAGTTTGTCAAAGATTTTACCTACATTGTCTTTCTCCTCATTATGAACAAAGTGGGAAGAAAACAAGCAAAATTCTACACCCTTTCATGTTACCCGAAAAACCTAAATAGAACAATCGCATTGACGTATCTAGGTGACAGAACCGTCATATTCTACCAATGTCGTACCTTGCATCAAGACGCTTAAAATATCGAAAAGTATTTCTTTAGGATTTGTTACAGCTATTACGTAATCTAGAACAGGTGCAGATGAAGAAAAATGCAGATCAATTTAAAAACTTATAAAAAGATACCAAGAAACAAAATTGGGCCTTATTTGCAAAAAAACAAGAGGACAGAGGTTGAGCACTGCTTAGCATTTTAAATAAGATTATTTTAACTTAGAATTGCTAAGCGGCTATGCATCTGTTATTATCATCAAATTTCTTGGAAATGTTCTCTTTATTATGGAAATGTTTTTATTGATCATGAACAAGCTATTTTGGTTGTCGATACTAGATATGTGGGTGGTTAAGTATTGTAACCAGCCGAACACATTTTTTTCCGTTTAAGTCCTGAATTAACTTGCACTTCTTTTCAATGTGAGTGTGTTTAAATGATTTTTTATTGATCTGTCATTCACATAGACATGACCATGACTGTAGTCCAACTGGAGAGACCTGTTGTAGCGGTTTTCCACAAAATAGTACAAAACGTATAGAAAATATTTATAATAATTGTTACCAAAGTTAAAAAAAATATGAAATATATTATGAGCCCATTTTGTTGTCGAAAGGCATATTTTTGGAATGGCAAATTCAAATTATATCGAAAAATTCTCGCAAAACCATCCTAGGTTTTTAGTTAAACTGTTTAAGAGTCTTCGTTTAACTCGCCATTTCACTTGAATACCCACAATATAGCTTGAATAATCAAAGTTCTAATTGCATAACTAAAAATAATCAATTCTGTACAGAATATATAGATACTTCTGTGGCTCCAACTCCACATTATTATTTTAAACAAATTAAAGTTCTGCTAAGAATTTTTTCGAATTTCATTAGACTTGTATGATTACAATATCAAATTTATATATTGCTGGAATCAAGCAACAGGAACATCTAATGTTTGTAATTTTCAAATACATTTTTGGTACCGCAACATATGTTTCCATTATTTCGCACCATCTTCAAAGTTTATAATTTTGTTATTCTTAAATCTTTGTAAAAATGCAATCTCTTGAGCAAATAAACCAGCATATTTTCGTAGCAGGTTATTTCGCAAAAAACTAAGGTGTGTCTGCCAAACGATAAGTTGATCAATAGGCTCTGCCACATTTCCATATAACGAGATCGATTGTTTCTAGTACGATCATCCAAGCATTCAAGTCAATCGTTGCTATGTAAGACTCTTGTAGCTAGCTTAGCAATAGATTGCTGTCATATGATGTCTGGCCCATGTTTTACTGCATTGACATCATCTAATGGTGTTATAGGCATTGTTTGATACACATAACACAATTTACTCTTATAATCATACTCCTTTTTTCATACTATCAGGCAATAAGTGTCCATAAGAATGCTTGGGAAAAGCCCTTTAGCCTTGACAGCAAAACCAAGGCAGAGTTAGGGCGCAGTTTTTTTTGTGTAAATCGCCTACTTCACGATTCTCGACCATATGACCAAACAGTCCTTAGAACGCCCTGCTACTGGAGCTTTCTTTTGAAAAATAAAAGAGCGGTCCGCAAAACATCTACTCCAAAACAAACTCCTTAGTAAGTTAGTTATTATTGCTAACTGATAGCAATCAATTAGAAAGTACTGAATCTCTGATAAACAACTTTGTTTTGAGGGGCATAGAAGGATGCTATTGCCAATCCAGTAGAGACAATGCAGTTTGAGTTTTGGCAGGCATTGTACCAAGTACCAAATGTAGGTAACTGTAACCCTTAATTTATTTTCTTAAGCTTCTTTTAAGGCAAACGACCATGCGAGTAATTTTCGGATTATGCCTTCTAGACTAATGCATTTAACTTAATGATATCAACACTTACACCACAACAATGGGCAATATATATTCCTCGGTTTGGCTTTAAAAATAGATGGACATCCAGACAGAAATCCCTCGATAACTTATTCTAGCACTGATCCAATTACCCCTGAACCTTGCAATCGAGTAGCCACTAATTTCTAACTGTAAACATTAAATTACAGAAAACCACCAAGAATGGTCTTCGAAGCTTACCCATAGATGCTCGGTCAGTATGAAAACTTTAATGCATCAACTGGCTTTGAGTTGCTTATCAGTTGTTTTAGATTCTTTGTAGATGATTCTAGTTCCTTTCAAACAATTCTTGATATCAAAACACCTATGCTGTTCATGTCATGTTCTCGAATTATAAGAATCCGAAGCAGAGAATTACCTGCTGATGATGTCATATGTTGATTCAGGCAACATCATTGCTAGTAACTGTTGCAGGGCTAATTCTTTATGCTCAAAATATCTCACCTCAATACATATTTTATAATCCATGCCATTGTAGGTAAGTTTAGGAATACTTAGTTTAGCTATTGAAAGATTTGTGCTTGATATTAAATTCGGTAAATTCGGTAGCATAATCAAGCAAAATATTTGAAAATCCAATTTTAACAAAAGTTTGAAAATATAGCATAGTCAATGCAGGTTTAATGCTGTCTATTTAGGTGAATAATTTGAGGAATGTTCCAATGCTTGTGAAAGTTTTCACTTTTTTCTAGCAGTAATGAGCTATTCCTCTTTACACCTCTTTCCGCCTGAGAAATGTTCCCCTGAATCCGCAAGGTCAAAACCAAGTTCCCCTAAGGGTTAAGCATCGGCTAGGCCCATGGCCAAAATGTACTTTGCCATAAAATTTTCCCCCTTCCCCAACATTTCTCATCGAAAATCTATCTATCTAATCGACAACTCAAAACCAGTTTCCATAGTTTCCATACTGTTTCCATACAACTGCAGTTTGCTACCAAGACTAATCTATCTGTCAGTGACTCATTCCGAACCTTCAAAGAAACTACAGATTTACAGCAAAGATCTTTCTAGGTTATAAATTTCATGATTGCCTTTGAAGCTAGAAGGTAGTAGGGATGGGTGCATTCACGGACACGCAAGAACCGTGAAGATGTACCTCAGAGAACCCAAAAAACTCATTGTAAGTTGCTTTGCATAGTTTCGTATATACAACAGATACTTGCTATATATCGGCTTTTGAATGCCTTGCTTATAGATACGGGATTCTGCAACACGTATATTTTTAAACTCTTTCTGAACTAATCACAGTAGCTTTTTGAGCTCTCGTGTTGCTTACCAAACAGTCTGAAAATATGTTTCTAGCAACGAACCAAGCATGGGATTTTGCAATTAACATGCAGGGTTTTGTATTTGCATATGATAGCATATAACAGCTTGGCGATTATCAGGTAAAGTTCTTGGAATATATTACTAAGATTATCTAAGCAAGTATCAAGCTGCATATTCTTTGTCGTTGTTGTTTTGTAATGAAGACAGAGTAATGTAAGTCAAGGTGCACTGTATTGGATGCTGAGGCGAGCAATAACTGCACAGTTTGTGCTTTTATATTTCAAGGATACATAGGACCTGCAGTAAATAGACGCTACTTTCTAGAATATTAAATCGCCATGCATACCGAGGGAATTTCAAAATCTATGTGATAGTTAAAGGCAAAATAGGCAAAATCATAGAGGATTGCGTAAAATTGCAAAAGGAATAAGCTTAGTTAGTTGGATATGGACTTACCAAATATTCCTTGCTCGTCTTTCTTTTGTCAATTTACTAGGCTATACTGCTTGTGTTCTAATTAAAAATTCGAGAGTATTTCAAATACGACAATACCTGCAGGTAAATTCTTTGTTTTTAAATAAGCCCGGGGGTCTTCTTGTTCTTACTTGATATGCAGGTAATAAGGAGATCGAGCCTTCACGTTGTGCAGGAGAATCTTCTGAAGATGTCCTTTCTTAGTCAGGGTCTCATTGCCACCGGCTATGAGACATTCCTAGTCGCTGTGACGAAGTGAAAGAAAGAATTCACAAGTTATTGATGATGCATTAAAATTGTTGATTGTTGTCAATTTCGGTGGGTGACGTCTGGAGAATGGAATTGACAATCATTGGTTACCATGTTGATAATCTCATTTTTGGGTGCTTGGGAATGAAAACTACATGACCAACGCGTTGTACTCATAGAAACAAAATTACTTCAATCGCTCTAAGAAAAGATACAAAATTCTTTAATTTTCTATCACCGTTTCTCTCTTTACAATTGCATTACTGATAAATCTTGGGCATAAAACCATACTAGAGATAGCCAACACTGTCACAGCGAAAGATTTCTCACGGACAAATTTTTTGGCACTATGTTTGACATCAAGGGAGCAGTCAGCAGAAAGGGATGTATCCCAAAAAGCATACAAATATAGCAGTTAATTTGAGAACAGTTTAATTCGATATTTGTTCAATCTTTGCTACCAAGCGTTTTCTTCATTTTGTGATACTTTTAAAAAAGATTTTAGGGGAAAGGTCTGTCTGATTTATTTCAATGACGTTTGATCTTGGTAGAATTCATGATACAAAATTAACTGCGGTAACCCAACATAATGAGAAATCATGCTACATTTTTGTATTGCAAAAATAAACAAAATTGCAAATATCTTAAGTTTGAAGACTGAAGTAACGTAGTAAGAAATTAGCTCACAGTTTTTCATATACAATTTTTCAAAAAACAAAGTGTTTGAGCATTGTTTAATGCAGTGCTGGAATTAATACTTTCGCATTCTAGTGCCTCTCTCCTTTCATGGTTATGTCTCTTAAATTGCAAGCTCAATGAAAAAGAGTTTAACACGTTTGTACTAGCATTCAAGTCTTTCTAGATGTCACGATTGCTTCTAAAGCTCTCATAAAAGGCCGTGAATGTATCCCTGTCATTGTAAACGAACATTTCAAATCCAGTTGTCGCGAATTTTTACAGTTTTTAGTAATTTCAATTCAATTCAACTCAATTCAATTCAATTTCATTGACAATATCATACCAAGCAATGAATAATAACATCATACCAATCAATACAATGGACAAAGGAAGAGAAAGGTTTTCCCACTAAAGGTATTCCTCCTATAATCTCCAAAACTATAAATGACAATCAAACCAAACTATCACAAGGTGTTCCTTAGTCAAAGACAAATCGAATTTTTGTGGCTCTGGCACCCAGGTTTTCAGTCTAAGAAATTGCTCTGTAAATCTTTGAGTGAATTTTCACCAACTCTATAAGTAGCTAGTTTTGTAATTAGTAGATTTATGGGGAGGCTTTCGAAGGCTTTGGATAAATCAATGAGTACAGCTGCAGTGTGTTTCTTAGCTTCTAGACTAGTTTTCATGATTTTATCAAAGCATGCTTAGATGAAAAATTTTTCTGTAGGCACATAAAAAGTAAGAAAAGTTCATATTGAGAAACAGAAACATTTGGAGTCCTATATTTTTTTCAGATTTTTGAGAGAGCTGTTGGGACACAAAAAGAAAAGGAAAGATTTTGGAACCTAGGAATTTTCTTGATTTTTCAATAAAAACAAACTGAAAACTAATTTTGCTGAAACAATGAAAAATTCATTTGCATGGATAATTGAGATTGAAACTTCACTTTTCAATCAATAGATTTTTGAATAGTAAATTTTTTTTCACAGAAAAGAGAATTTGAACAGTTGGGAATTGACACAATAGAACCATCAGATAATTTTTTAAGAAATGTTCACTACTGGGGAAAATTTGCCAAAAGGGCCCAAAGAGAAATCGGTGAGGCGTTTATTTGAAAACATAGAAAATAGACAAGCACAGCTAAGGGAAAACCTAAGAAAAAAAACAGTGTAATGCCAACCTCAGCCAGTTTGAGCTGAATGCTGTCCAGGCCCGTCGGAACCGGGGGGCTGAGGGGGCTGGGTCCCCCCCAATAATTGTCAACCTGTAGTATGTTTCCTTTATAACAGTGTACTAAATGAAAAGGAAAACAATGGGCAGCCCCCCCCCCCCCAATATGAATTTCGTTCTGACGGCACTGCTGTCACACAATCTTAAACCGTTAAGAGATCCAGCTACCCTGGGTACCAAAGCTACATAAATTCGAGCAACTGGACCTACAATCAGCACAAAAGACTGGAGCCAGAGCTGAAGGAGCGTCTATCTGAGAAGAAAGGTGAGCCCAGAGCCACTTTTCATTCTTCTCAGGAAGACGCTCCTCCGCTTCCCATTCTTGTCTTCTATTTCTGTGGTCAAATTTATGTGGCTTTGGTACCCAGGGTAGAATCCAGTTTGTTGTTTGAGTAGTATGGCTAAATAAAAGGAGCACATGTCCAATGAAATATACTGTTTTATAGGTGTGTATATAATAAAAATATGTGTGAACAATATTTTGGTGGTACAAAACCTGAAATGGTTTTGTAAAAGCAAACATTTTGAGTCATACTTGAGCTTTCTTCTGACACTCTTCAGAGTACAAAATATCAAGACATGGATCGAAAAATCTACGCTAGGAAATATATATACCCAGTTGTGGATTGAAATATGAGTTCATTTTCACCTTAGGATTCCATTGGTAACATTTTGACCTCAACAGTCATGTGCTCGCATTTTTTGATTGGCTTATTTCGATCTACAACTGGGTATATATATTCCTTATGTGAGAGTGCGATACAATAGGGCTAGGCCATACAATATCAATCTAATTCATGAATTGCAAAAAAAATACATGAAAACACAAAGCCAAGAAATACAGAAAATGCCATTTAAAAGTCGATTTTAGAATAATAATAATAGAGGTCAGTGGAAATCGCCAGGGCCCAAACTACTGGGGTAATTCTGTGATTGTGACTCTCACTACTGGGGAAGGCATTGGAAGTTTCCCCAGTAGTTACGCTGTTAAAAAATGTTCTGAGAACAATCTCGGAGATCGCGACGCCATGACACAAGTGGGGCGAAAACCGCAATAAATACAATGGCGGCCTAAATCATCGAGATTTTAAATTCCTGTGGCTCAAACAAGGTCCATTGTTAATCAATGAAACTCAGGTTTTCATTCTAATAGTATTTTCTTTTCTAAAAAAGTTTAACGGTCAAAAAGAAGAGCTGCCTATAGCCACCATGACTTTTCACCACCACCACGACTTTTAAGATTTGCCCCACCTGAAGGATAGGAACTTGGTAAAAAACAATAGAATTCCATCATGGTGTCGCGAACAGTCCTAGGATTCTCAATATCGAGAGAAAAATGGGAATTAATCGTTTGATTCGAGTTAATACCCGCGGGGAAAGTGCGCAGATTCCCCTTTTCTAGAATCGGGTGGTCCCACACGTATATCCTTAGTAGGCTGTGGATATCATGTTACCTTAGCTATTTGCTAATCACCTTGTGGTATTTTCTTGGTGGTCTTTTCCTGGCATATTTGTTTAAGTACAGCGATGCAGCTAGGGTCATGTCATATTTTGCAGCAAGACTCACGCGTTGTTTGTACGCGTTTTCCCCTCCCATCCCTGTCCCCTTTTACTCACTTCTCCTCCTGCTTATATCCCGTTACATACTTCCTTCTGCCTTCTCCTGTCTCACTTCTTCTCACACAGTCATTCGATTGTGTGACAGGTGTATCAGTCTGATTATCGGGGTAAAAGACTGAGGCAGTTTTTTCCCTGGAATCAAACACCGACCATAAAATTGCGTCATTGCTCAGGCAAGACAAGGACTGATGCACCAAAAGCCCAAAATGTTTTTCCTGACATTAGGGTGTTGTTTACCATAACTAAGGGGCCCCCGCGATGGAATTGAATCTTATAAAGATAAACTTCTAAATATCTGAAGCATTATAAAACTTTTAAACTCATCTTTTGTTAGTGCTGGAGAGTGAAGACACATCTATGACTAATGAATCAACAATGAACAAGAAAGTCCACCCGGAATTATTATAGCTGAGAAGTATTTTAAATATTTATGGACAATTAGGCTTGAATGAAAGCGTTGTTTTCTGTGGGGTTTTGCAAAGAATCTTCATCATACAAAAATATTTCTTTGACTTTAGAAGTAGATCATTTGCATTTTGAAGAAAATCGTTGTTAGGTTATTTTTTAAAAAAGAATGTGTAGAAATACTTGGCAAATACTTTAGTGATAAAATGAATTTAAAGAATCTATAGAAAAATAAAGCAATGCTTTTTCAAAATTTGAAAATGCTAGGGTTACTTACAGGGCTTGATCTTAAATGTATGATATATGTTACTTTAGAATTTATTAAACAGATTTACAATTTCAATTGCAAAGTAAACATTTAATTTCCATGGATAGAAGTTACAAAAAGAAAGCAATATTTCTAGAAATATAAGCGAAAATAAACGTAATCAAGAGAATAATAGGATTACTGCCTACAAATTTTCACCTCTTTTGTGTATCGCTTTGAACAAAAAAAGTGATACTTGATGCTTGCAAACATAAATGCTAACTTGAATATGAAAGCTCATGTTAAAGTTGCATCGTAATGGCCAAAGAAAAGTTTTTTCGAAATTTCTTTGTAACAGCAGTCGAAGTTATGTATTTTCTAGATGTGAGTTTTTTGGCCAGAGAAATATCATGGTCTCTGACTCTCTCTGCTATCTATTTAGAGGGAAGTCTATGTTCGAAAGGTTGGGTTACATGGATGATCTATTTCCTCCGCTGGGTGACTCTTGTAATCACATCGAATACGTTTACCCGGACTTTGCTTAGGATAATCCTTAGAAATGTCGCCTCAGATACTCCTCGGAAAAGTCGGATCGATTAATCTTTATTGAAATCGGATCGGATATCCATTAGTTAAGTCGAATCGGATCATATTTAGTTGTTCTCTTTATGCAAATTTATTAAGCCACTTTCAAAGATTGCAGCAGACCTAAGATAATGATTAAGGTAAACAGAATTTTTATCCAGAGGCGGGTCGAAAATAACATGAGACAAGTTCCTGAAATGTACCATATGCATGAAATTATAGCTTGAAATTTTCTTGAACCTCTTCGAGAGTGCAAATTTTTTTTAATTTGGGCGCTGCTGTTGTTTATAAGAAAGATCTACGACCCATTTTCACGACATTCCTTACCAGTTTAAAGTCTTGTTAAAGAGTGGAAAACCGTGGCTGTAGAGGAAAGTGAAAATCGAGAGAGAGAGCATGGGAAAATAAAACAGGGAGCAGACATCAAAACCTTGAGCTCCTGGGATAAAGGAACCGGAGACCATGCCCTCCCTACTTTTTTTGCACTCATGATACATGGAAACACATGATGGCATCGAATGACACAAGAGAACAAAATTGAAGACAGAAAGAAACAAGAGAATATAGATAATTCGCATTAATGAAATTAGATAGACCTAATGTTGAAATAGGACTGAGTCTAAAGGGCATGATCTGGAGTGAAGGAGCATAAGCCAAGGAGATTCCTAGAATCATGTGGTAGTCAGATGCATATGCTCCCCACCCAGTTTCAATCAAATAAGTAGGCATGTTGGGGCCAATTTTCAACCCCAAAAGACTTTTAATCTCCTGTTATAGTTCTAGTATAGGTCATAGCTACCTGGGCATTCATATGTTAGCCTCGGGTCACTCTAGAATGCCACTGAATTAACAGTTGAACAACGGTTTTCAAAAGATTGCAAGCGCTCCTAAAAACACGTTTCAAAATCCATGATAAGTGAACTAGAAGTAAGATCCCTTACCAGCCGAAATAAAAGAAAGGAACTAAGAGAAAGACTTATAAAAGTGAGATTCTTACTTTGGTACGTACCTCCACAAGGAAAGGTTCCCTTGCTTTATCTCCCTTTTTCGATTTCTACTTCCTTTATATTCTGTGACTAAAATGTTGCATATGTGTCAGAAAATGCTTTTTGCAGGTCTTAAATGTGCTGCAACCAGGAAATCCACATGGGCTAAAAGAGTTGATTTGTCCATTGAAAGCTCGTGAATTTTAGAATAAAATGATTATATAGGAGATGAGAGTAGGCAAACATGGAGAAAACTTGCCGGGGCATGCGATGTTTGGTTAAGGGTAACAAGTTCAAAGAACTCGGCTTTTCCTGATTCAGAAATACAAACAGTGTAAACATACACCAAAAATGTGTCGAGTAGATGTAACGTCATAAAAAGTACGTTTCTAGAGGTTTTGACTCATGGCCACATATCCTTGAAGGTCTCCATGAAAAAGAGCGACATCCGTTACAATAAATTGCAGTTGCGAAATCAATCGGTTGAGATATGTTTAATGAAAATTTGAATCCTTCTAAAGAATTACTGTTATTCTGGCTTGGTTTATGTGATTAAAATCGATACTGCAGTGAATTGAATGAAGAACATCGGTGCTCATGCGGCTCAATGCAACAAATTTCAATGCAGTAGAAACCCGCATAAAAGAACCTGTTTTTATAAGAACATTGAAGCTGAAATTTAACCTTTAAAACCCCATAATCAAGAACTCTAAAGAGGTTGAAATTTGGAAAGGTTCTTATATATATATTTGAAAGAAAAAGTGACTTTTAGCGTAAATCAGGTTATGGTATGTTGCATTCTAATTGGAAAATCTAACAACACAAATTTATTTGATTGGTTGAAATTCAACATAAAAAAGCTGGTTTAAGTGTGTCCATTAGAATTCTTGTGGTGGAAAACATTGTTAATGTATGCAAGGCCTGTAGGTATATAAGAGCCTTCTTAAGAACCTTTTAGACTAGAATTTAGAATAGCAGCCTGTTAATTAAGAACCTATTTAGGCTGCCAGACAAGAACCTAGGCTCTAAAAGGTTCTAAAACCTAGTATTCTAGAAATATATCCTTCTAACGCTATCATTTTGCATTGTTTACTATTCTTTGTATTAATGTTATCTTGCATTTGTATTGCTTACTTAAATTTTGTTGTAGGGTCTTAATTAGCTTCAAATAAGTTACATTTTAGCAGCCTACTGTGAACAAATCGATAATTATAGTAACAAATAATCGCTTGAAAGCCCTATGGGATGAAAACATTTACCTTCTTATCAACTTCATCTTGGAAACAAACAAATGATTGGGCAAAAATCTTGATCTTACGATGAGTAGACAAGAGAGGTCAGAGAAAATAGCCAAACGTCAGTGTTTCATTGTCAATGACTTATAACTTGCATTTTTGCTTAACTTTCATTTAGCGTGATCTCCAAACTGTGAAAGAATTTCTATTTTCTGAAAATTTTCTCCAAATGGAGGTTTGCATAGAGTCTGCTCCAAAATATTTGAACTGATGCAATATATAGTTATACCCAAAGCCAACAATCGATTTTATTTATTGAACTAAAGCATAGGAACAAGGAACTTTTATACTTAGACTTTTGAAGTAGATATTGTAGACAAAAAATTGCTATACCTCCTTTAATAAAAGTCTTGTTTAAAGAGACAAGAGTTTTGGCTATCGATGAGTTTGAGAACGGTCATTATGGGATTACGAAGGATCGAAAATTTACGTTCTCGTAAATTTGACTCTAGATGAACGTTCAAATTTGATTCATTGTCTAATTGAACTACATATCTTAAAAACACTTGATATGTAAACTTTTGATATATTGACTTTTGATGTCTCCAACACTTCGATTAATTCTTGTACCAAAAATCTTATTTGTTTTTATTTTTTAACTTCAGACTTTTAAACTTTAAACTTCGCTGATATGCTTCTACACTGATATGCTACTACACAGATATGCCAATATTCAAGACACTGAATTATTAGAATGTCACTTAATATTGGGAATAATCAAGATGTTATTTTAATGGACAGATCATTTGATAGCTTTGACAGTCAAATCTTAACAATAAAAGTAACGATCAACGAGAGAGAGAGGGGGAAGATGTTTATTGATTAAAACACTGGAAGTTATTAAATTGCTGGTAGCAATTGCCGATTTCCTACATTCTGGCAACAAAGCCCAGTAAATATAGCAAAGTGTTTATTGTTAGAAGAATTGCATTGGTGTGCAAAACACATAGGCGTAAGAGACATAGGGTCTGGAAGGGCTGCATCCCCCCTAATCAGGCAAAATATTTCATATTTCAGGTTCCATTATGGTAGTTATATTTCAATGAAGCAATAATATTCGGGTAAGATTCATTTCTCATACTAAGCCCCCCTAAACGTTTAACATCTGTTACGGCCATGGCAAAAACAGGACGCTACTACGTTGAGAGCTCCACGTCTGTTGGAATCATCAGATATGTTCTTACACTATATTTCAACAGCACATCTGGTATTGGCCTGTATAATGTGTGGATAGATCATCTTCCATGGGAATTTTAAGCTTTTATGGGCTTTAGCCTAATACAAGAAAAGTACAAATTGATATCAGCTCTTTAATCAATTAGAATTTGACCTGTGAATCAGAACTATGAATATTTGATCAATAATTACATCTCTACAACCCGGCGACTGCCTCAAAGCCATACCTGCAAGAATAATGAAATGCAATACAACCAAGAGATTGACTTCTCGTTAAGTTATGAATAATTAGTGACTTAGGCAAACAATTGCTATAAAGTCTGCACACTATTTTGTATGGCAAGTGACAGATTCTCGCATCAGCGTTTATGTATAACAAGTATTGTTTTAGAGTCCATTTAGAATCTGTGTAAAGTGTTATCTCTTCTTGTCTCATTTTGCTTCACAAAAACGGGGGTATGGAGTTATGGGTATGAGGAATATTCTATTAATAGAAACAGGCTCAGGTATAATGAGATTGATAAGAAAATAATATCATATGAGAGACGACAGCAAAAAGTTGTTTAAAAGCTTCATCATGAGTTGCCGGGGGCAGGTATCCATTCAAATTATTAAAAAGATGTCAAATTAGTGCAATTGAAGTGGCAAATGTGCCATTTTATTCTTAATGGACATGTTTTCCTATCTTATTCTTCTCGCCTTATAATATTGCTACTCTTTTAAAGTTATGCAGTGGCCTTTCTTAAAATTACAACATCGCTGGAAAGCTTTCTTTTGGCTTACAGCCGTGGAATCGTGTTATGATTCTTTGCGATCATTATTAAATTCCGGTAAAATTTATCTACAAACTTAGAGTTTGTGCACCAACATATCCGTTTATTTGATTTCGCGTACAACCATTGAGAAGTATGTATATATATTTATAAATAATCAGCTGATTTTGTATGTAAGTTTGCCTGATGACAGGCTCATTATTCCGAGGTTTTAGAAGAATGGGCCGGGCTGGTTATCAGGCTACATGTAAGCATGAAGTTAGAATTATATTCAGGGTTTTCACAATGAAGTTTTATACAAAAAGCCAATTGTATTGAAGTTAGAAACGACACTTTTAGTCTCTTGCTAGTGAGCGGCACTCGTTTACAAACAATGCCTTGTTTCACATTAAATATTTCGACTTATCCCATTTCCAGTTAATAGATCAAGTGTTTACTGATTTTTGACTGACTTACATAATTTCAACTCAGCCCTAGGTTCTATAGGGGCTCCGACGCAAGTTGGAAAGGGGGGGGGGGAGGAAACTTTAAAGACCCATAACAACAGATTTTGCAAAAGGTTATTATTTTGCAAAAAAGTGAGAGGGGGCATGACCCTCCCTCGCATCGTAGGCCCCACTCTATATCATTAACTGTGGTCGTAGTTCCGAAGGCTTAAAAATACTGCTAAGTTCACTTAGCCTTTTACTTGGTTTAACTTTCAGCTTCTATTCTAATCGTTATTTTATATTCTATTATTAAATAAAGGCTTCCTAAATTTTTATTTTACATTGGCATATCTTTACGGGCCCTTATGACCAGAGTAAATAACTCGATAGCTCATCTGAGTTTTCTTTCTTATTTGCTCTAAGATTTGTATTTGTAATAGATTTATATTTGTAATAAATTTATATTAGTAATCATGAAACTTGTAATTAAAATTGAATTGAATTGTCTTTTTCTTTATGCCTCCTTTTAATTCGATGTCTCAGAATGAGACTGCATTTCAAAGACTATAATTGGCATTGGCCTGGCCTAAATTGTGCTTTGATTATTATTAGTGTGGGAACTATCTTTAAAGACAATAAATTCACAAAATGTTTCTAACACGTACAGAATATGACAAGTAAGTTGTTTGCTACTATTTTTTGAATGAATTATTTTCGAACACAAGAATACTTGCAAGATAAGTCAACGGAATAAAACGACCCTTCAACATCTCGAATGGATTTTCTGCAAATGACTGGTGCAAAGATATCACAGCACGTGCAGCTTAGCCCATGTAACATTAATGTTGATTCTCATCATCGCCCGTATCCTATTTTGGTGCCGCCTTGATTTATCTTATTACTTCCCGTCTAAGATTTGTGGAAAGTTAAAAATCTTATATTTTGTATTTCCGAATTTTAAGAGAATTTGATAATCAACCCTTCCCCCAATTTGCTATTTACAACATAAAACAATACTCAAGGCAAAGTATATCTTTAAGGGAGGCAAAGAAAAATTTTTCTTCTCTGATCTTATGCAAAAGGCTAGCCAAAGGCCAAAGACTGAAATCTTGCTTAAACAAAAGCAGCTAATAAGATGCCAGACTGGAAACTTTGTCGCATGCCTGTGATATATTGCGCACTCAAATTTTCCATCCATGCACTTTTGAATTTTGGCTGTGCAAAGTCCCTATTTGAATACATTTCACATTAATAACAATACAAAACTCTTGAAAATGTGTGATTTCAGGCACGCAGTCAGGCACGTGAACTTGCCTGCGCAAGAAAAAGTTTCCAGTCTGGATAAGATGATGATTTTCAAGCTGTATAGAACTCCCATACTATAGCATGAAAAATGAAGACACCTGCATATTTGTTGGATCTCACAATAGATTGGAAACTAGCTTCCAATACCATCCCTACTGTGCTTTCTGCAAAGATAATGGAAAGAAATAGGTGCAACGTTGCACTAGAGTCTACTTGCCAAAAACTGACCATTCTTACACAGGGTTTTGTCCTAAAAAGCTAGAAGGAAGGGGCTGTGATGCAAGCAACTTCTATAGAAGCAGGGACGGACGCTTGGTCAAATATTGGGGGGGGGGCAAGCCTATTGTTTTAATAAGATGATGTCACATTTCCCATTGTTTTAGAACAAAAGACCATTGTTCTCTAAAATATTGGGGGGTGGTCACCCCCCCCTCGCCCCCCCCCCCCAAGTGTCCGCCACTGTATAGAAGCTCAATCTATTGTTAGAGCTCTATTTAGCTTCCTTTTAATTGAGCAGGAGTTGCCAACACAGAATTTGCCCTTTCAAACATGTTTTTGCATGTTTAAGGAGGGCAGCACTGGAGGAAAAAACAGCTGTTTAGGGCCATATATAGAGCTAAACAGCTTCAGGACAGATACAAAATATAAAATATTAATAACTGCCACCCTCCCGATTCTTTTGGTGCAATTCTGATGAGAATCAACTAATCAATTTTATGTGGCCCAAAGTGTATTGAAATCACCTTATGGATTGGTTCACATTTATGAGAATTTTAGCTGTCAAAATTGTTTATTTGATGGCATTTCGATGGCAATTTTTGCCTACCCTTCACACTAGCCAGTCTGCAGAGTACAGCAAATGCATTCACGAGATCATTTTAGTATAACCAGCTTTGCATGTCAAAATTCAAAATTCCACACAAATTTGAGAATTTTGTTATAAAAGGCCCCATTGCTTTTGCTTAAAGGATAAACATTAAATATATTTATAGACATTCAGTGATTTGCTAATGCTTATATTGTATCTATTGAGATTCTCTAAAGGATTGCATTGGCTTTCCGTAAGAAACTTTCTCTGAAAAATGCCTTAACACCACAAAACATTTTTCATAAAATCATGGATAAAAATGTTTGTATTCTTGTCCCAACATCCACAAAGGCCCTTTCCAATTGCCCGTTTTTGTTTGCTAGAGTTTTTTGACTAGCACAATAAACTGGCCTTCAAACCCTATATACCCTATATATCTGCATATCAGAACAAACACACAATTAACATTTTAACACAAGACATCCATCATGGTTGCTGTAAAAGGATTTAGGAATTTTTCAATGCTACCTTTACGCAGGAAATGCATTTTTAGCTATTTTATCCTTTCTCATTGATAAGCAGGCAAGCTATTTCAAGGCTTTGGTTGCTTTCCTGGTGTTGTTTTATATTTTTTAGCTTATTCAACATAATTGGATAGGTTTTCTTGAGATTTTTGCATCTTCTTGAAAACTGGTCATGATTGTAAGGATGGCTTTGCTAATACATGGATGGAACCAACATGCCTGCCCAGATTATGAAAACATTTGTCGGTCTTTGTTTTATATTTAGAAGGAACATGTTTGATATTTTGCTCATGACCATTCAGGCAAGTCTCAGCTGACAGACAGCAGGTGCACATCCAGAAAAATGCCATGCTGTTGGCAATTATGAAAATTTTAAGCAATTTTTACAATGATAATTTCCAATTATAAGGTATTCATTTTGCTTCTTCTTTTCTAGGAGTGTCAATCTCTTTTCACCAGAAGGAAGACTGATTCAAGTAGAATATGCCATAGAAGCTATTAAAGTAAGTATTTCTGTGTATAATCAATTAATAGATATATTTATATATGTGCATATATGTCATTGATGTTGTAAACTATATTAAATAGTTTTTTCATTTTTATAGATTGAATTAATCTGTTTATTGCTTTCTCTCTAAATTTTGATGAAAGACTTGATAACTACTTGACTACTTGATAAGTAGGTCAATGGTAAAAATATGAATAGTTTTTTCTATGTCATCGGGTGCTCTTTGTTTTCATAAATACATTTTTTTGAGATACGTTTTGCTTAAACCAAGGTTGTCACAAATGAATTTTTGATTTGTCTTTTTTTTGTCTTTGTAAAACCATCATCAAACTTCAAGGTGTAGTCTCCTTGTTATGGGAGATGTTTCTGTTTAGTCTGGCCTTTTGATTTAGTCTTCAATTTCAACATAACCTCTGTGCAATCCCAAATTAAGTAGAAAATGCTAAAACTTTTTCCAAATCATGGGCTAAGCAGAATGAGCCAATAAACAAACCAATACTGGTTTGAGCAGAAATCTGAATAGACATCAATCAAGAAAGTCAGCATAAACTGATAAGATAAAATAGTTTGCATAAAATGAGTAGTAAGTAAACTTTATACTGAGGCGCTTTTTATAATGAGCAAATAAAATTACTTGATGGGCTACATTATATCAAAGACTGTATTGCCTGCATGTACTATGAAACCTCCTGCGCCAATGCATAGGTGAGAAATTCAAGGTATGTATACTGAATCTATATTTCAAACAATCTCAGACTCAATCTTAAACAGTAAATATTTCTTCTTCTATTCAATTTATCAGCCAGTGAATGATTCTTAACCTAATTTCCTCAAACTTTAGCTTGGCTCGACAGCCATTGGGATACAGACATCTGAAGGTGTTGTTCTTGCTGTAGAAAAAAGAGTCACATCCCCACTGATTATTCCAAGCAGCATTGAGAAGATATATGAAATTGATTCTAAAGTAGGCAAGTAGATGAAAAATCTATGTAAAATTGGTTGAATAAAGCATTGGTGATGCAGATGGATGAATTAATATGAATAAAGCATTGGTGATGAATAAATAAAATTTGAAAAATTGCATTAACATGTGATTGCATATTTTTCATGACAGCAAGGTTATTCATCCTGTTTGAAAAATTGGGTCATGACCAAAGATGTTTATTGGGTGCTAATTAGAAGTAACAAGCAAGTGGAATTAGATGCAGCACATAACATTTTTTTATAAAAGCAATTTCATTCAAAAGTATATGATAAAGATAGTTTGTTTTTGAATTAGGCACAATTATGAATATTCTTATGCCAGTTAAAAAATTCATTGCTTTAATCTCTGAAAAGGAAAGCCCAACAGTTTGAAGTGAAGCAAAAAAACTTGCAAACTAGATTACATGAGGACAATATTCCACCAGTAATCCAAGTTGATAACTTTTGAAAAGGATTATTGAATTGCTTAAAGAAAATGAACATATGGAAATTATTTGAAGGATGGTTATAACTTTTTTAAGTATATCATCTTTTTTGCCAATGGTATTCTTTTTCCATACTTTAGGCTGTGCAATGAGTGGCTTAATTGCAGATTCGCGGACAATGGTTGATAAAGCTAGGGTAGAATCTCAGGTATTCAACACCTTGTTGGCTTGGAAAGGAAGCAGAAAACATCAGTTTTGGGGTTTAGGGTAGTTAGGGGTATATTTTTCTAACAAACTTTTTTGCCTGTTAAGTTAAGTTCTGTTTTCACAGGCTATTTTCAAAACTGTATTTAAGGAGAATCCTCTGGTACTGAAAGCGTCTATTTGAAATGCTGTTATTAACCATTCTTAAAAACAAGATCTCGAGATATGGATCTCTATATTGGGCTTCAAGGGTTACAAAACTTTTCAATGGGACAGGGTTTGATAGATGGAAATAGAAAGCCCGATTCAATGAAAATCATTTTGCACCCTTGTCAATTTATTTTAAAAGGGGGTTCCATAGCTTTAACGAAAATTGAAAAACATTTAAAATATGATATTATGAGAGTTTCTATGCTTCATCTCCCAAGTTTAACAAATTATGTCAAGAAATTGGGACATGATATTATTTGTTAACACTCCATGATTGAAGTTGAGCAAAGTACAAATTGTCATTAACACTAGTCAATTCTGTTAGAAAAGTCTGTTGAGCTAAAATTATTTTTCTTTTATAGAACCACTGGTTCACATACAACGAGCCCATGTCTGTTGAAAGTATCACACAATCATTATCAAACCTAGCTTTGTCATTTGGTAAGATGGACATTTCAAAAGGAGGAATGGTATGGTAGAGTTTCTTTTTCAGAATAAAGTGCATTCAACGCTTTAGGTTGCTATTATCATAACTTTTAAAATTCGAAATTCAGGGCTAATCGAAAACTTAACAGGTGAACCGAAAAATTTACTGCGTAACTCGGGCATGTGTCTCTTAAAATGACTACAGATATTCCGTACATTAGAGCGATGTTTTTTTCAATGTCCCGCTGATTCTCAGTTATTGAAAATACTCGTTTTTGTCCATTTAAGTATTTATTCTTTGCCCTTTTTTTATTCCATGATGCCTTTTATTAATTACATTACGGATTTCAATGTCTTATTACTTTGAGGGAAATAATTTATTTTCTCATTCGACGAACTGAGATATTATTCATAATTCTAAAGAAATATATATGAATGTATTATAATAAGTGTTTACTGGAGTTGTTCATGCAGATTCCATCATGATTTATAGCAATTGGTTGAGTTATTCCAAAAAAGTAATTTCCAATCAAACGATGTATCAGCTAAATTAATTAGATTTTGTAGTTTATTGTTTAAGCAATGGGCAAACGAATTGAAATTTCAATCTTATGCGCGTTTTGCTACCAAACTGAGTTATTGAGAGCGTCTTAGTTCTGGTTAGATAGAGATGAAAATTGCCCAGTAAAACATTATAAGATTTTCTAATGTTTTAGGTTCTAATGTTATCTAATGTTTTCGTTACATTTGTTAGCCTCTTGTCACTGACCACGCACCACTTAGAAAGCTCCACAAGCTGTGTTTTGTTGTTAACTTAGGGAATATATATATGCCAAGTTTTCGATCGAAAAAGGCCAACCTGGAACGCTAGTATTTCTATGGGTGAAAATAAACTCCTTCTGTCTACACAAACAATTTGTTTCATTTTTATGCTCGTCGATTCTGAACTGCACTTTATTTTATGTTTTAGTTATTTTCTTTGTAAACTAATTGGGCATTGTGTTTATACAAAAATATAAATAAAAACAAAAACGGTGACTAGGCTGTGTGTTTTCTAGCAAATGAAACCAAAAGTTCAATCCGTTCGAGCAAAGCCTTGGATTCTAATGGTTCTAAATGGCGAGATTCTATGATATTGTTAGATGTTATCAACTAAACCCACGTTTGCAGACCAACAAAAAAGAGGGCGAGAGATGGGGTTTGCCGTTGAGTTTAGAAAGGTTTCAAACAGGGCCTATTATTTGGAACTATGCTGAATATTTTCTTAGTCAAAAACACAAACTTTTTGTCCAGTCCACTGCAAATTGTTATGACGCCATCTCAGTTTTCAGTCCCATGCCCCTTAAATTTGGTCGGTAGGCCTGCGTGTTCATAGTGTGCTTTCCGTGTTCTTAGCTATATGTTATGTTTTTGGTCAAACACCATTATATATTGATAATTTTATTTTTTTTTTAATTCTTTTAGAGTCGTCCTTTTGGTGTCGCCTTGCTGATTGGGGGCATTGACGAGAAAGGGCCTCAGTTGTAAGTTTCCTTTCAAGTTCTGCCATTCAGTTCTCCATATTTTGTATGTCTTCAACAGAACTTGAAATAAGAAGCAATTACTCAAAACTATATTGCCGTTTAAAAGCATCTTTTCTATTTAATTCCCCTGAAGCGCCACGTCTCGAGAAAATTTTGTTCAAAATGTGAATTCTGGTTTCTGAGTCCTTGAAAATTAGAAAACAGCAACTGGTTTGTTGAATAGGTTTTTACGGAAAAGAATGTCATAATGATGAAAGGGTAACATGATATCGGGACGAGTTATTACATGTATTTCGCTAAATTCTTTCGTTTTGCGAGTCAATCCAGCAGTCAGCCTGTTTAGTGTTTCTTCCATCGGGCTTAAATGTCATACTTTACTATTTAAATGTCATACTATTGCCTGTAATTGTTGCCAGATGATCGCATTAAGCGTGAAACTTAGAACTTGTTCGATACACTAAAAGCGTGTACTTTACTATTTTTATAGATAAGTTAAGTCCCCAGGAAATTGCCATGAAATTTCAGTTTCAACTGTGCTTCGGTGCATTTTAAGGAGGAAGTCAAAAAGGGTCTTGCTAAAATGTATTTCAGGACTTATCCAGCTGTTGATTCCTGTTTAATTTTGTTTATGGAAACGAAAGTTACCTTCTTCACAAGACGCTATTTTATTCAATTTAGATTCTTGTTTACGCTTTTAAAGTTTACTGACAATTTCATGCTTGTTTTTAAGATTTCATCTGGACCCTTCAGGAACATACCTACAATATGAAGCTAAAGCTATAGGTAATTTTTATTTTGTTATTTTTCGCCTTAGTCACAGAATGTGCAAAAATTGAAACATTAAATACCTTTTGCATTCCGTAAATGAAAGTTTTGAAAGAATTTGCAAACGACGCAACTTAAAGACATGGATGAGGAGCCTAGTGTCCTACCTAAAACTTTCAATGTTGGTTCATAAATTTGAAGAAACATTCATTTTTCTCAAAATTTTTGGAAAATCTGTTAAACCAGATAACCACGCCAGTAACTTTCTTCCGAACATTGAGTATTTTGTGAATCTTATAAGTTAAGTCGCAAAGGTGATATTCTGTGCATTTAGTCTGCTATACCAATTCGCTTTAATCAATTTAAAATTAAATCAATTTTAAGAGACTTTGAAAGCTCAGTTTCAATGGAAATTAAGGAACTCTAAATGTTTTTTAATAAAGCAAACAGCAACAAGTTTGAATAGATTTTTTGATAGTTATTGTGACATTCTGTGCTCTGAAGAGTGTCAAATAAAAAGCTGCAGTACGCCTTAAGTTTTTTTTCAATGCCATTTTTAAATTTTATGAGATGTAAATTGTTTGCAAACTTTAATGAAGTGTAAAAAACAAGCAAAGTAATTAGGATACTGTGTTTTTTGTGTTTAGTGAATTCTCATTCGTATGAGCCTTCGGTTATCGTCGAAAAACCAGTCATCGTTGCAGAGTTTGCCTGAGTTTATAAGTAATGCTTGAACTTGGAACGGATGTGAATTTTTTTCTTGTAGGGTCGGCATCGGAGGGTGCACAATCGTCTCTTCAAGAGTTATACCACAAGGTGGGTGGGCGTAATGCATTACTTAATGCCAAGTATTCTAAATTTGCATAAAAGTTATCTTTCTTACCCTTCGCAATAAGCCTTAAGAGCTAGCTTGTATACTGAAAGACTGACTTTTCAATGGTGAGTAATAAGTTGCTTTTGCGTATAAATCTTTATAACAAAATTGGAGCTGTGAAAAAAGACTTTGAGAAGCCAGAGCATATCCTGAGCTTTGTATAGTTTTTTCTCGTCATTTGTCATTTCATAACAGTCTGACTCAAGGCAGTGGCCAAATTTTTAGGGGGGGGGGGGGGGTGGAGGGCTCTCGAGCTTTCAAAACTTCGGACTTTCAAACCCCTGGTATCCTGTTGAGTCTGACTTGTCGTATAATATATGTCTGAGACCCCCGCCCCCCCCTTCCAAGGGAAAATCAGGTTGAATTAAGGGTATATATGTAGGTGTATCGGGTCCGCAAGTTAGGCCTTTTAGTGTAATTTTTCGGACGCGCCCATTGGTGTAGAAGGCAGGGCCGAGAGAGGGAGCAAGGGTGACAAATTTCCCCAGGACCACAAGTCTAAGGGGCCTCATAAAGTAATGAATTCCATTTTAAGAATGGAATTAATCAAACGTACCCAGAGTATGCTTAAAATGGTAGAACATTTTATACGATTGCAAGAATGGAAATACACTGAAACGTTTTTTAGGCCAATATAACGGTCATAAAAACTTTGACACAGTTATGAGAATCAATTCTAAGATTTTTGTAAGGGGGTAGCTGTTTGAATAATTAAGCAAATGTTAGAGAGGATTTCCACCAGACCCCATGGCTGCGGTACGGGTTTTCTAAATTGCTACGTAGTCGACATAACATAGAGCATTATCAGCACCGAAAGAACTTCCTGTTAATGTCACATGTCACATAATGTTAATGTTACTGATTACAATATAGAAGACAGCCTTACAGTAGAATCCCGCACATAAGAACCTTTTTTCAGCCCAGATAGGTTCTTAGGCAAATTAAGGAAAGTTTGCTAGAAGTATTGAATATAAAAGTTAACTAGCTTCGCCGAATACTAGACTGGTTTCCAACAGTTTTTGGAATTTATAGTTTGCTATTTTTGGAGCTCGTTGTTGTTGTATTTTGAATTTCAACGTCTTTCACAGTCGATGACCTTAGATGAAGCCTGCACTACTGCGTTGTCTATACTGAAGCAAGTTATGGAGGAAAAATTAAACTCAACAAACATCGAGGTAACAAACTCTTGCTCCTTAGTCAATCGTCAATCTTCATCCATCATCATAATCATCATCATCAAAAATTATCATAATCATCCACATGATCATTATCATATCCAGTCGTCAAAATTATCAAGATCCATCAACATAATAATAATCAATCGTCATTATCATCATCCATCATTTATTATCATAATCATCCACACGATCAAGATCCATCAACATAATCATCCACATGATCACAGTCATCAAAATTATCAATCGTCATTATCATCATCGAGACCATCGTCTCAAATATACTAAGAAATGATTGTCTTTCTATTTAATTTTCATTTGAAAACCTATTTCTACAGTCTGGGCCTTGTTGTGGCGTCCTGTAAATAGACGTTTCGTCTCGTATTCTTTCGGACGACAAAATTGGAGGTTGAGTGAATGCATAAACACCCCGGGCTTTATCATCTATGCCTAATACAATTATATGGATCCTGAATGCCTCACGAAACACTAACTGCACGAAATGTGTTGTTTGTAGTGCAGTTTGAAGACAACGAAAACAATTTTAAATCTTGCTTAAACACAATGGGAATGTTTAGGGCCTCCCTGTGAATACCATGTGTCAGTTGCCTGTAGGATGAGCCCTTACGAATAAACCTGACTAGACAGTTTATCGAAAGTTATGTTTTTGTTCAGCAATTTGAATTCGTTATCTTAAGAATAATTTGAATTGTCTTGTTCTCAAACCACCATCTGCAGGTTATTATCTGTTATCGTTTCAGTTGTGCACCGTAACAGAGGCTGAGAAATTCAAGATGTTCACGAAGGACGAGATCGAGACAGTCATGAAAAAGATCAAATCGTGATGGTTTTATATCGAAACTGGTCAGCTATCAAACCTTTAAATAGCCATTACAATAGATCTTTTCATATTTCTTGTTAGAATTTTAACGTTTATCGATACTGAAACAGTTACACCTGCCTTTTCATGTACTTTTACCACGATACTAGGGCTGTTAAAACAACTATCAACACTGTACAGACAGAGTTGTTTTTTCTTGAAAGTGAGATAACGTTTGTTGTCAATTTTGAGTTAAATGGCACGAATCTCTTTCGAGGACCTCTAAAAGAGAGTTCCTATCCTTAAAGGCCACAACATTGAGTCTACCATGTTGAAATTGCCTCTTTAAACTTAGGATTTGTACAGCAGAACCCTTGGTTCAAGGGCTTGTAAAATGACATGGCTGCTGTGCTGAGTCACTTGGCTCAAAGCAACTGTCTTGGACTGGGGAGGGGGTGGAACCGTCTTTCTTAATGTTGATAGTGTTTTTCTTGTGACAAATAGCGAAGGTTTTTTTTCAAGGGGTGAACGTACCTTTGAGCTGCCAAGGGACTACATTCAGAGTAAACTTCCCCCCCCCCACTTTTCTCCCCCCCCCCAACAGAACTTTGTGTGTCCAATTCAGCAATTCAGTTTTCTAAATCGCCAGTTTTCCCTAGATTTAGTTAATATCTTGTAAGCTGATTTTGGAGATATCCATTATCATGTTTCTTACTGTCTGCACATGGTTTTTTACAAAGATTTCTGAACTCAGAATAGACACTCTAGCATATTGTTGGTCATTGTTCCAGGGTTTCAGACAAAGGGGGCCCCCACTTTTTTGCAAAACAATCAAGATTTTTTCCAAATCTTTTGTTATGGCTATGGGTGATAAATGTCGCCCTGTGTCGGAGCCCATGTGTTAAATGTCCAATGCTTTGCTGCCCCGCTTGTAAATGTTCGAAATCCTACAGTAATTTATCCCATACATTATTGCATTCAAACAAATTCTGTTCAGAGAAGGATCATTGATAGGCCAGCATGTTCTATCCGTAAGATTATCACGTAGGTGAGGTTTTAAAGATGGTTTGCTCTTCGTTAGTTGCTATGTCTTGTGGTATAAATTAGGTACAAAGCTGATGGAGAGAATGGCGCCAGCTATCCAATAGCATTCGCGGCTATCTTGAAAACAGTAATTGGGATATTCGATGCCTAAAAATTATTACTTGAATTCGAAAAGTCACGCTTGGAAACTTGCTTAGTGCTTAGCGATGACGTCGTCAAGACGAGGAAGGAAAGAAACAAGACTGAAAAACAGGACCCATTACGAGTGAAACAAATTTTGGTTTGTATTTACGCGGACCAAGGACCCATTTCAAGTTTATAATGACAAAGTATGTTCTTAGTCAAGAAGATATACTCAAAATTGATTTCTTATTACTCAAGTGATAAAGGCGGTACTGATAGACAGTTGACCCGGTTGTAACTTGTCTTGAAATTGTCAAATGTTGACTCTGAAAACCTTGTTGGCCTGGCAACTGGTCTAAGCTCCTTGTTAGAATGTTAGAGTCTAGATTGCACGCAGGCTAGAACTGACAGCTAAAACTGCAAATATAGGGGATAATAAAGGGCTTTCAAAATTGCTTCAAGATTCTTTCAGCAGAGATAATCTCATTTCATCGTGCATAAGTCCTCGGTCATATCTCCGTTGGAATCTACGCAAGCATTCGTGACCTGCTCTACAGTAAAACTCATGTATGAGATACTCACTCACAAGAAACTGCAGGCTGACTTTTATATTACGTGGCAATGTTTTTTGTTTTGAGGTTATATACCATAAATATGAAAAAAACTTTTAGCCTGAATTTTTCCAGCTGTTTACAAGAGGCTTATTTAGATAAAATCTTGTGAAGTGGAATTAAAGTAAAGAGTATTTCCTGAAGCAGCTTTTTTAATTTGATGCTGCTCTGTAAAGACTCATCACATTATAATTACATTTATGTTATAATTACAATTACTTTCTCAAGGCAGGCCCTAATATTTTCCTCATCTTATAGGAAACTCATTTTTTAAAAAAGATTAAAAATGTATTCCTATTAAAATGTATTTTTAAATGCACATTTTTACTGTACTAGATGAACAATGTTTTATCTTTAGTATAATTCATCAGAACATAGCCACAAAGCACCGAACTACTCAAAACATTATAACGGATTTGGCAGAAGATGGGGATAAATTGTTTTTAAGATAGAAATATACGGGAATTTCTGAAAAATAAGATGCTAATAGAAATGTGTATCGTTAAGAACGCCAATGTACGATATATAGACATTTTGAAAGATTTTCAAGATCTAGATCTTATCTTGCTAGCAGCTGTAGCGCCAGCCACAAATATGTTGATAAGATCAGATGTTTTGCCAAAAAATTGTTCAGATGCCACGCCTTCTGCAATGGTGGAAATGCCCTTTTTGACGATATTGCCAAGAAAACAGTGATCAGACAGGTTTTTCATCGTCAGTTGAATGGTAAAAAAATTATATAATCAAAACAAATTCTTTATTGCTGTCTGCTTTTTAGTGGGAGTTCCGAAAACCAGTTGTTTTAGATTTATCTACATTGTTATCAAGCTCTGTTATGTCCGCCATATCACGTTGAAGACCGTTCGAAAGTAGGCGAAGCCAAAGAACAAGAGGCCCACCTCCAAGAACAATAGGCTGTGTGAAACCCAGCTTGAAAAAGATAGGAACAGAAGTAACTCGAAGAAAATTCTAGACACCACATCACAAAAGAATCGATATATCAAGCAAAGATTTAGCGATTGCAAATGATAAATGATCGTAGTAGAGTAACGCAGCTGATAAAAGGACATCTTAGCAGCAAGAGAGTCAGCGGAAAAATGTTAAGGTTTTCTTTGACCAACAGTATCCAAATTTTCACAAATAAGAAAAATGCAAAACAAGGGCCACGCAGTGAAGTGTTTACAGGCAGAGGGACTGACAAGACGTTTCCTTACACAGTGCCTGTGTGTATCAAACATGAACGTTAACAAAAATGCCAAATAGATTTTCAATATGTTTCAAACATATTGTCAAGTTTAAGATAATATTTTGCTGCAACCCAAAGCCTTGAATTTTGTTGCGTGTTTTTTCATTTAAAGTCTCTTCACGAGCATTACCTATGGAACATCCTGAAAATCACATTCTGAAACAGCTCTGTTCTACAGTACGTCAAAGATTTTGCTAAACTTTGGGAAAATAGGCTGCATTTCCACAAAGAGTGTATTTTATGACAGACACACGTGTGACGTTATCCTCTTTCCAACCAATATCAGCTACAGTCTTCCAAAATACATGTTTGACAACAAAAAATGCAGCAATAAGTAAAAATCAACAAAGGAAGTTGTAATTCACCCCTACTTACTATAAATAAACGCAATAGTCATTCTTAACCCACTACAAAACTAAAAAAGTGTACAAAATGCATGCTGGTTGTTCCACAAAGCTCAATGAAAATAATTTCCATTACAAATAATTCTTTTATTCTTCCAAAATTTCACTGAATATTACCAAATAAAAATTTAAAGCAATAATTGGCATATAAAATAAATGACCCCAATTGTTGTGGTGAGATACATTTGACTGTCCTCGTTCAAATCTTTACTGGTCATCTTCAGCTTTCTCTTCTTCTCCAGTTATTTTGTCAACAAGATAATCAATTAGTCCTTGATCTTCTTCTGTTTGTTGTTGGTCTTCATCAGCATGGTGTTCATGATGATGATGATGCTCCTCAGCCTGCTCATCTTCATCTTGTTTGTCATCTGCCTCTTTAATTTCAATCAATCTTGACTCACCATGTTTTAAAAGGAAGAACTGCATATCTGATAGGCCATTTTTTCTCAACTCTTCTTGTAGCCTTTGAGGGGGTTCTAGGTAATACTGGAAAAGCAAACAAAATTACTGTTAAATTATTTCATTGTTAATAAACCCAAACCAAAATATGTTTCTTAACTGTTAAAGGAATAAACTTCACTCCACCATTTGAAAGTTGCAAATTAAAGGGAAAGTAACATTCCTAAATAATAGAAATTCTATAAAAAACACACATCAAAATCAAGAAACATCATCAAGTCAAAATTGAATGTATGGCTTTCTAAAGTCTCTATACATCTTATAACAGTCAGTAATACTAGCTTCTGTAAACTGAAACAATCAAATGAAAGTCATTGTTCTCAGGTAAAATAAAGTGTGTATAGTTAACAGCTTATTTGATCTTAAATTTAACACATCTTGCAAGACGTTACTAAAATTTTAATGTTGAGAAATGTATCAAGTGTATTTTACAGCTAATAAATTCACTTCCACTTCCTCTATTTTTTGCAGCATGTTCAAAAATAACTAAACATAACATTTTGTGGTCATTACCCATCAAATTTCTTCGCGGAAAACATTTAAAAATCTAAAATTGCTAGTACCAAAAACAGGGGAAAATTTATCCACAGCAGAAGGTCCAGCATTACATGCTGAGGAGAATAAATGCAGCTTGGGTAGCTGCCTGAGAGGCTGTATGAAGATAAAATCCTTTTTCCATTCAAAAGAATAATTTAGTTATATGATATACAAACCTCGTTGGCAAAGTTAAATGTTCCCCAGGTAATTGCCAGTGAGCACATTGCTAACAAATCTTGGTGGATTTTGACAGCTTCTTCAGGTGTGCAGGCTCCAAAACCAAATTTGTAGTCTGGTTCATAACCACCAATGGGTAATGCTGCCATATGAAATGGTCCATACTTCCTCCCAATGGATTTGAAAACATCACAGTAACCAGATGTTCCAACAAAGAATAACTTGTATCTTGGTGTCAACACAGCCCAACTACCCCACAAAACTGCATTATCATCATCAGTTGACCTAGAATGGAAATTTTGTGATGGACAGAACACAAACTTCACCTTTGTGACTTTTGTTTCCTCCTCATCATCAACTTTTGATTGGTCAATGAAATCAACTTCATCTTCCCGCCACCATTCTAATTCAACAACATTGGCACATCCAGCCTTGCTCATCCATGGCTGAAGACCAGCAGGGACATACCAAAGAAGCATTTCACCAAACCTCTCATTCAGTGACCTAATTGAGGGTAGGTCAAGATGGTCAAAATGGGTGTTGCTGATCAAAACAGCATCAATTCTAGGCAACTGCTGCACATCATACACTGGCTTTCTGTAGCGGAAATCTCCTCCAGGGTGATAGTACCTGATTCCTCTAGTGCTAAAATTTGGGTTGGTTAGGATGTTAACATTGTCAAGCTGATACAGGACAGAAGCATGACCCAACCAAGTAACTCTGATTCCATTTTCTGGAGGGTTCTCAATGCGATTTGGATCTGCATTCATAATCTGCATCAATGGCTCCTCGTTCAATTTCTGTGAGGCGAAAATTCCATTAGAGATGAACCAGATTTAAGTCGCATAAACCAAAAAGTTCCTTTTTGACACATCCATGTGACATGTCTAAACTTTTAATGCCAAACAGAATACATTTTAAATATAAATATATACATACATATACAATGCTGTGTACATACTGAAAAAATACAGATCCACACTTTAACTGCAAAACAAAACTTTTAAAATCAGCCAGTTTGAGTCAAGAAAGCTCAAATAACTTGAAACATGATGAAGATCAGCAACAAGAAAAGACAACATAGGTAAATATATTTACAAGCTTGTTGGATAAAAAGATTGTTTGATTCTAATGAATGGCACTATACCTCTTCAGCTGGCACTCTGCTGTTATTTGGGACAAATGCGTACTTGAAGTTATCCCAGCCACCTGGTTGTGCCTTGCTTGTTTCCCATGGTGTTATATAGCGCCCATCCTTTTTAGTTGCTCTAGGAAACTCTTTTTCATCTCTAGCATTGACAACTTTAACAGTGCTTTTAGTGATAGTAATTTTTGTTGTCTTTGTTGTCATCTATCATAAAAAATAAACAGAAAAAATAAGATTTTCTTGATTGCACAAAAAACAATGTTGCAATATTTTTTTGCTATGGGATCTCAAGTTCAAGGGGGATTCCAGAATTAATCACTACGGCCAAAAACTTTTTCGGATGCCATACCCTCTAGTTCTTCAGAAACACTAACTTTCATAAGCATCCATTAAATACACCTTTCGATTTTGTATCTTAGGCTTGGTCTAGCTAGGAAAGAGAATTTTTTAATTGATAGAATTGGGAATAAAACTGAATAATTTGAATATACCATTTTATTAAAACAGAAAATTCTTGAGCTAAAGAAAGCTTTCACTTGATTCAAGGTTTTCCTATGCATATATTTGTTTAGTCTCCAGCTTAGATAACAGGAAGAACTGTTGACTTTCAATTTCAATTGGAAAATAATGTTGTTGGTTCCATTCTGACAAACAACAAACATGCAGAGTTTGAAAGGCAAACAACTTAGATGTTTTTGTTGGCTGTCAATTCAGATAACACTGGATCAAACCACACCTTCAAAGTAACTAAGTTATGTGTAACAGGCATGCTGTGACAGGGAAGGGCTATATTTGCACTGAAACCTCAATCTTTTGGTAAAAGCAAAGCTACATCTACAATCTCAAATGCAACACAACTCTCTTTCTCTCAATCTCCAATGTTTCCAACACAAAATAACTAGTCAATTTTTGTAAATCCACAACAAAAAGTACAAACAATCTTTAACTTTCTAGCTGTGACTGGGGCTGTGGCTATGAAAGGAAATATTCTTGAAGAATTCTTCCAGGAAGAATAATAAAAATAATGTCAAGCTCATTGGTTGCCATATATGCTCAATTGGTTTGTCTCTCCATGGTTGGCCAATCGATGAAAAACGTACAATAGAACAAAAGAAAACACTTAAAAGGACGGGAATAAACAAATTTTAGTTTTATAAACACATCGTCCACATACTGTATGGTTGAGCAACTGAGAACAAAAGTCTTATTGTGGCAAGAAGCTTGCGTTTAAAATGAATTGGTAAACGATAAGAATACAGGCATTCATTGCTTTATCTAAGGCGAGGATTTAAATATCAACCAACATGAGGGTAGATCATAAAGACAAAATCAAGGTGACTGTATCGTATGAAACAAGCACTGCTGACAGAAAACTCGCGTATGTTATCCGTTTGCCAGCATGCGACAACTGGGACTAACTAGGGGTGGCAAGGTCAAAGTAATAGTAATACTCTTAAAGAATAAAACCTTGTCTTAAAATTGTCAACTAGGATGAATGGCAATATAGCTAATATCAATGAGTAGATTTTACGGAGGTTTATGAGTACATAACTTTAGATAGTTCGCAATTTAGAAACTTAGAAAGTGGAGAAGCCTTTGAACCACCCTCGAAGATTCAAAAATGGAGGCGTACAAAGCTTTCTTCATTGTCTCATCTCGCTCATATTGTCAATTTTAAGGCAGTTCGACGTTACAAAAATTAATTTATATGCAAATAATATCTCCTCGTTACATTCAGCTAGATGAATAACAAGGGTTTCGGCAAGCAAAATAGAAGCTACAGGTCCGCCCATGAGCCTAGGCCCAGATAGCCCAAAGTAATCGAAAGTGTATTGCTTTGAAAAGAAGAATAAGCTGTTTCTTAGCAGGAAGATCATTATAAATAAATTGACCTTACCTTGGCAATACTTTGTAGCCCAACGAAGGAAATTCAACGCTTGCCCAGACACCAACCAAGTGAAAGATGAGTTTCACTGCAACCTATCACAATGCCACTCCCTCTCAGAGTGACCGTGATATTAATTATGCAAAAATTTATTATCATATGTAATAACCAATGGTGTGTCGAAGGGTTCCTAATCAGGCATGAAATTCCTTTTGTGTCTCTATGGGAATTAGTTACACCTAACAACATATGGTCTATCCAAGGCTCGGCCATCGTTGAATTGAGATTCAATGTGGTTTTCGAGGAATTTTTAGCATGATTGTTTCAAGATAAATGTTCCCGAGCTCGAAATAGCAATCTTGTCACTCAGGGATGTACAATTTGAAAAAAGGGCAGAAGAATAATAGCCTTTTGAATATTTATGAATATGTTTTGACGTCAATCATTAGTAATTTTGAATGTGAGAGCTGAACTATAGAACAACATCTGAAATTGAAATTGAATAGTTGAAACTTTCCAATGACATTTCAACCACAGAAACCTCGATGCGGACGCTTAGCCAAGGAAAGCACCATGATTTAGAAAAGACGAGGTTCAGAATAGATTCGTTTAAAGTGTGACGTCACAATTTTTTTAAATTTTTGAATTTTGTCCATATAACCTAAATAAACCCAAATTTAATACTTATGAAAATGCAAATCAGTTAAATATGTCAAAGGTCGGGCGAGATATGGTCAATAAAAGATTTGAAATTATTATAGTAGGTATAAATAAAGAAAATGAAAATTTGACATGGATCTCAGAAGAAAGTGAAGAAAGAGAAAAATCAAAGCCAGGGAAGTAAACACGACTGCCAATCAAATAGAATCAGGGGCTGATAAAATACATTCAATTTTGTTTGAGGAGAGGACCGACTGAGGGTATATAAAGCAGGGCTTATTTTAACGTGCCGTGATAACCAATTTGTGCAGTGATAAACCGTAATTTGGCAGTGATAAACTCAAAATTTATGTAGTGATAAAACTAGAAAAAGAGATTTGGCAGTGAAAAAGTTAAATTGCAGCAATTGTCAGTGGACATATAAAAGCTTTTAAAAAAGCCTTACAAGATTAAAAACGTGAACATAACAGTAGCAAAAAGTTATCTAGTTTGGTTTTTCTTCATCTTCTCCTTTGAGATCTTTGTTCTTGAAAACTTGTCAAAACGTACAGTAGAAACCCGCATAAAAGAACCTGTTTTTATAAGAACATTGAGGCTGAAATTTAACCTTTAAAACCCCATAATCAAGAACCCTAAAGAGGTTGAAATTTGGAAAGGTTTTTATATACATATATATATTTGAAAGAAAAAGGGATTTTTAGAGTAAATCAGCTATGGCATGTTGCATTCTAATTGGACAATCTAACAACACAAATTCATTTGATTGGTTGAAATTCAACATAAAAAAGCTGGTTTAAGTGTGTCCATTAGAATTCTTGCGGTGGAAAACATTGTTAATGTGTGCAAGGCCTGTACGCATATAAGAACCTTTAAGAACCTTTTAGACTGGAATTTAGAATAGCAGCCTGTTAATTAAGAACCTATTCAGGCTGCCAAAACCTAGGTTCTTTTGTGCGGGTTTCTACTGTAGACCACTCTTCCTCGTCGAGATCTCTTGTAAAATTTGGGGGTAGAGCTGGTGTTATTCGATAATTTCACATACAGTTAGTTCGATAAGTGTGGTCATAAAAATTTTCAATGGCAACAGCCAAGTTTTGAAAACTTTTGAAAATCTGCAGCGATAAAAATTCCTTAAAATAAACCCTGATATAGAGTAACTTATCTTCACTTACATTTTAAGCTGCAGTAAGTGATCCATAAATTAATAAATTAAAAATCCACCATTTTTCATAATTTTCAGTGAAATATATTATTCTGATTGGGTCTACTGCTATTAGGGAATGCCAGTTTAAGCGGTTTGTCAAGAAATCGGTGAATAACGTATTGCCAAGGCCGGCGAAACGTATTTGGAGGGACCAAAATATCAAAGTTTTGAAAGGGTTTAGGAAAGGCCGCCACCATAAGAAAATCTTTGGAAATATGGTATCTTAAGATGGCCAGAAACCATATCTAAATTTGATTTTGACTTGAGAAAGTCTGTGGCATTATTTCAAGCTTTTTTTCATTATATCTCATAGTTTCGTTTATTGAAACATTGACATGAAATAGGAAAGGGCTTGGAAAACTTTAAAATAACCTTTTTAATGTACCTTGTAATGAAAAATTGTACCTTGTATCGAATTCCGGAATCAGTTGTTTTGCCGATTTTTAATCGTGGCCTTTGGCCCATGGCTGGAAACCTATAAAGCCTCACGGGTGAATCAAACGGCAAACAGGCGATAGGACAAATTAAATTTGAAAATGAGGCTTTGGAGGTTTCCGGCCATGGACCACGAGCAAAAATCGGCTGAAGCATTTGATTTCTATCTTGCTCCTTTTTGAAAACTTAGAATTTTTATTTCATTCATTATCGTAAGGTGACCTTTGCCCAAAACATAAAATATTGGACCAAGATAGATTCGGATTATATCAAAACTTTTCGTGGATCGACTTTTCCCCAATAAATGTCTCAGCCCCCTTCCCCCACACCCCCTGATGTGCGCTCCTGAATAAAGAATCTCAAGCAAAATGTGGAAGTCGGCAGAATGGTGACAAAGGATAAAGAAACACACATCAAGGAAGATACAAAAACATTGAAACTTATGCTGCCAACTGTTCAACGAAAGGTCTTTATCAGAGTGCGAAGAGACGTACCAAAAAACCTCCCGCTGATGCAATAAAAATTGAAGATTGTGTCATTCTATGTGAAGGGGATAAAGTCAAAACAGATGAAGAGACTGCCTGTAACCCTGTAATAAAGTGAAAATGAACCATCACCATTCAGGGAAGGAGTCTTGAAAATTGATGAAGTCCCGGTACAGAAGAAGTCATTTCAGAATTGATAAGGAATGGTGGCGAAGAGATAGAACAAGGGAGACACTCCGCAGTGCAGTAACAGCAAACCTATTGTGCAGATTTGTCAAAGTAGTAAAATTCTGTTACAAATTATTGCAGTTGGAAAGTAAAACAAACTAAAATATGAAAATTCACAAGAACTGTGTGGATTCCCACATGGCAAAGGCACAAGGAACCAAATCCTAAACTTGATAATGGTTATTGTGAAAAATTGTGGACCAGGGAAAGACCTTTACATCTGCGTTATAGATTATACAAAAGCATTTGACACTGTAATACATTACTCTATATGGGATGAAACGCGAGACATGGGGTCTCCCGCTCACATCATTTTACTACTAAAGTCTATATGACGGACAAAAGGGGGCAGTGAGAGCGACTCATGGAACAACCGAATGGTTTGAGATTGGACAAGGGGTCAGACAAGGCTGCATTTTGTCAGCTGATCTGTTCAACGTTTATTCAGAAATGATTATGAGAAATGCACTACATGAGTTTGATGGAAAAGTTAAAATTAGTTTTTCTCGCAGTACCATTCTTTCTCCTTTGCCGAACCATAGGCCGAACAGCCGTGCAATATTTTTCTCGTAGCGATTAGCGTTTCTCAAACTCAATCTCAAACTCATTTAATTCAAAAACACATTTCACAGCATTAAGGTTTACTAAGAACTCTAAAGAACTCTAATAACATCAAGGTAGATACTGTAAAATCATTCAAATCAAGAAAAAAGGAATTTTATAAACGAGAAGTATTATCTGGGACATTGAGATGAACCAAGGTTGTTGAGTCAGCCCCCCCCCCATTTATCTATGGTCTATTGAAGTTATATTCTACCTTTGTAAACATTCTGGATTCGATTGCTTTATTTTATGGTAACAAACGAAAGAACATAAGACAATGGCAAGATATAATAAGGAACTTCCTTATTTTACCTTGACAATAGTAGGTCGAACAAATGCAAAGGGTGTCACGGTGGTTTTTGTTAATTGAATCTGGTTTTGATGGGAATAGAGGGTATTGGTTTGCAGGGATGGGACCTTAAATGAAAAATAGGTGTAAGGAAAAGGGGGAACAATTATCAAAGTGCATAAGCCTGATAAGGTTATTACCAAAACCTCTTTGGGAAAAGACAAATAACCTCTTTCGGAAAACTATATACTGAAATCGAGACATCAAATTTGCTCTCTCGCTAGATCTTACTCAAGATGGCGTCGTCAGTTGTACGACTTGTCGGCAAATCTGCAAAGAATTTAAGGCCTTTTCGTGGAAATGTAAGAGTAAATTAATATTTATTAACTTCATTTCATCACATAAATATTTTGAAAAGCGATAGTTTGCGTTAAAGTTGTGCAATTCTTCTAGGATTCTCTAAGGTAGCTCACAGCTTAGGGAGTTTTTAGGACCATCTAATGATCAAAGTACGCGGTTCCTGTAAAAAATTCGTTCTGCTCTTAAAGTGGTTGCTTTTGATCAAAATAATAAAAGCGGGAAAATGATTGCCAGTTTCCTAGGCATGCACGTGCCATGCCGGTTGAAGGACATCCTATGCAGCAGAGAAGCAGCAAGGAGGTTTTGCCAGGTGTATCAAATCAAGGCCGCATAAGCACAGAGTTGAAGAAGCAAAATTGCGCAGCATTAAATCGGTCTTTTCCCAAGAAAATTTCATCAAAATGCTTTGTTGCCTTCAGACTTTACGAAAATGTTGCTAAAAGCTATAAACAAGTAGCAAATGTGCCCGCAACAAAATTTACCACCTTTATTAGCAATAGGCTTTGCTGAAATGACACCTTTGTTACTGCAAAAATATTATTTATCAGGTTATTGTAGATTTTAGTTTTAAAATGATTTATGCACACACTTTTTATAAAAACAACCCTTGTAATAAACATCTGGCTTAGATATGTCCAAAAATAAGAAAAACTTCAACAAAACTCAACTAATATACAGAACAACAAAAAAGTTCAGGTACAAGTGCAACATCCTGGACAGAGGCTCTAATTACTTTTTTAAGCACATGTTTTTTGTCCAGACACTACTGTGCACATAACTACTTAAAAACATAATAAGAAACACATGAGGCTGGAATTATGTGAAAAAAATAAGAAATACCAGGCTGAATCAGGAGCCAAGTATTCTTATAAAAAGTTTAGCCCAGTTGGGCCTTATAGTGTCAGCAAGCAGGTTTTGTGTATGTCGTCAATCAATGGTGAATATTTGTACAAATATTTGCGGAAAGTGTCCTTGCAAATGCAGCAATAAATAATTGTGATATTCAAAGACTATATGTTTTTTTGCAGGACAATGTTTCTAATTATGTTGAACTTCTAACAAAACTTGTCTTTCATAATGTCAATGACATCATGGTCTTTCTATAGCCCCTCAAAGCCAAGGCCTCAATGTTACAAAAATCAACTCATTTTGAAATAAACTATCCATGAACTGTAATCCTCTAATAACAAAAATGAAAAAAAGTTTGGCAATAGATTATTGGATTAATATTATTTCCAGCATTGTGCTGTTGATTTGCATAATACTTTTGAAAACTTATGTGTGTAGATATCACTTGAGTTGCTGTATGAAAAAAATATATCATACCCAGGGCCCAGGATAATAGAATATGGGAGCCCCATTATCAATGCTAAAATGAAGCCAAATTACTACTTTTGCTACTATTATTTTGCAACATTTTGCACTCCTCCCAAAGATGCTCTCAAGGCAATTTTATTTAGAGGTGTGAAATAGGGTGACTTAATTCCTTAGGAGTGAGAGATGCTCCCTTGGAGCTCATTTTATAGAGCACCCTAATTTTGCTCAGAGCAAGACCTGCTGGGACCTAGTACCCCAATCTCAAAATGGCACATGGAAATTTTTTTCAGATGGGGTCTGTATCATGTCTCTTTGGCATGTCAAACTGCTAATCCCTTCTCTTAACTTCTTGCTGGTATCTCAATTGGTAACGAAGATAAAAAATAATAGCTTGTTTGGCCTGGCACCTGCAATCACTTCCAAAAGCCTTGGAACACTAACGTATGTTTTCAAAGGCAAATTCAGCCATTCCCCTCTCCCTCTAGGAACAATGTTGATTTATTATAGAAAATTGAAAGGAGTTATGGAGTATGCTTTTTCTTGTGGCTTAAAGTTTGATATTTTCTTTACTTTCAACATTGTTTTGGGGGAAAAAGGGGATGGAAGTAGTAGCATTCGGGAAAACAAATGAAAAATAGAAAAGCATGTCGCAAAGTGTTGGGTGTTCCAAGTAATTTTGGCAGTGATTGTAGTACCCCAGTCAAAAAATATCACTTGAAACTTTTTCAGCTGGGGTCTGCATCTTATCATTTTCAGCTACCAAAATTACCCATATGAACCAAGTTTCATCCTGATGTAACAATTTGCTGTAGCACAACATTATTAGAATAACTATATACTATTGGGATCTGGGTCCTGGTTCCCCTGTCAGAGATAGCACTTGGGACATTTTTCAGCTGCTGTCTGCATCTTTTTCAAGGCCAAAATTTACCCTTGTGTCCCTTATACAATAATTGTAGTTTTCTTATGTCCCAAGTTGGATACCTGCATCCAATTTTATGCAACTCTCATAAGTTTTAGACTCACAACCCCAACTGCTACACATTATTCACAACAAAACAAGTTGTGGCATCTACCTCAACCATTGTGTTGACTCAGTCCTCTTTGTGTTCTGTCAGAAATTTAAAGTGTCGTTTAGAAGGGGTAAGCAAAGATATTTTCATGGGTTTATAACTTTTTGCAAAAGTTATGTAGAGAGCTGTTCAAGAACCAAAAAGCTATAGGGTTCACTAGCACTTTAATGGTGGCAATGCTTTGGTTTCTTGTTTTGAATGATTTTCATTTTTAAATTTTTGCAGTTGCTGCAGAAAAGATTTGAATCATTATCAGCATATGAAAAGGTAATATTATCAACATGACTTTTTAAAATAACTTGAAACAAAACATTGTATATAAATGAAATTACACTATTTCTTGTATAGAACAGGACTGTTCTAAGTTGCTACTTTGAGTTACATGCTTAATCCAGTCATCAGACAGCCTTTTTAATGTAAATAAAAAAACATTCCAGCCTATTAGTTGTCTAGTGCAATAATTGTACAATTAAGGAATTTTTGCTTTTGATGGGTACAAAAGTAACTTGCCAAGTGAAATAATGCTTTCACAGATTGTGTTTTGATTATTAAGCTTGGTAGAATACCTTCACATTAAGTAAGGAACCTTTATATATTTGAGATTCCACCCAACATAGAACTGAGTTTTTCTGATGTCATGATACGCTGTTAGCCATCATTGACAAAACTATTGTTTAAGATATATAGATAAATGGTAGTCATGAACAAAAAGTGTGATATTTAACATGGTATAGTCAAGGCTTTAAAACATGACATAAGATATCTTATTGGATAAGATTAAACAGCTATCATAAGTTATTATGCTTAATGTCTACATACATTTTTCAGTCGTTGTATAATGTACCAGAAACAAAAGTAACAGTATTACCAAATGGATTTAAAGTTGCATCTGAGAATTCAAGAATATCAACATGCACTGTAAGTATATACGCAAACTTTTTTACTGTAATTCAGAGCTGTATTGTATCTTTGTAAAAAACACAATGTCTCCATAATTTTCAATAGGAGACAACATGGCTTAAAAGGCCAAAAATAAAAATTGTTACAAGATAATTTGTTTTTGATAGGTTTTATTTTCATATATTTTGAATGAGTAATGTAGCTATAATATTAATATCAGAGCTGATATGAATGACAGCAGCTTTTTGGCTTACCATAGTTTTTGAGATATTCTGTTTATAATTATAAGAAATTCAAAATACAAGATACAGGAGAAAAGTATGCAAAGATTTTTACATGTTTCGGCAACAGGATATCAATACATTCTACTACATATTATTTTAGGGATATTTTGTTTGCTCAACTACTAGGCCTAGAAATATATCTTCATTCAATGCAACAAACTCATTAGATAGGACGACTCAAATTCATCTGACTCATTTTGAATCCAAATTCATCCTAGCCATTTCGAATAAGTATGGAAAGACATGGATCTGGTTTATTGAGACACCTAAATCTGATATGTATTTGTTGGCAATCATAGATTTGTATTACCAGCAGAGTCTATTGCACGAGAAATGTACTTATGAATAAATTCAAAGTTTGTATTTGTGTACATTATTCAGGAGTTGGTTTTTGCTTAGTTTATGTCAAGGAAAGTATGTTTATATTTCCACAAATATATAAGCAATTTTTAGCTGTTCCGTTCTTCAAGAAGTTTTTATGCTGGCTAGGTTGGCCTTTGGATTGATGCTGGGAGCAGATTTGAAAATGAGAAAAATAATGGAGTGGCCCATTTTCTAGAACATATGGCTTTCAAGGTAAACCTGAAATTTTGCATACATACCAATGCCAATTTTGAGGTCTGAAACCTTAATATTGTCAATTGAATTGAGACAAATTAACCTAATTTCTTTAATGGTATTATATTTAATCAATTTAATTGAGTTTCTACAAGGAAACGGTAAAGTATGGTAGAAAGCACTTTTTGCAAAGTAGTAGGTGCCTTGCCTTTTGAAACTTGCATTCCTTTTTTTTATTGCCCTGAACTTAACATAAAATTTGCACCAAAATGCCAATACAGTATATATTTCCTTATTATTTATCATAAAATATTTTTGACAACAAATTGTTTTTAACCAATTTGACAAGTTATTTTGAAATAATTTTGCGCTGTTTTTATACTGAGGTGGTAAAGATTCTAAAGCAAGGCTGGCTTTTATTTCAGTGTATTTATTTCATATATTGTTGTTTTCACAAATAGACTATATTTAAGAGAACTGAAAAGCTCTTATTCAGTGTATATATTATAAATAACAAAACGTTCATAGAGATGATACATTTTTTCTTCAAATTATGTTTTGAATTTCCTCTCATTTTTTCAAAGGGCACAAAGAAGAGATCCCAAGTGGATTTAGAATTAGAGGTAATAGGCTTTTGGTTGCACCTTTTGAACTTCAGAAAAGCAGATTTTCGCTTTATTTGTGGAAACTATACAGAACTCAATTATTTTTGTAGAAGTGGATCAAGCTATTTCCAGACTTGTTGGAGTAACTGAATTTATGCTTAGTAAAGTGGCGCTGGATTTATGAAATATACTTAAAAAGTCTCATTGGTTTTTAGTTTGAGTCTTGCCCTGTTTGTGTCCCTTCCAAAGCAAGCCATAAGACTTCCTTATCTTAAGTTTGAATGTGGAGCAGATGCTTTATTTAGCTGCTCCTTGCTACTGAATTTCTTTATTTTAGCTTTACTTATCATGTTATGCTAGGCATCCACTTTTGGAACTCAATCTTCACTTTCCATAGTGTGTTTTTAAGTATTTTGACTCATATGACAGACTCATTTCACTCATAAGAGTTGTGTCCAGATTCATTTGGTATTTGTTTTTAAGGTTAGAGCATTGTCCAAGTTTTATAGATAAATGGTTTCACCAGCTTTTTGGGACTCAAGAAAGGAGAGTAAATAGTAGAAGTGATTACATTTTGCTTTTGAGTTATCGATTCCCTACTACTTCACCATGTAGCATAAAGGCCACCAGACTTTTCATTCTCAACTTCTTTCAGTGTCAAAAAAAGTTGCTAATTGAATTTTGTAAAGTGTGGAGAATTTTTCTAAATTTTTAGGAAAGCACTTCTTGATTTGCTTTTGTCCTTTTACAGGTTGAGAATATGGGAGCTCATCTCAATGCATACACCTCTAGGGAACAAACAGTTTACTACGCAAAATCGTTCTCATCTGATCTTCCTAAAGGTAAGTTAGCTTCAAGTTGAAAGATAGCATTTTTATCATTGCATATATATCAATTTCCTGACCCCTCTCTCTCTCCTAATGTACTACAACTGGTACAATATTTTCGTCCTTTTCCTGTAGAACTGTCCCCAGAAATAGAGAACTAAGTTTGAGTGGGAACCAATCTTTTTATTACAGCCGTCGACATTCTTTCTGACATCATTCAGAATTCTACACTTGGTGAAACGCAGATTGAGCGAGAACGAGGCGTGATTCTACGAGAGATGCAGGTATGATCTTTGCATCTCGAAATTTTGTAAACAAAACATATATACATATATCTCGATGTGATTGTTTCTTTATCATTTTGGGGTTTTGGCTGTTTTCGAGGTGTTTAAGGAAGTAGAATAGCTTATCATAGTCAAAGATGAATTATGAAGCAATATAATAGCAATATTTATCGACTTTTTTAAGTTTGGAAATCGAAGCATAGGATGAACAGATTTAATTATATTATTTAGCGAAAATAAACAGAATTTTATTTGGACTGTATTATAATTCTTCTAGAGACATTTCATTTATTCAAACTTTTAGTGTTATGTTATGGTACAGCAGCCTAATATTATTCGAAATTCTAAGAATTTACATATTTTTAACCATTTTTCTAGGAAGTCGAAACTCAAATAGAGGAAGTAATATTCGATCACCTACATGCAACAGCCTACCAAGGCACTCCGCTTGGGTACACAATTCTGGGTCCATCAGAGAATGTCAGGTAATTCTTTTCTTCTATTTTAACACCATTTGAGTAGAAACTTTGTGAAGGAGCAAATCTATTGTTACTAAGAGGTTGGATAGAAACCATTTTTCCAGGGAACGTCATGCAGAGATTGACCGTTACGGTGAAAGGCCTCTGAACGCCTGTGGACGGGCGAATGTATGCAATAGTGCGCCACTGGTTAAGTATTAGTTATTATTGTGGATTGATAAATACTCGTACAATTGGCAAGATATGTGTCATTTCTTTTAACTCATGTAAATTACAAAATCCTTGAATAAGTTTTTAATTGATCTCAAATCCATTGTGTTGCTGATCAAATTTGAGAATTACATTGGACAGGATTGAGTTCATTACAATTGATAAGTGTTAAAAGATCGCTTAGTTTCCTTTGCTTGATATGTTTTTTTATTGCCAAGGCCATGTCAGGTTGATAAGAAAGTCAATCGATCTGAAAAGTTAATAAATCACAAATATTGCTTCTCAAAACCTAATCGAATGCCTTGTGTAACCAGCTACTCTCGTCTCGTGCAGCATCGTTTCTGAATTTGTAAGTTTACGTCTGTGATTACTGTTTTACACTTTGCATTCTCATATAGAAAAATATCCAGAAATGATCTTCGCGAATACATTGACAAACACTACAGTGCTCCAAGAATGGTACTTGCTGCAGCTGGAGGTAATATTTCCATTTGATAATCAGTCCCAGATCACGACCTTAGTAGTATTTGCAGTGAACAACTGCATATGAATTCTGGCTACATTTAAACCTCACAGTTTCTAACTTTTTATTTCTTACTTGACGCATTAGTGTATTTCAATTTTTTTTTGTCTTTTGCTTCAGTTTTTAATAGTTTCTTAAACAAAAATTATTAAATCGTGTTATCGGGTTTAACGGTTGTCGTATGCAGTTAACTCTTGACAAAAGCCTTTCTTTAATTTACTTATTTCTGATGTTCAGACGCTGGACAGACGTTCTTTTGAGATCAATGATTTCTGTTTGTTGCCAAGTTAACCTTATGTAAGACTCGTAGCCCAATATTGTATGAATACCATAACAATTTAAAATCTAAACAGACGCTATCTCTAAGGTTTTGGATGTCAAGGAATATCACAATTTTGCAAAATGGAACAGTCCGGACATTTGTTCTACCAAACATAGGTTCTTGTTGACGAATCATATCCCGGAGCAATATGCCGAGCTCAAAGCTTCAAGGGGTGAAGGATATTTTAAATTAACCATCTATCTTTGGCAATAAGGCTCGTTACGTTGTAATCAGATAATTAGATCATGAGAGAATCTTGTGTAAAACTCAAAGTTAAAAACGTTTTATATGATTGGAGTCGCCAGTCCGTGTAGGTCCTCCTGAACACATCACCCATGAATAGTTATAATCAAAATCTACGTTTGAAGATGAATTCGAGATTATCTAAGAGATGATGTTGGCCTCGTTCTAGGAGTCGACCACGATGAGCTGGTTAAGTTGGCAGAAAAGCACTTTTCTGGGCTCAGATCAAGTTACAGCGAAACTGAAAGGCTCAACCCATGCCGCTTCACTGGATCTGAGGTTACTAATCTTAACAGTATTCTTTGAAAGAATTTGTTAATACTTTTTTTCCGAAATCATGTTTGGTATGTTATATAGATTATGATAAACCATGGGCTGTTTGTAAACAAATATAGGAAGTACTTTTTGCAGACTTTGTATTTGTTTCTAACTTTACGATTTTCTGAATAATATGCTTATCTAGCGTTGTTCATCTCATCTCCCTTGATTTTACCACACTTCGTGATGGCGTCACAAATTACAAAACTTCTAAGTTTGGATCACATATTCTAAATGTGCATTATGAAAATATCAATAAATTTGCAATACCAGTTAAATGTGGTACCAATTGCCTGAGATATGGTCCCATCAGCGCATGCTCTTTTCCCATTAAATCACTGCTATTTGGTATCTGTTAATAGCTTAATGAACCGACCCTATATAGCAGTAATCTGTTAGCAAATGTAAAGTTCTTCCTTGGTCATATCTCACCCAGTTATAAACATAATTGAAATTAGAATAGATAGAACCCATATTTCTATGTGAAAAGGGGATGTCATGAGGTCCTTCATGAAGGGCCTTTGTCTCAGAAGCTTTAATTTTGGATTGTGGGTGCCAACAGAAGTTGATATACGGTAAAAACACCTGGTTATGCTAAGATTGACAAACAAGAAGTCTGGTTCCCATTGAAGCTGACTAGGCCAATGAGCTCATATTACTGCAGATCACTATCATTACCCATAATCTTCATTAAATAACAGTCTTATATATGTAAGATACAGGAGTTAGTTTAATTCCAATGTTGAAACAAAATCTTGCGCTGTTTTAAGGAGCACTGACCACGGTGTTTATCTTTAGATTGAAGCTCGTTGCGATGAAAAGTAACAGCCTTTTAAGATTTTAATTACAAAACTTGTTTCTGAGATAACGTCATCAGCTGTGCCCTAACGAAAGGCATTTTTGAAACGCCCATAGTCAATTTTAGTTCTGCACGTTTTAGACCCCTTAAATCGAGTTTGAGACCTGAGGTATTTAGTTTGTTAGCTTGTTGCCCAATTTTACCTGTCTTATCTGATATTTTGGCGATCTTAGAGTACTGTTTTTTGCCTTTAGATCCGAATTCGTGATGATGAAATGCCGTATGCACACATCGCAATCGCTGTAGAAGGATGTGGATGGGCGCACCCTGATTATTTCACTTTGATGGTTGCTAATATGCTTGTTGGAAACTGGGACAGGTCGATGGGTGGAGCCAAGCACATGGCCAGCCCATTGGCACAAGTTGTTAGTCAGAATGACCTCGCCCACAGCTATATGTCTTTCAACACTTGCTACACCGATACTGGTCTATTTGGAACCTACATGGTTACTGATAGAATGAAAATTGACGATTTGTTGTTTAATGTTCAGTCTGAATGGTAAGTCGCTAATGCACCGATATACAATGCCTGTAGCTTCAACTCGTACCAGAGATGCTTTAAAGATATTACTGTGAAGAAGAGTGTATCAATTGTTCATGTATTGTTCTCATTTGTGGTCGAGAGTATTTTGGCTTTGGAAATTTGCCTCCAAACTTGATATTTATTTTGAAAAAAATAAGAGGGAAGGTCACTTTAGCAAGAAGCTCAGATATTTCACTACCACTTGTAAAGCACAATTTCCTGGCCATGCACCCGGGATGCACCCATTCCATGTAAAAGAGTAAATGAAAATTGATGTTTTAAAATAAATTGAAGTGCGAAAATGGCTCAGTTGTTAGAGGCGCTGACCACAGACCCAAGGGTCCGTGGTTCGAGTCCCTGACATGACCAAACTTTCACCCAGAGTGGGGAGAGTTGCCAGCTCTCTGTAATTCCAGGCGTAGTAATCATGAGGTGTGGTCACATCGAGAGGAAGGACCAGGACACTGCTCGATAAGCACAGCTTCTCAGTGTCCTAAAAACTACCTTCGGATGCTAGGTAGCAACAAAGACAACAGGAAATTGAGAAGTTTGCTTTTTGTTATTGAAGTTAGTCCCAGTAAACGATACGTGCATATTTTTTTCAAGGATGAGGCTTTGCAGCAGCATTAAGGACTCAGAAGTTGAAAGAGCGAAGCGACTTTTGAAAACAAACCTTCTTCTCCAGTTAGATGGTAAGTATCATTTTATGGTTCGAAGAAACAGGCAACGTAAACCTGAATTTTGTAAACCATTCTTTATTTATTGAAAGAGAGCAAAGTTTACGTTTTGCAATGTAACCATTGTTTTGCATGCCCTTCTGGCTGCTAGAAAACTCATTTTGTCTTATTTTCTGCCAGTAATAGAATGTGTTAAATAGTAGGACAAATCTTGTCTATGGGCTGAAACATTATCAGAATTGGCATTGAGAAATCATTTGTATTTGAACTGTGCTCGTTTCTAAGGCAGAAATCCACATTACATTAGATCTTGATGAAAAATTGAAAATTAGCAAGTCAGCAGCCTATAGAAAGGGTCTAGGGTGTCTTTCCTGATAATGGTAATCCACAGAGCCACCTTTCTTCTATCAAGCCTCCAAAAAGAACCCGAGAATGCAAGGACTGTCCATAAGAGGTTTTCTCAAATTGAAATTCTGCAGAAAATAAATGCTGATTAGATGTCATTTCATAGAACTTTCACTGAATTTGAAAATAGATATTGTAGCTATTTGAAAAAAATAAAGAAAAAAAAGTTATATGGAAAAGCAGAATATTACTGAATCCCAAAATTGTTTGTCAATGCCAACACCCAAGCCATGCAGTCAATTTAGTAGAATATGCATCCTATTAACAAGGAAGATTTTCATGGTGCCTTGTTCTTAATTAGAAAGCATATTATTTGCCTGTAGATCCTGTAGTGCTTTTTGGTACCTTCGGTATCCATAAGTTAAGGCGAAATGTATCTGTCCTGGCATTTTCCTTTCAAGAAATGGAATATCAACTTATTGTTTTGAAGTTTTGATTTAAGTTGCACTGATATTAATCTGAAATGTTCATGTTACATTTTTAACTTTGCATCTGTTTATTTTTGCTTGCAGGATCAACCCCAGTGTGTGAAGATATCGGAAGGTGTGTTATCGCAGAATTCATTTGCGTCGTTGCTATTTCTAAATGTGTAACTATCCTTCAAATTTCAGGCTCCACTGGAAAACAAAAATCGAAAAACAAAACTTTCTGCCGACTGTCAATGCTTGTAATTACAGTTAAGAAATTTAAGAATGTTTTTGATATTTCACAGCTAAGTCAGGCAGAGTCATCAAATTTCACACCAACAAGTCACTATAAATAATCGATATTGTCGTAAATGGAGTGTGCATAGCATACAAATGTAAACTCTTGGAACTTGATCAGCATTCTGGCTGTAGCAATATCTATTATAATTACGTTTTTATTTCTTATCAATTGTTCTGATATGTTATGATGTATTACGTCATATTTTTCACTTGTCTTTTTATGTCTACTTTATACTTTTGAAGATTTTTTTTTCAAACTATGAGTTTTTTTAACAGGCAAATGCTTACATACGGTCGTCGAATTCCATTACCTGAACTCGATAAACGAATTAGTGTAAGTTTTCTGTCTTTTTTCCATGCTCAGTTTTTATTTCACATGTAAATGATATATTTTGGAGAAAACATCATAGAAAGAATTCCTACAATGCGGGGGAAAATTTCTCATAGTATTTTCGACTAAAGCTGAAGAAGCTATCATGTTTTCAATTCAAAGTTTGTAACTCTTCAGTATTTCAACAAACCAGATTTTTCTAAGCGAGTAAGCGAGGAAATTACCTCTTATGATATCAGACGGAAATTTTTTGTCAGAATTTGCAACTATTAAAAATATTTTGCTTGTCAAATTTCATTTCAACCCTGTTGTAATATTTCGATTCGCTGATAGATTTCGAAAACCCTGGCAGTTGCTTGATATTCAATTTTTTTTGCTTTATAAAAAATGGGATGTTTTTATTATGTGCATCAAAATCTTCAAATAAAGCGTTTTATAATAAACCGAAGACCTCGTCTTTTTCACACCCGAGTATCTTTCCTGTGACAGATGTCTCCTCGCAGCGTAATTTGAGGAGGCTATAATAACAAAGAGTAATAATGTTATAACGGGGGAGGAGTGGAGCAAACGGTTATTGCATGAAAAACATATCTGAGACTCTTACGAACAACGGGAAACGAAATATAGAAGATGAAGCCAACCAGGGTTGTGTTAAGGGTCCTCTCGTGGAGAATTACTTAAAAAACAGTAGCAAGAAATAGAGAGGGGCTACTTTTTTACTTTCACAAAAAGAGCTCAGCTCCTCTTAGCCCTTCCAGCTATAAACCTCTGAAGCTAGCAACTTGATATGTTTGTATAAACAATCTTTTGTTTGTTGTCTGTTTGTTTAGTAGGCAATTTTTTAGTTTTACGTATTGTTACTGCCTTTGCTATTTCCAGGCAGATTGCTTATTCTTCTCTTCATTTTCTATAATATTGTTCTCTTTAGATGATCGATGCGAAGGCAGTCAAAGAGGTTGCATCGAAATATATTTATGACAAATGCCCAGCAGTTGTTGGAATAGGTGGGTCACTCTTGTTCATTTTAAACATCTTATTAATTGGTTATTATCCCTATTTCCCTAGACTTCTTTAAATGGAAAGTTCGTTGCAAATTAAACCAGTCCCTTGAATAATGAATCTGCGATAAACATTTTAATGTCTTATGCCAGATGTCTTATGCCAGTAAAGCTGCTATAAAATGAAAAGAAATTAAAGAAGCTTTCCTCCCACTCTACGCGAGTTTCTTTTGATGATAATTAAAACTTAGTGAAATGATTCCATGCTATACTGCAAATTATACTTTACGTCAGTGACTGGTAAATAATTTGAAGGGGAAAGAGACAAATTAGTGCTAAACAGTCCAACCCTTTTTCTTCATCGAAGACAAATGACTATGACCAGGGACGCCTTTTGGAGAAAAAGGCGGGGAAAAATTGTGTTTAGACCCCAAAATGTGCCTGTTTAGTATGTATTTTATAAGGACCTTTTTTGCCCTTTCGCCCCCGTTGCCCTCCTTGCTGAAGGCGTCCATGACTAAACCATTCCTATTTTCACTTGCTTTCTTTTGATTTAGTGCCCACCAATACTCATCAACATTACGCATTTTGACTGAGATTGTTGTTATTCTATCATAGGCCCTATCGAACAACTGCCTGACTACAACAGAATTCGTGGCTCTATGTGGTGGATGCGTTTGTAAAGTTTGGACTCATAGTTACATTGAACGATTTCGAAATTTAAACTCTGAATGACGTTAGTTTTGGAAATTCCACGCAAATCGTGATGTATTTGTCAATAGTGAACCACTGCAAACTTCTTAAGAATTCCGAACAGTTTTTGTTGCTTTATTGAGGATAATCTTTGAAAATATTTCGCTGTTGTTCAATCTCTGCCTTTGCCTGCTCTTAACTTTGAATTTTGCCTTTTTATTTTGAAACATATGTTCGTAAAAGTTCACGAGGACTAACAGATAGACATGATCCTTTGTTTTTGATCCCATTCCTGTGGCTTGCTCAATCTGTTACATATCCTTTTCGTATTGGAAACATGAAATAAGGCAAATGTCATTCGTTCATAACGTGAGAAATTTTTTGACCTCTTGTTTCTTGATTTTCCACTCTGGACTTTGTTTTGTAAATCTTATAATGTGTATAAACTTCAGTGTTTTAGTAACCCAAGTTTTTACAATGTTTTATGATTGCTTAAGTCATAAACCATTTACAAGACGCGAAAGCAATATAAGAGAGACACTAGAAACAGTGGAGTTCACCTGATGTTACGGGGGGAGGGGAGAGGGGGGGGGGGATTGTCGCATTGTCACTCGAATTGATAAAAGCTTCTCTATTAAATATTTTTTCAGAGAACGATATCTGGTCCAAATACAATGTATGGAACAAATTGACCCCCTTGCTAGGTAAGGCCAAGGGGATAGCCTTCACTGCCCCTGTGGCTGTGGCATCAGCAGAGCCACATCAGAGATCATCATCATCAGGTTACAGCAGAGCTTCTGTCTTGGGTCAGTTAGATGAAAAACACTGGAATAATTTCTGCCTAAAACTTCAGAGTAAAAATCGATTAAAATGTGTCCTTTAAAGGAAGCCCAGCTCCCAATGACCACTTTGATAACAGAAAATCAGATTTTCAAGACGATAATTGTGTTAAAATCAGATTTAGAAGAGTCGATCAGATTTTCAAGACGATAGTTGTGGACAGCTCCATAACTTCAGTTTTACTTTTCAAATTGCTGCACTTTTTGAGGATTTTGAATCAATTGCTTTTATGCAAGCAAGTTATACAAACATCAAAGTTTAGGATTTCTAGGGGCAATTACTCCCTTGCTCCCTGATGTGTACGGTCTTTTGAAGTTAAATTCGGGAAATACCATCTGTTAACTATTCTCGATATGTTTAATTGAAAGTGTGATCTCATCTCCCGAAATGTTTAAACTTTTTTCACAGGTAAAGAAGGCAAGTACAGTTAAGCAGAATTACCAGTGGTATAAGAACCCAAGATCTTGCAAAAATTTTTTTGCATGGCTCAAAATTGCAGTTGAAATCTTGTGTTCCCAGTTTTATTTTTAGTACCGCGAGAAACTTTTGATTGCTTTCTCGCAAATTAAAATTTTCAAAATTTATTGCAACCGAAACACTGACAATGGCATTTTGGCAATTTCAAGGATCCAAAATTCATAAAGTTTACAAGCAATTTTTTAGTGCTAAAAAACGTAGAATGATACTTAAGCTTACTTATTTAAAGGCGTGATTGAGCTCTCTTCCAAATATGAAACCTCATAATAATATCGAAAAAACTTTGGTATGTTTTCAATTGTTTCATTTTTTCAAAGCCATTCTTACCTTCACAGGTAGCCAACTGTTCTTTGCGAACTTCATATAAGCAGTAGGCACATTCTTCAGTTGGAAATTACCCCCAAAAGGCCCTAAATGTAAGTGGCGGATCTTACGGTATACGCATTGCACATGTTGTGCATGTATACGCATGCTACAACAGTGTCTACCAAAAGTCTTGGAACACCAACAGAATTCTTGTCGATCGCATTAGCTGTTTCTTTGCCTTGGTTTTTTCTCCATTGACATACACTATGCGAATAATGCCTGTTTTTTTTAAACTAGGGTTGTTGTGGTGTATTTTCCACATTGCTGGGTGGGAAAAAAGGGTAACTTAGCTAGCTTAGAAAGGCGTGAATTGAAAATAGCCGAGAATTGACTGAATCCGCTTAAGTGTTCCATGTACTTTCGACAAGCATATTTAAAGAGTGTTGTTATTTTGAAACAGTAGTCAGAACTGTTTGTTAAGTGAATAATATAGTTCAAAACAAGAAGGAATGCCTAACTTTTTTAGTTAACGAATTTTGATGTCAACCACAAATTTCACTGATGACAATATTGATTATGATCATGATTATGACAAGATTCTTGTTCAACAAATATGAGTAGTAAATCTTACCCTTGATTGTGGAGACTGGGGTATCCATTCCGACTCTTTGCACTTTTCCCTTGCTTCGTTGTTGTTGTTAATGAATTTTTCGTATAGAGAATTATCGATGTAATTGTGATGTGTAAGTTCCAATACTAAATGCTTGCATATGGATAGCATACAAAACATGATTGTTTACATTGTATTCAATCAATTTTAAAAAATTTAATGCTCTGCCTTGTGAAAGATTTCCAGTACCTGCATGAGTATTTTGTCCAGTTTCGTTTCAGCAAACAGTTAGGCCTTCTTTGATACGAAAATCAGGACTCTCCTTTTTTGCAATGTTTGTTGCACATTAGGTACAGTTGGGGTCACAAAGGTATTGAATAGCGGGGGTAAAGTTTCTTATCTTTACATTGTTAACACTTAACAATCTGCATCAAAATTCCCAAAAATTGTAGACCGGAATCCCCCGTGCTATGTAAAATCTCTATTATAAACATTAACGTCATTGCAATTAAATTAGCCACCAGGGAGCATTTTACCCTTATTTGGAAACCTGCAAACAATTCAAAGAATTTTTCCTTTTTATTCAGTCAGAAACAATTTGCTTAACAAAGTAATTCAGGTGTCCAGAGTATTATTTTCTTTTCTAATATATCCCTCTCTGAGCTTCAAGATTATAATACGTTTCCAGCATTTTGACAAACATCTTTTCTCAACATATTGTGTAAAATAGATAAACTCAATCCCTTGGCATTGCACACTTTATTTTCTAAAAACAGGGCAGCAGCCTGATTTCGTCTTGGACATACCTTTTTGGATGTGTGTATGGAGCTAACCCCCTGGGCAGTGGGAGTTTTAAACAAAATTTTCTAGAAATTCCTACAAAGCAATCAAATTTTCCAGAATTTTCTGAGAAATTGGGTGCATTGTGGGGATAGGCACGCCGGGGGACTGGGGCGCTATATCCCCCTCACTTTTTTGCCGAACTTTTATATTCAGTTGGTGGCATCAAAGGTTATGGGAAGAAACTATCATGAAAGTTTGCCAATTTATCTAGAGCCCCCCCCCCACCCCACTCCAAAATGTGCTCTGACTTCCTTCTGATGTAAGGGTTGTATCCCACTACCCCAGCCACTGCGCTTCTAGGAGTGTGAAAACGAAGCACAAGAGAGGATAACTTGCAATACTTATCATCATTATTACAGAGTAATTTTTCTTCCTCGACGATCATATATAGAACAGAAGTATTCATAGAAAATGACAATAAATTATTTACAAGAATATTCAAACCAGGTATTTCGTGTGTTTTGCTATTCCATTTCAACCATATGAACTTTTAATGTATGGTTATGTCCTTGAGCGAAGTTTCAATTAAATAACATGAATATTCAAGTAGAAAATAAAGACAGTAGCTTAAAAATATTGAACAAAATGAATCGGCCCAAAAAAATCTTAAAATACCAGAAAATTCCTCGGTAAAAGATCTTTCCCTTTCTTTCACTGCTTCATCTCATGATCTTTTAGTTTTTGTCACGTCTTTTAACAATTTTGACCTCCGCTGTTTACTGATCGACAGTCACTATATCTCTGTTGACGACCTCTGTATATATCTGATTTATTTATAGAAGGGGTCTGGGGATACTCGCCCCAGGATCATGGAAACGGCATGACACAGAGTAGAAATTGTCCAATGAATGCGCCTGTGGTAGTGATTCATCTTGTTGCAAGTAAATGCCCACGACCTTCGAGTTCTCTTAAATACCTCATAAAAATAAAGAATATTTTGGGAAACCCAGTCAGCATCGGCCCTGTTACCTTAGAACCAGGGGGGATATACAAACGCCCCCGTACTTACAAGAAGACGAATGATTGACATACTTCCTCTTCTTAAAGCAAGCCAATCATTGCTCGCTTTACTGTCTGCTGACCAATCAGGTCATACGTTTTAGCTACTTTGAGCCTGCATTATTTGCGGCACCGAACGGAATTAAGGATTGGTCTCCTTCTTCATAGATTGAGGTGTGGTTTCAGCGGAATAGTGTGTTTGTTTTTTATTACTTTTTCATGTCTACAAAGTGAGGAAGGGAATATACTACAACAGAAGTTATAATAGCAGACCCTAGGTATGGTATTGTACGCTTTTAAGATTTTTTTTTGCGTGAATATGTATTTCTAACCTCCTCATTCTCCCCTTCCATGCTCTGTGGCCGCCATTTTTAGGTTTCAAGAATGCTTCAAATACCCTAGAGAACGTCTTGCGAGTTTGAGTTAATTTCTAGATTTTGCTACCATTTAGAATTTTAGACTGTTAACCCTTACGTTGTTTGCCATATCATTTGACAATCACCCCTGAATGTCGGTATTTAAAGGGAAGGTATTAGCTCATGACATTGGATAGGCAAGGCCTTGTCTGAGAGTTTAACGTCAGCTTCATTTTCTCATCCTAGTCTTACATCAAGCTGTCATTGCAAATTTCTTGAAAAGTAGGTTGATAAGGCACTATTTAGATACCGGTTGAAAGTTATTAGACGTTTAGACCTCGCTATTTTGTGCAAGTGGAGGAAATGAAGGAAGCCGAAAACGACCTGGTTTGGAAGTCCAGCTGCAAAGCATTTTGGTTTTTCAGATTGCAATGCTTCGTCAATTTTTAAATCTTCATGTATTGAATGTTTAAGTATCAATATGTGCACCTTATTAGTGCCAAACGCTATTTTCATTTGCAAACTTTTGCATGAGAAAGGAACAACAACCTTTTAGGCCTAGACAAATTGCCTGAAGTTGGGCTGGACTGATCTGTCCTTGATTTTTCCACTGATTTCACAAACTTTAAATGTTTTGTTTCAAACTCTGTTATATTTCAAACACACATGGACTGTAATTCCTTTTGAATTATGGAAAAACTTGATACTTGGACCATACCTTATCACTTTTAACTGTTGCCATTTATTATCAACATTGTTTTGATTTGGTGTTCAGCAAATCTCCTCAAGTTTGGTTGGCAGTGTATGTCAAATGCATGCATGAAAGTAGTAAAGTACTTTGACCTTTGCTTCCCTTAATAAAAATTGCATATCAAATCTAAAATTTAGTTTATATCTATATAAATGGATATTATTAATATCAACATACCTTCTGATTTGTGAAGAAAAAACCAGCTGAATTGCTCAAAACTCTCTTAACTAGCTTAGAGTTACGTTCCATATTTACCATTAGAATTATTATTTACCATTCCAACTCCTGTTAGAATTATGTTTCTTTTTATTTAAATTCAAACTATAAATTGCCCAATATTTATAAATGGGGCAAGCAAAGCCTCATTTGTCTTTCATTTGTTCCAATATATATACAAGAACCAAATTTTGATGCTGATCTTTTAGTTCCTTTATGCAGTATAGCATAGGCATAAATGTTGCAAAAACCAAGTAACAGAAACATTTATCTTAACAAGAGAATGTTACAAGGTTGATGACAGTGATTTAATTTTTCAGAAATGGCCGCTATCAGAAAGAAATTAGTAATTGTTGGTGATGGTGCTTGTGGTAAAACCTGTCTCCTGATTGTATTCTCAAAGGACCAGTTTCCAGAAGTTTATGTCCCAACTGTATTTGAGAATTATGTTGCAGACATTGAAGTAGATGGAAAGCAAGTTGAATTGGCATTGTGGGATACAGCTGGACAAGAAGACTATGATAGACTGAGGCCACTGTCATATCCAGACACTGATGTTATTCTCATGTGCTTTTCAATTGATGCACCAGACTCCCTAGATAATATCCCAGAAAAATGGACTCCAGAGGTAAAACATTTTTGCCCAAATGTGCCAATAATCCTTGTGGGTAACAAGAAAGATATCAGGAATGATGAAGCCATTAAGAGGGAGTTAACACGTATGAAGCAGGAGCCAGTTAAACCTGAACAAGGCAAGGTAATGGCAGATAACATAGGTGCTTTTGCATATCTGGAATGCTCTGCCAAGACAAAAGAAGGTGTGAGAGAGGTCTTTGAAATGGCAACAAGGGCAGCTTTGCAAGTGAAAAAGAAGAAAACTAAGCGTTGTATCCTGCTGTAGGCTTTTATCATCTGATTGACTATACAGGGTCTCTACATACTTTCACTAGCAAAGAAAACAGCTTTTAAAGAACTGTAATAACTAAGTGTTATGTTTCAAGATGTTTCTACCTTGTTTGCTCAGAAATGATCCACCGTTTGTTTAAGTTATTATTTGATTTTTTTACTATTATCATCACTCAAACATTTAAAGCAAATGAAATCCCCAAATAATGTCAAACAGATATGGTAGTATGACATCCGAAAATGAAGTCTCTTATTCTTATACATTAGAATATGTAATTGTTTGTAGTTAAGCCTATTCAGTATTATTCATGTCCATTTTAGATTAGGACAAGTTTCTAAGACATTATTTTAAGATTTAGTAAGTTGGAGAGTTCCATTTTGATTTATGTTATGCTGCATGTTTGGTTGGAGTAACTTTGTTAGCTGCTGTTCAAATTCATCATAAAGATTGCTAGCATTTCCTATTAAACAATGTCTGGGAGCTAAAAATACAGGAATTGTTGCATTGAAAGTATTAACTCTATATAGTCCCAATTGGGACCACATTTCAATTATTTATAGATTGTAGTGTGAGGAAAATTTGCTAGATATCTTTATGCAAATTGGGAGTTTTTCAAAAAAATACTAATTTTCCAGAAATTTACTGAGAGTTAGAAAATGAATAAAACTTACCCATAACCTCCAACCAGTAATGCAGAAGCTGAAAATTAAGAGTAATCTTGTGCAAAGTTGGATTTATAAAACTTGAAAAATTGTTGATGACAATGGGTCATCTTAGATGAACTCAACAGCATTTAAAATTCCTTAAGGTTATGTCATTTGGATAGTTTTTTTGAAGGTTTATAATCAAAATTAATTACCTGTAATGTATTTTGATATCTGTCTTGTTTTTACCTGACTAGTGTGCCTTATTTGACAATAATAGTTGAAGGGTCCTCACTTTTAACATTATCACAAAGTTCAGATCACTATAGTAATGGGGAAATAATTGAGAAGTGATCAAAGTTTCAGACCAATGCAGGCCTTGCAAGAAGAGGCGCTTGAGCTTGATCATATGCCTTCACATGTCCCTAGAAAGTACTAGGAGCTTGATTGATCAAGCACCTAGCATATTTATGCTGTGTAAAAACATCAAATGATTAAGCGGGCACTAGGATCTCAGGCAAAAACCAAATATTCAACTGGGCAAGAAAGTTTGATGCAGCTTTACTTGATGTCTTATAGAAATGCAAATGTTGATTTGCCAAAGAACCAAATAAGCACTTTGTATGCATTGAGTTACAAAAGTTGATGTTGTGCTTTTTTTGAATAGTTTTTGTTCTCAAAACTAAGGACCAAAATACTAGGGGACAATGGCCTTTGCCCCTCCCAAAGAAAACTTGAGTAGCATAAGCGCAATACTTTCATTTTGCAAAATATTGTTGTTTTTACACACGGGCTGTCCCCCTAAACAATGAATTGTATCTTGGCATTTGCCAGAAACAGCTAGCCTAACATTTGCTTTTGAGGAAAACAGCTTTGTTTCTAAATAAAACGCCAGTTAAGCGTAGTTTTTTGTGTATGAAAATGAAATGCACTGAAGTTGATGTTTGAAAACCCTATTTGAAAAGAATGAAATATAAAAATCCAATATTTTTCAATGCCAGATAGTTTGCTAATTTTTCTTGGGAACCTTTAAAAGCTTTCTGTGGTTAAAAGCACATATTGTTCAATTTTTTGCATTCTTTGGTATGGTGGTCAAGAAGTGCAGAACTTTAGTCCCCTTCATCAGTTAAATCATCAACACGCTTTATGGTAAACAAGTCTAATAATTGCAGTTGCTGGGCTATTTAATCCAAGAACAATGGTTTGTCTCCCTGCCTGAGCACCAGGAAAAGTCGCGATTTCAACCCTGGAAGTGGCTGTCTAATTATTTGTGCTAGCCTTTTACAAAGCTGTCTTGGAGTTTGCTTTGAGAAACTTGTCTCACTACCATTAAGAGGTTATTCAAGTGAATTCAAGATGGCAGCAACCGAATGTTTTCGATTGGGCCTAGAGGATTCCTGGAGACTCAAAGTTAGGCTTTTCAAGAATGTAAAGAATGTTTCTGAATTGAAAAAGAAAGTAATTGGAGGCGATATTCAAGCAGCTCTTTTAAGGCCGTCCGTGGTAAGGCTTTCAATTCATTTTATATTAAGTGCTAAAATTAATTCTATCTATCACGTCAGCCAGATTCAGTCTGCAATGTATCTTAGGTGTTTTATCTGCTGAGAGACCTCTTGTGAAAAATAAAAAAGTGGTGGAGAAAAGTTAGTTTCAAATATCATAGAGTCATTTATTTAATTAGGAAACTAGGATCCAGCAACGTGGAACACTTGCTCTGGACAGCAGATATACGAGTGAAACTGTGACAATTGTCATAATTCTGTATATCTGAAACTTTGTGCCCATGACCTGTGTTTTACACCTGCTGCTCAAAGATCGCAACAAAATCTAGATATATCTTTTGTTCTAATTTTTTTCTTAACTTTTACCCAATTTCAAGGCTTGTGCTCATATAAAATTGTTCTTACAAAAAAGTTTTGCCTCCTGTATTCTCTACAGTGATTCTCTACCAAAGATCTGCATGACTGTTCTGATTTTGTGCAAACAATTGTAATCCGAGAACCTTGGGCCTATGGCCACTAATTTTGACCAGCACAGTTTAATCTGTGTTTTATTGACCTGTGCATGACCTGCATTTACGCTTCGTGTTCCTTGAGACAGTGATATCTTCCACAGTTTTTATAGCTCACATGCCTTGTCATTCTGTTTCAGGTATGTCATAGTTTTTCACTGGTTGTGGCAGCAAACAAAGCTAGACATCAAATGATTCATGGGAAAATGAAAACAAGGACTCTCCATACAGAACTTATCTTCAATCTATCACCTTCTCATAGTGTGAGTGTGTTGAAAGATTTGCATCATTTTTTATTTACATTGAATACCTTAAATTGTATAGATTTGTTAGTATTTGTAGAATTGATTTCAGCAGAATGGATGTCTCTTTTGCCACTTTTGTGCAAATTAGGTTACCTCCAGGCTTTGTAGAGACAAATACAGTAAGAAGCATTGGATGTAAGTACTGGAAGTGCAAAAAATTGCCAGCAAAAAGGTGGTGTGCATAACAATATTTTATTTAATTGTATGCAATCTGTTTATCTTGCAAACAGCATAATTTGCTGGTTCAATGGAGAAAGCCTAAAGGAATAATTTTTCTTTGAAGGCAGGCCTATAAACACATATTAAAATTCTTTTAAATATCTAAATGTTGATTACAATTTCATGTGGTTTAAAACTTCATTAATATACAAATAATGAAACCAGATTGCAGCAGTCTTTTTGAATGGCAAATTTTCATCATATATTTATGTTTGCTGATTGAAGAGAACTGTTAGAGGCACTTTTCATGAAAAGAGCAAGCAAATTTTAAGTTTCTAGAAGACTGCTATGAAATCTTTCTTTCTGGTGCTTTAATTCATATAAAAAGTCTAAATCTTGAGTAAGTTAAGGCATGCCCTTTTGGGTTAAATTTCCAAGTTAGCAGAGAGTTTATCAACCAGGGGCAAGTAGAGGAATTTTTGCAAATTGAACAAAGTGCTCTTGAAGTGAAAATCAGCTGATTTTTCTCATACGACTCACAATTCAAATTGTTATTACCAACCTGTGGTGAATGTCAGCTTGGCTGATTTAATTTATGTAAAATCCTCTTGTCTTTCTTTATTTAATACTAATCTTAAACATTTTAATGAAAAGAACATTTGCCTTGGCAGTTATCTATGTTGAAATTGCTAAAGTCTTGATTTGATATCAAAATGGGCTTGAGTCAAACGATTTCAGTTTTAGATAGAATATTATTTTTGTCATTAAATTGTTATTTTATTTGGATCAAGCCTTAACTATTCTAATGTCATTTCTTTATGAAAAGACTTTTCTGCCATAGCTTGGAGACAAAAGCGAAAAGCCTTTCATGCTCCAGCTGTCATGAGCTGTCTGCTTTAAGAATTATCTATTATCAAATACTATGTAGACTGTGGTACCTACTGGAGGAAGGGCTTATTGTAAAAATGCTCAAAGAAGCTGAAATGACTTAAGGGAAAGGTGGTAGGCTTGAGGTCAAATTATTTGTTGTCTTTCTTAACTGTTATTTCCAATTAGATTCAAGCCATCTCAAGAATGGGCTATGTTCTTGCCAATGGTTTTTAGTAGAGCTTTCAAAAAAAGACATTTACATCCTGTTTCTACTTATTTTTTGCTAAGGTGATTGACATCTTGCTTGATTTTCTGCATAAGGTTATGCAAGCTGTCAGAACTGTTTACTGTTCCATTATTCGTGGCTAACAGATTTGTTTATTTATTCTCATATTTAGTTCTCCTTATAGATTTCAGATTCACTAAAGAAGTTTGGAGTTGAAGATAAAGATACAAGCTTGCTACTTGCATACTTATTTGATGTGGAGAAAGAGGATAAAGTAAGTTTCACAAATATTTTTGTTTTGTTTTTATTGCTGGTATTGGATCAGGGCTGCTGGAGCCAGGGAGTTCTTTCCCTCCATATATGTCCAAAATCATTAGGCTTTTCATGTGTCTATATTAATTGTCCAAGAAAATCCAATTGGCCTTACATATATCATATAGGATCGCCTTTCTGGGCAGCGGCTATCTAGAGGATGTCATTTCAACTCACATCAAGAAAAAATTGCCAATGACTTTGTGGAAATTAAAAACTTTACTAAAAATGACGAGTATAAAAGGCCAGAATAAAGTTTCGAAAGAACAAATGGTAAATATATATCCAGTTTTAGATAGAAATTGGGCGAACACATGACCAGTATAGTTGGCCAATCAGTACTGCGTGGCTATAGGAAAATTAACATTGGAGTCCAAAAGAAAAAAACGAACTCTCTGTCTACACAATAGCAGCTTTTTCGTTTGTATGAGTTACGTTGTCTATGAGTTTACGTCCCATTGTGATTCTGGCTACGTAGGACGCATAACGCAAAGATTAGGGGATAGAGTAAAGCAGCATGTTTTTTCAAGCGTTAGGAACAAAACTCTCCTCCAAAGAGGACAGCCTCCTCGGTCTTGTAGATAAAAAACGACAACCAAAAAATGCAGTTCTGCTATCGGGCAGCATTTACTAGAACCTAGATTGTGCAAAAAAATATAATGGCGACATGTTTCGAATTATTCGTAGAGCCTCATCGTCGTTCCATGTTACAGTTTTGGGATCTATCTACATAAACATGGAAAAGCCACTATTGCGTAGACAGAAGGAGTTCGTTTTCATCTTAGGACTCCGATAGGCAAGCGGCACTGATTGGGCAACCTCAACAGTTCTGTGCGACAAAAATGTTTCAAATTTTTGCTTTCTTCAAAGCCATTTTCAAATTCTGTACCAAAAAAATATTGTTTGCAAAAATCATGTTTTTGTCCAATCTTTCTGCAAGGTTACTAAACTTTCTATGAAATGAAAGTTGAATAGTTTTAAGGTTAAATTGTTTTAAGAGTGCGAAATAAAATATGTAGGATAAAATTTGTTCATGAATCAATCTTGAACTAGATTCAACTCCTCTTCGTGAAATTATAGTATAATTGGCAGAGCCCGGTCATATTTCCATCCAACAGTTTTGGAATCGACCTACATACAAACGAAAAAGCCGCCATTGGGTAGACAGAACGAGTTCGTTTTCTCTTTTGGACTCCAGTGGTAATTTTTCTTCAGGCACGCAGCACTGATTGGTCAACTATACCGGTCTTGTGCTTGCGTTTTTCTGATTGGCCAATGTCGATCCGAAACTGGGTATATACTTTTCATCGTGTTTTTTCGGACCCTTTTTCTGACGTTTTATGCTCTGAGGAGTATTTGCTTTTTTCAAAGGCATTTTCAAGTTCTGTACCGCCAAAAAACTGTTTTCATGAAATAGTGTTTAAACCCAAGAAAGACCAGATCAGATACTTGAATTCATTGCAAATATCATAATGTTTTACACAAAAAATTAAACAGTTTCTAGGATGATGCAGGCAAAGAAAGCTAGTTTTACACAAAAAATTAAACAGTTTCTAGGATGATGCAGGCAAAGAAAGCTATTGTTGTTTTATAAAAGTGGAATTACATTTTGATTAATTATTCATCGGGGAGTGATAATGTAGACTCAACCAATAAAAAACTTTTGTTAAACTTTGCAATAATGTGACGTCAGAAGACATAACAAAAATCTGCTCAGAACTATTAAATTTGAGTCAGAAGTCACCCAGATAAGGTTTTCCCTATTATTAAACTCACTTACACAGTTAGGGTCCTCCCAAGTAATACAAACCCTATCTTAAAATTTAAAGACAAAATCAAAGTTCCTGATAATTTTTAATCGGAGGGGGACTCCTGCCCTGATAATTTCCGCACCTGCTTGCGTCATATAAATATGATTTTGGCATGTTTTGCTCTAGTGTCGTCCATTTCATTGTGTTTTTTTCTTTAAGCTAAAATTTTCTAAAGCTAAAAGTTCTTAAAGGGGAACTGAAGTGAAAAACGATTTTTTTACCACTGATAAAGGTTCCCGTGCTGATTCAAAAGCCGTTTGAATTTTTTAAATACGTTATGTAGTTTTTAAGTTATTAAGTTTTTAAAGTCGAAATTTGCCCTCATCGATGGCGGAGCGAGAACGCGGTCAGACCACTGTGTCACGTGACCTTGTGACGTAAAGTGGTGGACACGAAGAGATGTTTTGATGAAATGTAGTAGTGAGTTTGATAAGGTTCATGACAGGTAACAATCGTGAAAATTGTGATAAAAGCATGAAACTTGGTGAAAATACAGAATTCGATATGCGTAACAAGATAGAATATAGACCCATTTTGGGAAAAAAACCCTTGTGCTATTTTTAGCCTGGGGTACTTGTGCCCAGTACTCAGAATATGTTGGCATGGTCAATCTATTTCTGTGAACTATACAGCCATGAAACTTGGCAAACCGACACAATTTGACTTGCTGAAAATGATAAGAATGGTCCCCACCCTCAGAAATGCCCCTTGTGCTATTTTTAGACTGGGGTACTTGTGCCCAGTACTCAAAATACGTCAGTATGGTCAATCTATTTCTGCTAACTATACAGCCACGAAACTTGGCAAACCGACACAATTTGGCTTCTGAAAATGATAAGAATGGTCCCCACTCTCAGAAATGCCCCTCTTGCTATTTTTGGACTGGGGTACTTGTGCCCAGTACTCAGAATACAATAGTATGGTAAATATATTTCTGTTAACCATACAGCCATGAAACTTGGGAAATCTACACAATTTGACTTGCTGAAAAAGATAAAAATGGTCCCCATGCTCAGAACTACCCTTGTACTATTTTTAGACTTGATACTTGTGCCCAGTACTCAGAATACGTTAGTATGTTAACTATACAGCCATGAAACTTGGCAAACCAAACACAATTTACTTGCAGAAAATGATAAAAGTGGTCCCCCACTTCAGAAATACCCCTTCAAACATGATTTCTCATGCTTTGTCTACAGAATATGATATCAAAGCACTTTCTGATTTAACTCCAGGCATAAAAAACAATTCATACCAGGATGTACATAAAGGGGGAGGATTTAAAGCACAACCATTAAATGATGTATATGTTTCCAAGTTTATTAAATGTTGAGTTGAAGCGAATTTCAGAAAAATACAACCATTGGGCACAAAAAAACTTCATTCTCAAAATTTAAAAACAGTGTATCTAAACAACAGGCAGTGACAGAATACATTAACAGAACATTGTACCCTGAAGGTAAAACATTTTCCTCTGATTATTTATAAAAAATGTTACCAAGAAGGTGGTACAGGACCATTATTGTAAGAGAAAATCTTGATCAAATCCAAACTATTCTACACATTTTGATGTGAGTGAACTATGTTGAAAAGTACACCTTAGGAATCTTAAAAATATCAAGCCTTGCTCAATCCCCCCCCCCTTGATGTGACTAATCTAGTGATTTGGCCTAGGGCTGACAAGATTTGGCCATTGTCCCACTAGTTTCAACAAATTTCTCTTCTTGCTATTATGAACTAAAAGTCTGATCCTTTTGAATAACCCCGTGTATATAACCATGTTCTCCACTGTATATGTAGTAGGTAGCTGATTTTTGCATTTTCATTGTCTCTCTGCAGAATTTTGAAACTCTTGTCTTCTTTGACTAAAGTTCTTTTCTTTACATTTGTGATAAATGCATACTTAAAGTTGTCCAGTTATTCCAGCACAAATACCCAAAAACCAGCAAACCATACATTGATCGGCCCCTGTTTGTAGATACCTAGCAAAGTGGATATAATTTTAGGTATTATTCTATTTTAGGCATATTTATGCAATTCTATTAAATATTTGACATTTTCGAGTTATCAGTCCAAAAATCTGAATTGCAGGAAGATTTAATAATACTTGTCAATGTACACAAAACAAACCAGCTTTTAAACCAAAAGTGGATTAGGTCGACCTGTTCCGTGCTACACATCAAACTATGTATAAACGTTTTTATATCAAAGCAAATATTTATCAAATTGTAACATGTAATAATCCTTATTATTTCAGATTTTAGAAATGGAAAGATTATAATAGGAAGCCTACTCATTCTCTGTTGTATCTTACTTTTTATAAGGAAATAAGGAAATTGAGTTTGAGTATTTCTTGCCTTCATTGCAAGAAAAAAAACAAGGATCGACGTACCATTTATTTACTTCCTCATTTCTACCAACAAAACGAGCACGTCGCGGGAGATAATTCATCCTCATCCTCTGGGATCTCATCGGGCCTAGGCTAATCTTCATCGCCACTTTCGCAGGTCCCGTTCGCCCTTGGTAGGGCAAGTACTTCACCACCACATGCTCCAAACACTTCATCGTCGCTCGATCTTAAGTCTGTTGTCATTCCTGAAGAGCTGTCGTGAAAATTGCGATCTGAAATTTTACCTACTAACCAAATTCCCTCCCTCCGATTCACTCTACTACACTGTTGTTTTCGTTAGGTTCGGGGCACGTGTCCACGACTTTACGTCAGCGCCTGAAACTTGTCTCCAGACCTCTCCGCCACGGAAATGGAGAAATTTCACACTTTGCGCGTTAAATGCAGGAAAACGAAAAGTAAAACACTAATTTCGTGTCGATATTCGAAATCAGCACGATGAAAACTACTAATTAAATGATTTTCATTTTTCACTTCAGTTCCCCTTTAAAGAACTCAAAAATCTATAGAATAACTATTATAAGTCAAAGAGAATCATCTGTTTTTTTAATCTCATTCAAGGACATGTATCATGTTTTTTAGAATTTTACTCCAGAAGAGGTATCATATTTTCAGCATTTATTCTAAGACAGGGTCATAATTTTTCTGACAGGCAAATCTTCGTTATTTCTTCCGATGGGAAATTGCAAGTAAGAAACCTTTATTTAGAAACGGTGGTCCCATTAGCTTGTGGATCATCCACTGACTGTCTGTAGTAAAGTCATCTTTTAACTTGCATATTTTCTTCAGATTGAATCATATGTTAATGAGATAGATGGAGAAAGTTGCTCAGTTGATGAACTACCAACGTTTTGCAATGAAGAAGAAATCAAAAAGGTATTAAATGTTATTTTCTAGTTTCCCAATTAAGGATGAAATGATGGAAGTCCATATTAAAAGAGACGTTATTCGCTGTATTACGGACGGTTCTGAATTGCTACTTCACAGTTTTCACACTTAATATGCTCATCAGGCAACAGCATGTACAGCTCTGCCTATACAGTATCAGGCACTTTATGACAGACCGGTTGACAGTAATCTTCGTTAGATTTTAAGAGAGATTTTCATAGCCTAGCAAGAAATAGATCTCTAGAATGACTTTTTGACATTTGGAAAAAAGCGAGCTGACATTTGATTAGATATCTGAATTAACCTTTATTATGTTTAGTGAAAATCTCTCTGCGATGGGTGCCTAAAAATTTGATCAAATAGTGATTTGTTCTATGATTTGTTTCATCATCGTTTTTGGTGTTCGATTGGGAGATCTCCGTCATCAATATATCATGTAAGGTTTTTTTCTTCTTCTTCTCTCGGCTTTTCCTACCTCAGGTAGGTTAGCCGATGCGGATCATACACCTCAACTCCTTCCTGTCTGCTACCATTTCCTCAGTGACGCCAACCTCCCCCATGTCTCCTCTAACACAATCCTCCAATCTTCTCTTTGGCCTTCCCCGCTTTCTCTTCCCCACTTTCATGCTTCTCATTCTTCTACCCATGTAGGTATCCCCGTTTTTGGCCACAATATCATATAAAGCTTCGCAAGAAAAAAGCTTTGTTACTATGTGACACTTGTCAGGTCTATTCCTGGCAAAGAGTAACTTCTTCTATGGTGATCATTAAATTCATGTTCTTGCTTAATTACTAAAAGTATGTTTTTACAGATGTACAAAGTCACTGATGAAGAACTAAACATCGGGACATTAGCAGAAGCAGTTGCATTCAGAATTGCAGTTAAAGAAGCTTCTTAAACATGATGAAACATAATTTGAGTATCAAATCGAGATGACAGCATGTCTTTTGATTTACACCGCTAAGGCCTTAGAGAAGGAAATTCCTTGCTGGGGAAAGAACACTTTCAATATTCCAGGATTTATCTAGCATTTAAAGAGACACTTAATCATTTTTTTGAGACATCTCGGTCTAGATAGACATCTTTGAGAATTGTGGTACTCGGTTGTTATATCGCAGCACTCCTTTCCAAAAATGTTTGAAATTGCTTGTTCTTAGGCCTGCGTTTTGAAATTGCTTGTTCAAAATCAGAAATCTTCTGTTAAAATCAGAAAAAGGAAAAAGAGAAACCTCATATAGTATTAAGATAAAAAGTAGTAAGATAAACTAAGTGAATTATTTCCATATTTCAACCCTGCCTGTCTAGCACAAACCTCAGGAACTTGATCCGTGAAAACGTTCCCTAGTAAGAAAATTTCGTGACCGGGAGTTCCTTTTCGAACAATCAAATGACCTAGGCATTTTTCACATTTTTCAATTCCCCACGTCGTCTGCAAGCTGAGTTTTTTCCCGAGAAAGTGTTAAGTTCTCTCTTTGGTATGACATAAAAACTTCCATCTTGTTATGTCACAATAGGCGAAATTTTTAGAGTTAAACCAAATAACGGTTTCTAGAGAGATTAATTACCTATTTGATTCCAATTTACAAGTTTTGACCCGATCTCTTTTTTAACCCCGTGCGGTGCCAATATGATAGCAACTTTTAAATATCTTTTCTACTTTTTGAATATGTTAAAAGTCTTTGTTCTCCGGTTTTAAAATACGAATATTTGCCATTTTACTTTTGCGTGTAACATATATGAAGTTCAAACCATATCAAATGAACAGACTTTTTAGAAAATTCAATATATTTGTTAAAAGTGCAAAAAAGATCATTCATACCTCAGAATTGTCTTGCATGTAATTATGGGCATTAAGTTAGATATCCACTATAGGCCCTGTTAATTTTGGGGTTGTCTCTCAAGCAAAACATTCTCATTTTCAGGGTTAATACCCTGGGAGGCCTTGACTACCATAGAGTAACCCTCAAGTTAATTCTTACTGTAGTAAACTTTGCCTTTTTATATTTTTATTTACTCAGACAATTTCTTTTTAGAGTGCCAACAAGAAGTTGAAAGTTTTTGCGTCTGGGCTACGTTGTACTAATAATTAAGGAGTTATCTTTTAAATGGCTTTGAAAAAAGCAAACATTTAGTGAATTAAAGCTTTTCGTCTGACACTCTTCAGAGTTTAAAACGTCAGAACATAGATCGAAAACTCTACGCTAAGAAATATATATACCCAGTTGTGGATCGAAATAGGCCAATCAGAAACACGAGCACATGACTGGGTATATATATTTCTTAGCGTCGAGTTTTCGATCTATGTTCTGACGTTTTAAACTCTGAAGAGTGTCAGACGAAAAACTTTAGTTTACTAAATGTTTGCTTTTTTCAAAGCCATTTACAAGTTTTGTACCACCAAAAGAGTTATCTTTTCTTTTGCTATGAGCAACGACTTGTATTAAGTGAAGATACCCGTTTCATTTTTCTAAAAATATATAAAGCGATCCTTTAATGCAAGTCAACAGCATGACTATAACATATAAATGAAGCTGTTTTAGAAATAATGGTTGTGTATATGATAGGGAAGGGTGTATTTTTCACAATTACAGTAACAACGAGAGTCTATTTTCCTTGACTTCTTTGTGTCCCAGTGATATCTTTGACTAAAGCAGATGTTTTGGAGGAAAGATGTAACACGATGTGTTCATGTAATACACAGCTTTGCCGAATTCTGAATGGAGAGTTTTTAAAGATGATAAAGACTCAAGTTGACTCACAATTTGTAGAGCGCTGCTCACCGATGTTAGGTTGAGAGGAAACGCTCTCAACCTTTTTGATTCAACATTGAACGACCAAGGAAATCAGCTATATCTTTTGATGATCAATATTTTGAATGGCATCCATCCTTGTGCAACATAAAGTGTCATCACCGTTTTTTTTCTATATTCCTGAACTGGTCAAGGATTATAAACAAGATCAGAGTCTCGTAAAATTCTACAATTTTTTGCAAACCTGTTTTAATTTTTCAAGGAGAGGCTCTATTCCTTTAGTTAAAATAGTTATTTCCATGCCTTGTTTGTAACCAGCTGCAAGCCAACCAGTGGCGACGCTTGACCTTCCAAACTTGTGTGTGGAGGGTCATCAATAAAAAAATTTACCGACGGAGACATAGATGGAAAAGAATCTAGGTGCTATTTCGCCTACTGTAGATGATTTTACCGACAGACTAAGGATGTTGTAGACAAACTGAAAGACTTACCGACGAACTCGTGAAGTATTTGGGGGGTGGGGGGGGGGGGTTGTTACAACCCCTACACTCCCCACTAGTTACGTCCCTGGAGCCAACCATGTAGCATTTTGTAATCAACGCAAATCTCTAGAAGCCACTGGTACTGCAAAATTTAGGAATAAGCACGAAAAAGCAGTAAAATTTCTTAAAAAGCAGTTTTTATCCTATGCAGCTCAAGAGTATAAAGCATTTTCTGTTTTTGCTTAGCCCATATTTTATTAACCGACTTCTTCAAAAAGTTGCGATCAGTTCTTCCAGAAAAAGCAAATTGCAAAATTTCTTGGGAATGGAAGGGTGACGGGCGTGACCAGGCCCTTTAAGTGCTGTATATAAGATGTATTTTTCTAAAGTAATTCTTAGAAAAATATGACCTACCCCTACGCAATGAATTTTTGTCAGTTTTTTAAAGAGGACTCATGTGGTATAAGGGGGTATCACAGGAATAATGAAAAGGGTTTAAAATTAACTGGGTGACGAGTTCGCATTTTGATTGCTATTTCATTGAGATATCCTTCTATGATTTGATTATAGAGAGAAAATCGTTGCTTTTATGTGTCCTTTCTATGGCTGATTTATTTAATCACCTGTCAGTCTTCCTTTATTGCAAAAAGCCATTTCATTTCACCTCAATCCAGCAGCGATTTGCGAATCAAGAGTGCAAACAGCAAAGACAGTTTCGTTCATTTCCTCTAATACAATATTTATGATTCGAAAACTTTTTTTCTAAGATGATTGTTTTTCGAAAGTAATTTCACAAAACAACGAAGATGTTTCCTGCATAATGTTTACCCAACATCATAACAAAACTGCGGGTTTCTGAATGTGAAACTTTCATGCATGGTTCTTGAAATCGCAACCTAAAGGTTCTTGCATGTCAAGATGCTTGGACAAATGCCCTACTTGCCAACATTTCAGTTTCTTGTTTTCTTCTGTACAGCACAACGAGGCTGAATACACGTCTAAAAGCAATACGCATGCCCACAGCGGATTCAACATGGTGGTGCGAGTCGAATGTGGAAAAAAGGAATAGGCAAGGAGTAATCTGCGATGTTAAAGTATTCCTTGCACTTAGAGGATATACCATGTAACAGCCCATTCATAGATGCTGGAAGATATGAGGATAGGTTATGACGAGCTTTTTGTTGTTGGATGTTTTGTGTAATACAATTTCAAATATCACACAACCGTGTTGAGTTTGCCAACAATAATATTGGTTGCCAACAGAACACAGCTCAGGGGCCTTGAATGAAACGTAAATTAACCATTTCACGTAATTATTAAACCAAAATGTGAACAAATATCGTTGGTATTGAAATCAGACAGACCTCTTCATCTACAACCCCCGGATTTTCAGAATTGAACTCGTCGCTGATTTTTGCACTCAAATATTTTCCTGCTGCAAAGACGTTGCATGGAAGAAAATATATATATGTATGGTATAATATACTTTTTGATCGATAATAAAAATGGATCAAGAACTTCAAGCTAAACGTTTTGTTGAAACTTTGATGTCAGACTTCAAACTTATACACAACGAATCGAAGAAAAAGTTCCCAGCAGTTAAAGAGGTAATTGCAAAGTTATGAAAATATGCTTTCCTGTAAATCATTGTTATAAGAAGTTTTCTTTATACGCAACATAGTACTATTTGTAGCTGTATTTTTTCTGAAAATTATATTTCTTTATCACAGCGTGGTTGAAAATATAGCTAGTTTGCAAGAATGTAATTTGATAATTGTATAGATACCCTTATATTTATTGAAAATCACAAATTTCCGCAAAAGTAGGATTTGACATAAAAATTGATTAATTTTGTTAAGAAACTTTAACGAAGCTGTCAGTATTTATCAATATTATAACACAAAACTACCAGCACTGAACCAGATATTGAGTTGCATAAATAAGCTATGTTTTATAATTTTGTTACTTCAGTATTATATAAAGATGTATTACTTTTGATTTTAGACTTAAAGACTTGATTCTAGTGTATAGACACACACATTTTTGACAAATAAGCTGTTCTTTGCTAAACATTTTTAAACAATCTTTTGGTGAAACAAAACTTGAAAATGGCTTTGAAAAAAGCAAATATCAGGGTTTTCCAGAAAATGCTGCCCAATAGCAGAATGGCATGTTTTGGTTGTACTTTTAGATCTGCAAGACCAAGGTGACTGTTCTCTTTGGGGATCGGTTTTGTTCTCTTCATACTCATACTCAATCATACTCATAGCTTAAGTCCATACTCAAATGTTCCCTTTTCTCAAAGCCATTTTAAACATTTTTAGTAATTTATATGTTATGTTTCATTTTAGGCCATAGAAGGGGGCATTCTACGTTTGCGTATGGTCTCAAGCCAACATGTCAACGTTTACAAAGGTAATATTTTTCCCCAAGCTTTAAATGATTTGAAGAGTGTAAAACCCAAATTCTGCATAATCATTCTGCATTTGCAACTTGATTTGCTGTTTTTACTGCATTGTTGTGATGCTATATCATTTTGTATATTATATAGAAATACATTTCTGACATCATTTTCCCTTCCACAGTCTTGTCCGAAAGCAATGATATTTTTCGCCCTCTGTTGCTTGCATGCGATACAAAGACACCAAAGATTGCTTCTACAGCATTGACTTCAATCCAAAGACTGGCATCCAGCAGTGCAATTGGAGAGGTATTACTGAGTTTACAGTCCTTCCAAAAATCTTTAGAGTAATGCTGTTTTGGAAAAATAAGCATTCTCCACTTAAAATGACTGACAGTGCATCCCCCCTCCTCATCCCAAAACAATGTTGATTCTTGAGAAAGATGTAATTAATATCTTGCAGGATTCAATCAGGGAACACTGAAGCTCTTTAAATTGATTGAAAGAACTTTTTTTGAAGGAGGAAAGGATGACACTATGATAATGTGCAAAAATTAAGTGCAGTGTACCCAGACTTTAGTCAGGGGCTGTATACATCTAAAAGCAACAGACAGGCAGCTTTATCATTCTTTCCTATTGATACAAACCCTATTATGATAGCCTCCAGATTTTAAACCCCTCAGTTTGGCCCCAAAATCATTTTGTAAACAGCTATAGTATATTAAGATTGAATGCAGTTTTGTTATTTTTGCTGTACAGTAGAACTGTTCAAAACAAAATTTGATTGTCTTTAACCTTTCACTGTGTAGGGATATGCTCCAAGTATTGTCAATCAATTGTGGGAGCTGTCAAATGCAGGAGTTGAAGAACTTAGAGTGTTGCAGACAATTTTGATTTTAATCACAACTTCTCCTGCAGTTCAGAAGGATTCTCTTGCAAAAGTAATTATTCCCTCAACCTTTGTTTGGCTTTGGTTTTTAGTGAATGAGTTACATTTGAATATTTTAGATATGAATAAGAGCATATGTTTCAACATATTTATTTCTAGATGGTTTGCTTCTTTTAAGGTTGCAGTATAGCTTTTCAAACACAGTTTAGACTTTGTGATATTGTGAGGTTTTTTGCATCTAGTTTAATACAGCATAAACATGCTAGATGCTTGATCAATTGTGCTCCTAGAACTTTCTAGGCATTTTTAGAGAAAGGCACTTGATCGAGCTCAAGCACCTATCCTCACAAGGCCTGCATACCAGTTTTGAGTCCAGGAGAGCTTGCTGTGGCAGCATTTACATCTTTGGTTGCCTTACATTGCTATTTGCATGATGTAATTTAATTTCCTTTACAAGTATTTTTTTCACCCTGTGTTTCAAGATCATGTTTCCAATATTTAGAATATTCGTTTTATTTTCTTGCATAGTAAATTTTCCATGGTTTTCTGAGAAGTGCTTGATCTCTGATTACTCAAAATTACTGAGATTAAGTAGTAGGAATCTTTATAGCTGAACTGTAGCTGCTTAAAATTCAATAATTTTGTCTATTAATCTACTGTAACCATTAAGGTAGTGATAATTAATGTTTACCATTTGTCATAAAATACTTGATACTGTATAGGCAGAGTTGTATATATGTTGAATGTATAGAACACAACAATTCTAAGTTGTTACTCTGAGTCTAAAGCTAGATGCAATCATTAGAGGACTGTCTTCATTAAGTGTATAATTTTTAACAAGATGAATGAAGAATCATGGTTCTGGAAAAATGCTGGGTGTATCATTTGATTTGATTTATTATTCAAATTCTACTACAATAATCATTGTTAACAAAATACTGATGATAATAATATAGAAAACTAAAACAACAACACAATGCAAGTAGATGTAGTAGAATTCTTAAGGAGGAGCTTTCAAAGTAGGTAAACTAAGAAGATGAGAGCCCCCCTGTAATCATAGCACCTCTATTTAGCTACGAATTTGATAAAGTACAGTCTGGCTTTATTTGATCTATTTGTTTTTTTTCAGACAGTGGTTATTTGTTTTCACCTGTACTTCAGCTCTGATTCAACGATTAGCAGTACAGCTGCTGCAACAATAAGGCAAAGCATAGCGGTGATTTTGGACAGGATGGTTGAAGAAGATAAAATTGTCAAAGGTTTGTTATCTATGTTGATTTAAATTTCTAGGATCTTTTTATAATAAGGAGACTACCCTTATTTTGCAAAAAGTTCAGATCTTTTATTTTAAATAATTTAATATTCTAAATTTAGCAATAACTGCAAGGATTTACGTCCTTCGGCAATTTATCGAAAAAATTATAACCAGAAATGATGTTTTCCACTAAAACATTAATTAATCTCTGGAGAAAAGGGTTCAGAATATTTAAGTTTGTTCTAATGGCTGTTTCAAGATATTTGTAAGCTGTGTGTGAATTTTCAGTTGAATGTAGGAATTCTCTGAATTATTTTCTGGTCATTTCGCTCTGTTTTTATCTTCAGGCTGTGCTGTGGTATTGGAAGAACCACTAAATCATTTGTTTTCAAGATAATTTATTATGTCACATTTTTTGGGGAAAAATGCCTTATAAGTACACTATAGCCTTATATGTACTTTTCGAAACATGCATGTAAAACAGAGTTGAAAACATGTTAATGTTGAAAGCTTATTCATTTTTGTTATAAGGAAACAACAGCTTTTTAATGACAAGTTCTAAAATTTTCATGTTTTCAACAGATAGTCCTGCAGAGGTTGGTGCAGCATATCACAGCAAGTGTCCCAGAACTCTGTATCCACAAGCTCAAGACGCATACCTGCTTTTCCAGGTAAATCATATATTTTAGTTGAATGGATTCTGTGGATTTTGGGCTAGCAGGGGCTTAACAATAGCCTTTGGTTTTTGTCCAAATTTGAAAATTCCTCATGGTACCATTGATAGCTTTTCTATTAATATTAGTTTCTGCTCTATATATTGCTGCGTTTTGCTGCCATTTCTGTAGCTTGTCTTCAGTTTAGCCTAAGCTAGAAGTGGCAAATTGCTATGTAGCTCAGATTTGTCTCCCTCACTTTTTCCTTGGCAATGCGGTTTTAAGACATTGTATTCATCTAATATACAACTCCAGTTTCAAATGTTCACGAAAGTTATATCTCGTGTTGTGTTTGCATAATATATTGTTGAGAATCTTTTGTCTGACATTGCTGTTCCTAAAGTCAGCGGTGAAGTGTTGAATGTGTGCGCTTCTAGTAGATCAGAAAACTCTTTTTTTGTCAGATCCCAAAATTTTTTATAGTAGAAATTTATAAAGCAGTTTGGAATTAGTACTGTATTTAGCAGTGGGTGGTATTTTTAGGAGTTGAAAGTATATATTCATTATTGTTTGTCTTTTGAAATTTGTGATTGCTTTTTTGTGCAAAGTTTTTCTTCTTTTCCTCTTCGAGCCAAACAGTCTGTTAGGCCTCATGCAAACAAATCTGAGTTGCATAATTTATGTTTGATACTACTGTTTTAACCTTCACGTAAGGTAATTAGTTTCTAATCATTTCTCAAAACACAGGATTTATGTCAAATTACAAGCGGCGACTCTCCATACTGGCTAGTTGGAATCAAGGAAATGACTCGAACATTTGGCTTGGAGTTGTTAGAATCCGTCCTTAAACATTACCCAAATGCTTTCCTTCAGGTAGATATATCTTTGACTTTAGCATGCTTACACTCAGTGGCGGACACTTGGGGGGGCGAGGGGGGGCGACCGCCCCCCAATACTTTAGAGAACAATGGACTTTTGTTCTAAAACAATGGGAAATGTTACGTCATCTTATTAAAACAATAGGCTTGCCCCCCCCAATATTTGACCAAGTGTCCGCCACTGCTTATACTGTCAAATCTGCTATAAGAACCATCTTTATGAAAGAATTTCCTTGACGTTTCATTACTCCAAAACTTAAAACCTGTTGTATAACAAGTGTTTATGGAAAATGGTTTAGTGACTGCAATAGACATTCACTAGACCTTCAACGTTAAAAAACTGCGAAAGGTTCTCATTTGCAGCAGACGCCCCCGTCTTTTTAACGCTTCCTCGAATGGAAGCCCCTTGATAATGTTGAAATGCAAAAGACTGGCTTGGCTGAAATGCAAAAGAATGACAAAGAAATGTTTAGTCACTCCCTTGTTAAAGAGGCATTTATGAAAAAGTTCAGAGAATACAAGATAAAACTTGGAACTTTTAACTTAGCTATTTTAGTTTATTGTATATAAACAAGGAAATTTTCCGTGTAAAAACATTTTTTAAATATCAAAGCAACTTTAAGAATTTTTTTCGGTATGTCTGCAAAATGCCGGTCTTCGGTCTCAACTATTTTTTTACTGGTGGTTTTCTTGAATATTAAGTTTGGAAAACATCCCCTCTTTAAACGCCCTCTTAGAACAAAAGCCCCAACAAACAAACAACACCCATGCGTTTTTTCGAAGAATTAAGGTATTTTATTTATATAATTAACAGTATACCATAACTTTCATTTCTTTTTCAGCATCCAGAATTCTGTTACCTTTTGAAAGAAAGGGTCTGCCCGTTAATAATCAAGCTGTTCTCACCAAACATCAAATTCAAACAGGGTGGCACAGGCCAGGCAACAGTGGTGGAAAAACCTGTTTTTCCTGTTTCAATGAGGCTTTTGCGAATCGTTTCTATACTAATCAAACAGTTTTATACACTTTTGGTAAGCCATCTCAAGATTATACGTCCTTATAAAAAGATTTTTACCTTTGCTGAATTGAACTGCAAACAAATATTATTGAAGTATTGCTCAGTAAGTTTCCATTTATCAACGTAATCTTTTTAATTGGAAAAAGCAAACTACAAGCCAATTATTATATTTTGGAGTTGTTTTAGCAAACTAAGCCAATATATCTTTGCAGATTCAATGGTTTCTGAAAATGGCCAATAATATGTACTTTAGTATGTAGAGCTGGTATCGTTAAACTTATTAGGGAAAAACTGCAGGAAAATTTTGCGTAGGATCAAGGAACGCCCATTCATTCATTTAAAAAGTGCAAAAGGTTTTTTAAAACTGCCATTATAGCTGTCACAAACATAGCGTTTGGCAGCTAAGACTGTTTGATCTTATCAGCGAGTTTCGATTTATTGCTATTTGCGAATTGTAATTAGTTTACTTACAGTTCATCAAAAACCTTAAAAATATATTTCTACAAGGTCTGCCTATTATCATACTTCGCTTACAGTCACTTATTTGCAATAAATATTTGGCATGATTATAAAAAAGTAACCGTTGCATCTACATCCTGAAACCATTTTGATGCTAATTACCTTTTTTAGGTTACTGAATGCGAAATTTTTCTTTCACTCTTGGTGAAATTCCTCGACGCGGACAAACCATTTTGGCAACGTGCATTGGCGCTAGAAGTCCTTCATTCTCTTTGCGTACAGCCACAGCTGTTGAGGTAAGTTGAATCTGCTTTTGTCTACTGTATATCTTTCGCCTTGTTTCCTCATTTCCCCTCTAGTGTTTTACTCCAAGAATTAATACTCTCCAATACTATACAGGTTCGGTGCCACTGATCTTAAGCTGGAGGGCTAGCTATGTAAAGAAAGTTCCCTCTTCCCACCTCTTGCCTTAATTGCAGCAATCATTTTGTTTACTTGTAGACTTTGTAATCTAAAGATTTATCTATATAAGCAATTTAAGCTGATTTTACACTTTTTAGCGGAAAAGTGGGGAGGCCATGGCCCCCTGACCCTCATTGTGGCGTGGACCCTGCTTAATAACCATTTATTATTATATCTAATTGCAGATAATATATTATCATATATTATGCTTATTTTGTGTTTAAATGTTATCATTTTGTAAATTTTGTACATAGCATTTTGTTGGTTTTTATTTTTAAGGCCTATAATTGTAAATATTTTTAAAATTAGTTTAGATTTTAATCTAACTATGGAAGAACCGACAAATTAGATCTTTGCCTAAAAGGCATATTTGTTTGCAATATTAATGAATTTGTTATCATAAATCTAGCTTTCTTCACTTCGAATTTCTAGATCCTTTTGTCAATTTTACGACTTACAAGAACATTCTACCAAAGTTTTCCACGAAATCTGTCTCGCTTTGGAAATCTTCATTCAATCAATGTTCAGCAAAGAGGCAGCAAATCTCACAGCCAGCTCACTGATGTCTACCCAGCAGTCATCAACCAATCAAAATACAGCATTTCATTCTTCTTCTAACACATCAGACAAGATGACGCAGCAACCTGGCTTCTCTTACAAAGGAGTCTGGATCCCAATTGGCAGTATTCCTCCATCGGGAATTTCTAAACCTGTGTAGTAAGTCAACGCTTATGTTACGAATTCGTGTACGGTGCAGTGTCAATTCTGTTTGTACGATAATTGATCTTAAGCCGTATGACATGCCGTATGATATGACATTGCAGTTAGCCTCGGCAAATCAAGGGCGTTTTTCACACATGTTTTTGTTGGTTCTTGTCGTAACTCCTGTTGAGGGACAGTTTTTTAGACAGTGATCGGGTGTATTGAGATGAATGTTCTGCTATCATTTAAAGTTGCTGATTTTTATACCGTATTTATTTGAATATAACCCGCAGCTTATAGTTATTTTCTGGCACGTTTTGCTGCGATTTATAACTGAGGGGGCTTTTAAACGAGGGTGGCTTATAAACGAGGGTGGCTCAAGCGAAGTCTTACCCGGATCCTGCCAAGCTTACCTGTCCATTTTTTGGTTAAAGTACATAATCAGGTTTTTATCATTATTTGGTCTGTCTTTTTAAACCAAGTATCTCTGCAGGGTTTTGTTGTTGCAGCTTATAACCATGTGCGGCTTATGGCTTATAAACAAGGGCGGCTTATAAACCATAATCGAAGTGAAATATTGTATTACTTTGAATTTTAAATTAATGCCAACATTTATATAATATTGCATAAATTTGAAAACACATTTTGCCAAAAATTCAGTTATATTTATAAACATATCGTTAGTCAGGCCATGTGACATATCTTGAGACACCTTAATCGATATTTTGCACATATATACCGTGTATTTATAGCTGCTTCACCTCAGTTCACTTTCTTGTTCTCAGCTTGGAACAACTCGATTTCAAAGGAGATATAGCTGCTGTTTCGGAGACCTACGCCATGTCAATATCTGTCGCGTGTGCACTTGAAATAGCGCGGGCGATTGATGTGTTAGTCCATTCGTCTGGCAACAAACGACCCAGCAAAAGTTTCATTGAATCTTGTAAAGACCCTGGTCCCGACAGCAAAGATAAGACTGGAGTGGGATCTGAAGCTATGAAAGACAGGGATGACGTTTCTATCCAGTCAAATGATGGTTTGTTTCATTCTCACCAGATTATTGAAACCAGAAAACTTTACATGCGTACTTGAAAGCATTGTGTTAGGGTCAATAGTCATTCACAGGCGATAACCTTCTATTTGACCCCCTGTGGTATTTCCACTAACACGTGACTAGATTTCCACATGAGATCACCCCGTTCATGGTATCATGTATCCGTTTCTTGAAATAACCAATTATTGGCCAGCAAGAATCAGAACAGCTAGCTTATTGGTTCATCTTGTGTTAACTCGTAGATCCTCTTTTCAGTATCCTCTTTCTAATTTGAGAGTTATCACATCATATTGAACAAAAATCAAGCGGTAAAATTTGAATCAAAACAGATTTTATCAAATTTTGAGTATTTTCTTTATTGGGAAATCAGATTTTAATTTCTGTCCAATCCCCTCAATATTTCAATGATCTATGAATTGAAACTGCCAAGATAAGATTGGAAAACAATTTCCTCGTTAAACCCATGGCAGAGAGTCTTGACAAAAAAGCTTTTTCTTGAAACACAAAAAATCGATAGCAATTACTTAATCTCCGTCTATCTTGTTTCAAAGTTTTTCCTTTCTACCGACCTTGAGGAGCATGAAGCAAAAAGTAACAATTTGCAGTTAATTTTGTTACTCTCTAATGACTTTTGCTTCCAACCTGGGACACATTTTTAGTTTCATTAAAATGAAATCACCATTTTATGAAGAAACCCTAAAGTTTTTTATTGGCCAGTTGCATAACGAGAAGTCTATTTCTTTACAAAAATGCCATATAAGTTGCTTCAATATTCAGTTGCTTTTGTATCGAGGTAAAATTTTTCTAGTTTTGAGTATTCACAATTTTATTCTCCGTTGTTTCTTTATTTCTGATTTTCAAACGAGTTTTCTTCGCTTATACATAGTTGTTGTTTTTCTGCAGAAGAAAACATTGTGTGGAAAGAGATGGTAAAATCTTCTTGGGATAGTCTTCAGTCGACGTTGCAGTTGCTACTAGAGGCAAGGTATTGAGTATGAATTTTAACATAATTTTCTTAAGCAGCGAAAATACTTTTATTGATTAAGTTTTTAAGGATGCAGTGAAATTAGAGGGAAGGGAAATGCATAATTTATCTATTGTTGAATACCAATTTGCGCGCATGTTCAAAGTAGTTTTTCTGAAATGTTTTCGGAATGAATGGATTGATTTTGAATGAACAAAAAAAGAGATATCCAATTATTTTGAGGCTTAGTGATAATCAAACTGAGCCGTTAACTAATGTATATAATGATAAATAAAAATGTTTTAAGTGATAGATTATCTTTGAGACTGAAATCAAAACTTCAAATTACAAAGAAGAAGCTAAACGGCAAAAGATCGAAACATTACTTGCAATCAGGGACCGCAGAAGTAGGGTGAATACAGAAAATCACCTTGCGCTTGGTTTCAAGCATGATTAGCCCCCTCGCAACGTTTAGGCCCCCCCTTAAATGTTATAGCCCCCTCAATCTGTAATATGCTCCGAGGTCCTTTTATGACAATTAATGCAACCAAACCGAAAAATGGAGGTATTATTGTCGAAGCGACAGAAATTCAAAAACACTACGTTTTTTAAGTCATTCAGCTTTCTTGGAATCACACCCACTGATTGGTCAATTTTTGATTGAAAGTTTTCTCAAGCCCCTTTAGCCCTACTACTGTACCATACTTTCAATGCAATATTTCTTTCGTTCTGTATTCATTCTTAAGATTTACTGATTACTTTTCAGCATTGATGAAACTATCACAGAAAATATTCTCAAGGCTATTCAAACATACGCCAGTGTCAGTGGTCAGTTAAGTTTCACATCAACCAGAGATTCTTTTGTCTCTTGTCTCTGCAAATCAGCCATACCTGCGAGTTACCTAATGAGTGTGATGTCGTCATCGAAATTAGATGCTGGCTCCAACCAGCATTCGTCGCATGCAGCTATGTCGAGCTCGGCCTCATCACAAACACTATCTAACCACTCGACCAGTTCAGGGATTGGAGTTTCTGCAAATGGAAACAGAGAGGTGATTCTTAAAGATGCTAGTTTTTGGAATTATTCAACAAATGTTTCTTCTCGGGCGTTCATATGCGCCATCAACGTTTTTTGAAATTGATAGTTTTGGAAGACCTTCAGTAAAGTAGAAAGATTTTTTCAGTTACACTGGAAAAGTTGCACAGTCCTGAGTTTTTGCGATTGAGCAAAGAAAGGGTTTTTTGGTATGGGAAATGAAATTTCTTATAAAATTCCATAGTGCAATAGCCTTGGGTGCAAACCTAGATCTTTTGCAGTTTAATTGCTTTAATTAACATTTAATCTTGTTGTTTCTCTTGTACATTTTTTATGCAAGCATCTTGTTGTGTGATATATTAAGATTATTCTTAAAATGGTTATTATACATCCCCTTTCCGATTAAAACTACCCCCTTTCCGATTAAAACTACCAGCTTTCTCCACTATCGATGTTCTTTGCGCATGTCTGTAATAACCAATCATTATAACCAATTACTGTTTTATTTCCTAGCTGACTGCAAAGAACATTCAATGCATGCGTGCTATTTTGAGCCTTGCTCATTGTCATGGTGACGTACTTGGCACAGCATGGTACATGGTACTTCAAACCCTGCAGCATCTCACTGTGATTCTTGGCTTGAAATTTTCGGCCAGTGGCTCACTAAAAGGGATCCAAGCCAATGATCTTCCATCACTGGTATGTTCTGATCCTTTGCCAAATGTATTGTGATATGTCCTAGCGAACAAATTTGTTGTTAAATTCGCAGACTGTCATGGACTCAATTTATCGGCAGGTAAAATGTAGCAACAAGCATGCAAGGCTTTCTTCTGTTCGCAGTAGTATTCAAAATATATTCAAAATTTTTAAAACAACATTAATCGTGACTATAACTGAAGTCAATGTGATTCTATAATGAGAATTGTCCATATTAAATGTCCCAGTTGCTAGAGCTCTATATAAACGTAGTTTGATTGACACGTTCCAATGTTTAACGGTTTCTTATGAAAATGTCCCATGTTATCTTCAATGAAGAAATCTCGTGCTAGTCCTCATCTTTAACTTGGTATTCATAATGCCGGATTGCCTATTGATGTAGAGAGTTTTTCGAACTCCTCTTCAGGTATCAGCCTTTACAGTTTCGTTTTGAAATACGTCACAACGTAACACAAACTGACAGTATTCGTAATTTATTTTGTAACAGCATCATGAAAAGTTTTTTGAAAAGTGGCAGTGATTCATTTCAGGTTATGTCACAATCATTGATGTCAGAACTACCAGTTTTATCTGCTATGTTATCAAGATTATTCGAAAGCACAAAGTAAGTAACTGTCTTTTAATCATATCTTTATTTGTCTTAATTAAGACATGTCTAATTATGTCTGTCATATCTTAATTAAAATTTGTTAATTTGCATAACAAGTTTTCTTTTTTGTAAAGGGTGCTGTTAGGGCAGGTTTGTAGGATAATTGGATGACTTTGAGCTTGACACTGCAAGAGAATTTCACAAACCGTGTTTTAACTGCTAAAGACTCTGGCTAAAATTTACCCTCAAGTTTATTGTCTATTATCCTAAAGGAATCTTGCCTTTGAAAGCACCGTGTTTATTTGTATTTGTTGCTACCTAGCATCCGAAGGTAGTTTTTAGGACACTGAGAAGCTATGCTTATCGAGCAGTTTCCTGGTCTTTCCTCTCGATGTGACCACACGTCGTGATTCCTATGCCTGGAATTACAGAGAGCTGGCGACTCTCCCCAATCTGGGTGAAAGTTTGGTCATGTCAGGGACTCGAACCACGGACCCTTGGGTCTGTGGTCAGCGCCTGTAACAACTGAGCCATCCTCGCACCAAGCACCGTGTTGTTTTTTTATTCAAGATTTCTGGATGATGTTGCACTCCACCATTTGGTCAACGCACTGTGTCGTCTGTCGTCTGAAGAAATGGAACATGCATCTAATAACAAGGTAGGCCCACTTTTAGTTTTAGCGCGTATTATAACTTTCCCCGCTGAGCTACAGGGACATAAAACAAAAGGACAATGGAATTGAGAACATTGCAAAATGGCACGCAAAAGACCCCATGTTTACGTATAAGTTGTATGTGCAAAAAGGAATGAAACTTTTCAAAAAATTTAGGATCAAACGTAATTAATCACATATATGCATTGTTATATTATTGCGTTACACATGGTGAAAGTCATGTATAAACTTTTACATTATTGTATTTTCAAATTGTCTTCACACTGTGGCAATAGTTTCGGCACCAATATTGGTTTAAGATAATCTTTGAATAGCTTTTTTGATAATAATTGCAAGGAAGAATACAGAAGTCAATCAGAGTGTTTTCCTTATGTATCTATAAGATATTAAGAAGGCCTAGAGGTCCCTCAAGAGAGTTTGTTGTTAAAGTAACCAGCGCCAGTAAATTGGTTACATTTGGAGGCTTTAAATTTCATGTTAGCTGATTAATGCAACGATTCTTTCAGGACCCCTGCTTGTTTCCAGTGGCAAAGTTGCAAGAAACGCAAATGGTTAATTTGTCTCGATTAAAAGTCCTTTGGAAGCCCCTCACTGCCCATTTGCTTGAGGTAAATGTTCTAGAAGTATAAAGTTGGTAATTATGAGATTTATGCAGCCATTATAAGTCATAAATCATCAATATGCATGTTTGCCATAATTTATTACTTTTCTATTTGAGGTGAATATTCTTGAATTATAATGATGGTGCTTGTCATCATGTTGTCTTTTGCAGTCAAATTATGTCGAGAGTAATCACAAAATAATCAAATTTTATTTCTCAAAGAAGAGCACAACGCTGCAAAGTTATTGCTTATATGTAGCCATTTCATTTTTCTTAAATTTCCTAGCGATAAACAAGAGACGTAAAAGTCATAAATCATAAATTTGGATATTTAGCATCATTTAATGCCATCATATATTGAAATGAAATTACATCTAGTATATTCTTATTGTGTTATTTTCTTAAAAAATTGCCTGAGGGACAAGCTGCCAACATCGTATTTGGAATTGTTTAGCGTTATCTGAATAGATTCATAATGAATTTGTTTTGTCATCAAACCCGTTTCTAATTACAATAAAACTTGCATGTATTGGATATATGTTAGATCAGGAATACTGTCCGCTGTAGTGTGATGTCTGCTGTAAGGACTTGTCCTCTGTAGGGAGGTGTCCGCTGTTGGGCTTTGTACGCAGTGGGGGAGTTGTCCGCTGTAAGGAGATGTACGCTTAAAGGGGTCGTCCGAAGTAGGAATTTGTACGTAGTATGGAGATAACACTTTCACCTTAGCAAAGAAAATTTAGGAAATCGTTATAGAGATGTTCTCTATTTTGAAGTAGAACAGTATGATTCTTCATCGTCGATATCACGTAAACGAGGGACCACAAGGAAAAAAATTGCCCATGGCTTATCAGACGATGATTTCTCAACACGTGATATTACGTTCTCATAATGGTAATTAAAGTTGCTTGAAATGACAAGAAGGCTCCGCAGAGGAATCATAAACATACTAGTATCCTTTGGTGGGGTTTTCCCTCCACTGTCTTATAATGGAGCGATCATTTAAGCCTTTCTTGCCATTCGTTACCATTTTGCAGCTGAAATAATATTTACTTTATGTAGGTATCTCAACACACGCATAGTAGATTACGCGAATGGGGTGCAGATGCCCTGACTGGATTGGTCAGATCTGCAATGACGTTCGATTTTGAAATGCCAATCAATGGAGACCTGGTACGCATTCTTCTATATTTTCAATCTTGTTTTTGACATTTTTTCTGACGTTTTATACTCTGAGAAGTGACAGACGAAAAAGCTTTTAGCGTTGTAAAATGTTTTGATTTTTCAAAACCAGCTTCTAGATTTCGGAGTTTTCAACATTTTTGTTTTTCATGTAATAAAAGAAGTAATGCTTGTTACCGAATGAAGAATTTGCATTTCTGTCGCTACAGAAATTTTTTGGGTTATTTTTTATGTTTTGCTGCTAAGGCAATGTATAGAAAAATGTTAAAACCTTTAAAGGCTTTTTTGTGTACGAAGAATTGAGCACATTATATTTAGACAATACAGCAAGTCTCTTCTTTGCAACAGTGAAGACCTTCCTGTCAGATCAAAAACAGAAAAAGCAAGGTAACGGAGAAAGGGGAAAGGGTAGTGAGTTTTGGAGAATTCAAAGGAAATGTTGAAGCCTAATTTCAGAAATTTAGAATTGAGAATTAATTAAAAGATTCTTTACGAATTTTGTCTTCTACATCTTGTACAGGCTCTTCAACAGTTGATATTGCACCCGCTACAAGAGATGGCAAATATCTCATACACAGATGTTAGGCAGCAGCAATACGAGTGTGTTTTACAGTTACTGCATGACAGTGCGCCAAACCTTGGTCCAGCATGGCCTTTGATGCTTCACATAATTGGGCTCGCTACAAACCAACAGAAGTAAGTGTTTACTTCTTTCTATTGGCTTAGACAGATGACATAATCTATGACCAGGTAAAGCTGATTACCAAAAGTGGCATTATTTAACTCTTTCTATACCGGACGATGATGAAAGGTGTCGAAGTAAGACCTGCCCCTGTGTACTAGGTGATGCTGCTTTCGTAAGTCTTGTTATACCCAATTTATTTCTCTTGCCAGACTGATATCCCGTTTTTCTAAGATGTTATGTTTGCTTAGAGGCAAAAATTATCGTGTAGACAACATTTATGTCGCCCTGTGCCCCGGAAACGGGAGGTGTAGCTCTATCTGTGCCTAGAAAACATAGAGGTTTGCGGATATGGTATTGTTCTTACGTCCCTTAGAGGGCTGTTCCATAGTTTTCCCAAAGAATCGAATCCTTTTTCCGTCAAAGAAGCAATGTGGCATTCCTTGGACAGATAGATTAAACATATCATTATGAAATGCTGTTACTTTCCTGTTACTTTATGTGCGAAATAACCTTCATAGCCCTTTGCAATACCACACAATGTGCAAATACAGGCCTGGAATCTTGCTGTCACGGTTTATCCCAAGTTTCGCTACTTGATTACAAAGAAAGTAATTTTTCTCGCTAGATACTGCATCGAATATTTTGTCTGTTCATTCTGCCAAAGCGATCTTTCCATTTTATGGCTTGTTAGAGGATCGTTCTATGAGAATTTGACTTTATTTCAGTGAGACGATAATTAGACAAGGTTTCCAGAGTTTGCAACTTGTTGTGACGGACTATTTACCCATAATGCCTTGTTGGTGTTTACAAATTTTGATCGATGTTGTTGGGCAGTTTGGCCTCCAACCACAGGAGATTAACATCAGTTTGACTGCAGTTGGATTACTGGTATGGGTATTAAATTATTGTCTATAAATATTATTGCCTTAAAATTTAAGAATAATATTGTTTGAGAGCGTTGAAAAAGTCGTCAATGTAATATGTTTGTACTGATTTAGTTTATATTAAATTGTATATTTCATCTGATGTACGCTAGAAAACATCAACAGCTCGAGGAGTGACCGTTTTCACTTAAGGCATGGAAGGATTAATTATTGTTTTCTTTACAGTCATATTCAGGACTATATGTCGTCATTTATCTGTCATTTCAGTAACTGATAATAGAGTACCAAAGTGTGATGTCATCAAGATTCTATTTTTTTGGAATTTTTTTAAATTTGACCACATAATATAAAAGAACGGCATAAAATACCTTGCAACCTGCAAAATAAGCTAGATATGTTCAAAATTTGGCGAGATATGGTTATTGAAATGTTTCATGTTTGCCAACGGATCACTGCTGTTCTGGCGTGGCTCATAGAGTTATGAACCAAGACCGAATTATAGAGGTTTGATGGGGAAAAAGCCTGTGCCTATATGGCCATATCTCAGCAAATTTGCAACACATTCAACTAATTTTGCACATTTAGAGGTATTTCATAATGGTCTTTTGGGACTTATGTTCAAAATTGACAAAATTCTTAAAGAAAGATTTTTGTGACGCCATCACTTTGGTACTCTATATTGATCCCTATTGAGAGTTTGGCATTGGTATGTAACAATTACCTTCACTATATTTCTTTTTTTACTTTATTTCTTTTTTAGTGGAATTTATCAGATTTCTTCTACCAAAACCGCACAGCGTTGAAACTGGATTTAGCCAATGCTTATAAACAACACAACGAGTCTGATGCATCTGATGATGAAAAGGGAATATTAGCAAGTTTAATACCAAGTCTACTTGACAAGACGACAACGCCGTTTGATTCGCTATGGATGTGTCTGTTTAGCAAATTGGGAGATTTATGCGTCGACCCGCGGCCAGCTGTGCGCAAAAGCGCGGGACAAACTTTATTTTCAACGATAAGCGCGCACGGTGGATTACTTGAAAATAGAACGTGGTACTCGGTGTTATGGAAGGTTAGTATGTCTGCAGCGGATAGTCCTCGCACGTACAGAGGCTTCTGTATTTATGTAATCATCGTTTTTTGTGCATTGGCGTTCTGAGAATGTTGAATTGCATGTTCGTACCACTTGAGTAAATTTCAGAATTGAACATGCTCTCTCGCATCTCGCTAAGTGGGCCACTCAAATGTCAGGCAATCTACCCCAGAAGAGACGAGACTTTGTAAGCCTAATCTTGATCTAATGATAATGAATCCCACCCATCTCTCCACAAAAACAGTCAGGTAGTTGGCCAGTTCACTCAATGAGGAGCTCCATCCATGTTGATTGCGACTTTTCAACACTTTTGCAGTTTATTTTTAATTACCCCCTCGAAAACAAATTAGTCTATTCTGAAAATTGATGTTTTTTCGCAAATCTGTGCCTGCCATTTTTAGCCTTGATGTGTACGATTTTTAATTATTTTTCGCTTGTTTTCATTTAAGTCATTTTAGTTAATCGCTCCAAATTTACACTTTTGAGATGTGTTTTACATGGAAAGGCCTTATGGTAGCAGATTTAGCTTAATGTTCCTTGTTCCCACCGAAACCCCATGCTGTAGCTATCTAAACCACTTTACTCCCTCTAGAGTCAAACATTGTGTTGATATCTTTTGCTAAATCATCCCAAATTCTTATTTTTTCAATTTATTTTCAACTGAGTAAAGTTTTAAGTTAAATATTCCAAAGTACCTTGATCAACATTGGAGCACCACTCACTAGACAGTGATGTAGACTATAGTTTTCTGGTGCAATAATTAAATGTTAGTGTTAAACCTAATCTTTAATTGACGAAATACAAAATGAGTTCTTAAACCAAATTCCTGAAATATCTGTCTCCTTTTAGGTACTGTTTCCTTTATTGGAAAAAGTCAAGACTATGTCGTCCACCGCTGCTGACGTTCCGCCTCCTAGTGATGCTGCCTCGAAACCGGGTAACATACTCATTCATCACTCGCGGGATACTGCAGAAAAACAGTGGGCTGAAACGCGGGTTCTTACTCTCGCTGGCGTGTCTAGAGTATTCAGCACGCGTAAAAAGATGTTAAAGCAGCTGGACGAGTATCCGCGTGCGTGGGCCTTGCTTCTTGAAATGATCGAAGCAGGAGCTCTTAGTAGGAACAACGAAGTAGCATTAAACAGCTTGAAAAGTTTTCAGGATATTGCCCATGAACAGGAACAGGCAGAGGAAAAACCACAGAAACAAACAAACCCTAAAAAATCGATTCTTTCCACACTTAAAATCAAAACACTGCGATTTCTAGATACGGATGACGAGGATCAGGATCTCTGGATTCAAGCTTGGCGAGTCTGGCTGAGTATAGGCCACATATCAATGTCGGCTGGACATATTGTATATAAGACAAAAGACGAGTCAGGGAATATCATTACAGAGACAAGATATCCAAAACAAGACTATCTCACTGCGCTTCTGTGCGTTTTCCCGTCGCTGCTTGGGCGGATTTATAAGCGTTTTGGCATGGGCGATGTACAGCGGTTATGTGAAGTTGTTCGTCGTGCTGTCGCTATTCCTATCCATACGTCATCTTCGCCATTTTTAGTGCCATCTTTTAATGAGAACTGCCTGTCTTCGCTACAGCAAATAGTTATTTTTTCATTGAATGCTCTTAGAGAGCCTGTCACTCAATTTGATAACAAATCAATTCTAGAAAGCAGTAGCAAATCGATGTATCCGGTATTGTTTGAAACATTGCTAGCTTTCGTTGAGTACAGTTGTTGTCCGCCGAAAATTGAACCGGAGCCGATTCCGATCCGGAATGTTAAAGACAATAGGTCATTGAAAAACAAACAGGGTGGTTGGTCTGTGATGAACTATGTTCCGTTCTCGGAGGAGAGTTTGAGAATAATTGTCGATCTTTATGAAGTTTCGCATAAGGAAGAGGCGGTAATCGAAGCGAGGGTACTTGAAGAGTTTATCAAGGTAGGTGTTTGTTTGTAAGAGGTTTCTTTTCCTGCCCCAACGCAGGCGTCTTGGGTCCATTTTGCTCATTTCTTGTTTGAATTTGACTTGTTCTTATGATGGCCTTTACCGTCGCGTCACCAAATCATATTGCTAAATTTTAAGGTGAAACAGGTTAATCTACGCTCATCTACACCTATATGATAAAAATAAACACAAAACTGGTCTCTTCCGATTTATCTTAGCACATTTTTCAAAAAACTGGAGATACCTCAAGTTAACCTTCTGATATCAGTGAGCAAGAAACGAAAACCAAATTGATTGCCCTATCAACATATTTAAAGCAATCTCAACATATTTAAAGCAATCCCTTCTCCACAGGCCATTTCTTGAAACGACTTATTTCCTTCCAGGTTGTCCGTCTGCCTTTGAAGCTGAAGTACGCATGCCCTTCACAGTCCACGTGGAACCTTGCTGTCGAATCCTTCATGAAAATGATTCGACTTGGATTACCTGTACATTTACAGTCTGATAATAAAGGTTTGGAATAGCTTCATTATAACGGCAGGCGCTGGGCATATTAAATGGTTCCCAAATAGCAATTTTTGCTAGTAGTTCTTAAAGGTAATGTGTCCATATAAAAGGACTGCGTATACCCAACTTGTCAAGAAAAATCAAAATAACAGCTTGCGATTGGTCAGTATTCTTGCGATGCAAAACTGTTCACATGAAAAGCAAATTTCGTCGCAGGGTAAATACATAAAATGACCGTAATGGCTGGGGTGATGACATGAAAAATCACATGTTTCTGAAAACCCTCGCAGAGTTGCTGGACACATTACCTTTAATCAAAGTTGCAATCAAATTAGCTATTTTCAATTACGTTACAATCAAGCACCTTTAATAAATTTGATACACACCTACCTGGTTGCCTATTCTGCTCCTGTTCATTTATTATTATTAATGCAAAAATTTCATATGCTTCTTTATACGATCGTTGTATATCGCGATTCTGTTATCATACTTTCATTGTACTACATCAGAACTACTTCAATCCACTTGAGCACCATAATTGTAACGGTTATTTTTTTCCTTTTCCCCACAGAAAGGAATGATTCCTCGTTATGGAAGAATCTTGCTGATGCTTTAGAAGACTTTCTGTTTTCAAACAGGTAACACGGATGCTCATTCACTCATTTCAGTTACTTCTTCTCTATCAGTTTATAGTTAAAGGCTTTTTTAGGGCTACTGAATTCACTGCTTGTTGCTTATAAAAACTTGCCTCGAAATTTGTTTTAACAATCAATAGATAGCCAGAATGCCGGTCTGCCGTTTTCTGAGCTCTGCTTTTATACAAGATACACAGCCAATAATAAACTACTAAGCTCTACTGCCGGAACGATATTACGGGAACGATATCCCAGGGAGCAAATTGCTACGACTACCATAAGAACATTACATTTATTGATGAATAAACTGCTACTTAAGTTCTAGTTTTCAACCTGATCGCTGAAAATGATAATCTGAGAAAATCTGTGATCATCTGAGAAATTTCCGAGACTGGAATGATTTGGATAATTGGATTGGCAATTTGATTATTATTATTATTATTCTATAGGTAAGGCGTTCAATTCATCCTTCTCCCCTCATTACCTCCTTTATTGTCTAGAAAAAAAATCACGGGTTTTTCTGCTTCTTGTTATTTCACTCAGTGATCCTCCAGTTGTCCCAGAGATCCTCAGAGATTCCAAGAGACCCTGCCTGTGCTCCCACTTTGCCACCCTTTTTAGATACTTTTTACAAGCTTTCCACATTGCTTATCCACATCATTTCGCTCAGAGATTGTGCACTAGCGCAACCAATGAAGTCCCAAGTTACTAACATCGCAGAGTACTACAACGTCCACCTTGGGTTCCTTTTACCCCGTACCTTGTTCCCTTAACCCGCTGAACAGCAGTTTTTCAGGTTGTCGTTCCGTAATATTTCACTAAGAGCTTCTCAAGCAGTACATCAAATTTTCCCCTGTAGCCAAAGTTTAAGAAATTCCAAACCACAAGGGTGGGGGCTAAATATACCTCAAGATTGCTTTACTCTTTGCCCCAGAGATGCTCCCGCAGTTGGTGCAATTCATTCTTCGGTTCTTTTGAAACCACATCTTGCAACAGAATAAGCAGTCACTTATCTGTCTGTCAACTGTGCCTGAATCGATTCACATCAATTTTTCCGATCAAAGATCCCAGGTCAAAATTCAGTATTGCTAAAGCAGGTATTATCACATTGGCTTTGCTAAAAATGTATTAGTCTATCGGTTGATACATAAAGCATGTTCTGTTTGATCAAAGCTCTTGTCACCTCATTGTCTGTCTCAAGATTTAACACAAGATTAATCATGAAAACTGTTATTTGATTTGCCGTAGATGCATCAAATTGCCATTTCCTTTTCTATTGTCTGCTGTTATTTCTAGGAAGGCGTTAATGCTTTTTTGTGTCAGGGGGGTTTACTAAGTGACACCAAGCAATGTATGAAAGCCGTTATGTGATGCCTTATACCCATTTTAAAAAATCTGGTCAACATTTTGCTCGAAGATTCATAGCACTAGTTTAATTTTCCAGTCGGAAACTGAGATATTTCGCGATTATAAATATTGCAATTGAATGCAGTTTAGTGCTACAGAGAATATTTTGTGATTAACATAAATTTGGGGCGATTGGAAGCATTGTTATGTTTCTTTTCATTTTACTTGGTAAGTTGTTGACGAGAAACAGAGAAGATGATCGCACCCCATTGTCTTGAAAATTGCCTTGTCTTGTTTTGAAGAGACCCATTGCACCCCATTGTCTTGAATATGGATTTTGAAATAAAATTTACTATAAACGAAGCCTTTCCCTTTTCTTTTCGACCCCTTTTATAGAGTTCTCAAGTGTGACGTCACAAAAAACTATTTTTAGAATTTTCGAATTTTTTTCACATAACATTAAAGAACACCATAAAATACTCCCATATATGCAAAATCAGTTAAATTTGTCAAAATCGAATGAGCTAAGGCCAATAGAATATTTGAAGTTTGCTAACGGATTACTGTTGTTTTGGCTCAGTTCATAAAGTTACGAACTGAGAGCAAATTACAGTGGTTTGATGGGGCAAGAGCTTGTGCTTATCTGGTCAATTCGTAATACCTTTAACTGATTTTGTAGATTTAGAGTTATTTCATGATGCTCTTTCAGGTTATATGAAAAATAGATTTTTGTGACGTAATCACATGACAACACTATTGAAATACAGGATTGTTTCAGAACTGTTTAAAGATAATAAGGCTGTGAGCAAATCATCCACAGCTATTAAGACAAAAGTTCTACTTTATTTGTTAGGTGTTTTTCCTTTAAGCCTTTATTTTATCGAAATTGAACCGTCTCATTTGCAGCAACCAGCAGATTCCTTAATCTGTTTATAGATGGTTTTTTAGACGTTAATTTTTTATTCTTACTGTTTTTGACAAAATGTTGTATCTAGGCCGAGATGGTCAAGAATCGAAAGTTCAGTTCAAACATCACTTGAAAGAACATGTTTTAAACAACCAGTTCACATCAGGGACCTTTATAAACGATTTCGACAAAATGTTCAACTTTGTCGTACATTTTCACGATCACTTGCAATTACTTCCATGTTTAACAATGTAAATACTTTTATTTAAAGCAGGAACCTTGTTGATAACAGTGTTTTTGATATTAAAAAGGATTAAACCTGTATAAATAATTCTATTATTATTATTATTTATTATTATTGTTAATCGAACTGCAACGAAAATTTCTTCCAGAATATCATCACAATTTAAGCCAATTATGCACATCTGTCATGTTGGGGAGGAAGAACCTGCACTCAGAATGTCTTTCAAGGCGTTTGATATCATCATTCATGTTAATTATGAACTTTCACTTTGCTATATGATAGCAAGAGTATTTCTCAATCTGCTTATACGATTTCTTTCAGCCCACCACCAGAGGGTCATACTTTTGACCAACATAAAGCCGATGAGCAGCTTGATATAACTGTGGTGACGCTTATTCGCGATGAGATCCTCGCGCATGCTAACTCACTGCCAAAGGAATTTATCGACAGATTAATGAAATTGCTTAACCGCGGCTCCATACATTCTGCTGCATCAGGAAGCTTCGACGGTAAGCTTTCTATTTTGCTTTCATATGTCATATCATGTCACTTTCCTTTTATCTTTACCGGTAAGAGTAATCTGAAATATGGCAATGTATGGATTAACCACAATAATGGCCTTCCACAAGACTCGGCATTTGTGCCTTTTCTGTTGATAAGAATCAGCTGATAGAAGACTTCACGGGTGCGGCACTCTTACCCGAGTTAATTTACCGTAACCCTGTGCTCGACCGTAAGCGTGATGTTGTAATGACAAAGAGTTTTATTTATTCGACGTCTTTGTTTCAAATTGCAATTAATTTAGGGTTCGTAGAAGATATGTACTTGGTGGCTCATTAAAGCTGCTTACTTTATCGTTTAATCACAGGGTATTTTCCAACCAAATAGTTCAATGGATGTCAACATACCTAAGCTACCTGATCAAATTACATTGTTGATTTTTAAGAGCACGTTGCCAAGAAAGGTTCTTATTCTTGAGCATAGCTATCAAAGGGGTGATTATTTAAAGGCTTTGGGTATTTGCTCTCCTTGTCCTTGAAGGCGTTGTTCGAAAGACATTCTTATTTTGAATTCGCTTTGTCATCTCTATCAGTGTATTAATGCAAAATAGTTCTCTTTCCTTTTCTGCTAGGAGATTCCTTGGTTTTTCCTGTTCGAGAGGATTTCGCCAAGATTTGTTTTCAGGCACTGCTGCAGTACTCATTTGTGTCACAAAAAGAAGAAAGCAGTAAGTTATTTGTCATTGGGTTGTTTATGATTGAAAATCTAGTGCACAATGTTTTTTGTGATTCATGCCAAACGAATGTTTCTGTTTACAATTTTGAGCAATGTCACTGTTGTTTATAATTGGAAAAGAAGTTCGGCAAGGGGCCTATTCTCTATGATATCCACTGGTGCAAGTGATCATGAAAACGTAATAGAGATATCAATGATATTCTTGTTTGTTCTATCAAACTGTTTTATTAAAAGAAAGTATATACTCAGTTTTTCATTGCTAATGCCCGTTACTAGAAACGATATAACCGAGGACCAAATTAAAGGTACTCGACCTTTCCAAGTGCAAAAGGTTTATACTTGGACACACTGGTGACATGCAGAGTAAAAAACATTAGAAAATTGATCACATGAATGTTAAGTTATTTCTTTTTGAGGCGGGCTGCGATGCTCACGTGATACCAATCAAACGCTTATTCATTGGCCAATAGTTGATTGACACATAAGTAAAGCCGCTTTGGTATTTGTTAATTGCTTAGGTGAGGAGTAAAAAAAGATAAGAGAGCAACAAAAACGATTGACAAGTGCTGTTTCATTTCCCTGAATTTTGCTTCATGAATTTACTGTTTTGTTCTTCTTCATCTCTATAGACGGAGCTTCTTTTTCATTCGAAAAGAACCTCAATTCCCTTCAATCATTCATCATAAATCTAGCTGTTTCTTTATGCCACTTCCAATGAATTTCCAAACGAATTAAAACGGTGAACGTGAATTGTATCCGGAAATTTGCTATCCAGTCGCTGCTTTCGTCAGCTGTAGTTTGAGCTAGAAAAAAACAAGTCATCTATTGAATAGGGAAGACCCTGACCGTCGCCCTTGTGGCCGAGAGGAAAACACCAATGCCTCTCGCCTCAAAAGGCATACACCAACAAGTTCGAGCCCACTGCTAGGAATGAAAGAAGTGGAAATCAGGCTAGGGACAGCAAGGCCCATGAATCTAGAAAAATCAAAACAGACTGCACAACAAGCATTGAGTTTGCAGCGAATAACGAGTACTCCCGATGACAGACTGCAAATATGACGAAGTACTCTCGCATGTTTGTCTCCCCTAAACGTATGCAATCCTAGCTCAGAACGACTTTCTTTATGCTTCTAAATTAGTACCAGCGCTCTACAATGAATCCTTGCATGTGACCATTGTCAGATTAACCCCTTAACCCTCAAACCAGTTTAGGCTTTCGCAACCAGTTTAGACTTTCGCTACTTTAGATGTCACAAAGGAAGTGCTTGTCACTTATCCAGTATCTGAACTCCTGTCAATTTGATGGGTCACTGCAACGTATTTTATTTCTTAAAACCGCGTCTAACGGACACCTCCCAGTAATGGACACCTCGAAACAACAGGCTAATAATTTTGTCCTAAATCTCCTTCCTGCGATCAGAGACTTATAAAACCTGCAGACAATGGACACTTTTTTACAACGGACACCTTTTTACAACGGACACCTTTTACAACGGACACCTATTTACAACGGACACCTTTTCACAGCGGACACCTTTTCTAAAATGGACACCTTTATATAACGGACACTGCTTTGTTGATGTTTCATTGCATAAACCCACGTTTGTTTGGTAATTAGAATTTGAAAAGTTTCTTCATACTCAAATAGCCACAAAACAGTCGGTATGGATTTTTGTGGGAAATTGATCAAAATGTGTAACAAGCATTATAGAACGAATGCTTAAAAGTGTTTCTATTCGATAATATCTTAGTTGTAGCTATGGACTCAAATGTTTTCTACTTTTTAATATGGGTAATGTTCTGTCTGTGGTTCGTGTGGGGGAAATTTCTTGTGAAATATAATCTAAAATATCAAGCATGGGGTTTATATTTTGTTATTCATTTGAATATTCTGATCTGTGTCACAGAACAGTGTCTATGTATGTTTTTCTGTCCCCGTTTACTGCCATTTCGTTTCGATAACGTCTAGTTTTTATCCTGCAAGTTATTTCTTAATAACCTGATGTCTGATTCATAGCTTAAGCGTTATTAAGGGGTGAAACTCCAAAACAAGCGTCTGGTCAAATTTCAAATTTTGTTACTCTTGGATAGCTATTTCGATCGCTGAAAGAACACGGAAGTTAATAGCAACAACCGTTTCAAGGAAAGCAAACCCACATGTTTATAGAAAAATTTGTCTTAAAAGGTGTTGTAGGGTTTCTTGAATTTTGCACTTATGTTAAAATTGGTATTTTTTTATATTAAGAGTTCGCTGCTTGACTGTGTCTGCAGTACTTCATATAGAATGTCTACTGTATTTTCAAAAGGCATAACATAAACGTTTTAAGAAATTTATGAATTTTTGATGAATTAAGTTGTTTATAACAGAATTGATTTTTCTTTAGAACCGTTTTTCTCTTCTATTGTTTCTCTTATAGAGTTATTTCTTTCATCATTTTTTAGTCTTCACACGAGCAAAAAATGAAGCTTGTATATATCAATTCTATTCTTCTCTTTTTTGGTATAAAATGTTTATGTTTTATTTATTTAACTCTAACTTGGAACCATTGTGCTTCAATCTCTTGCGCAATGGCAAATAGCCAAGAATAAGTATTTTCGAAGACTTTTATTCAATTCTCTGTTATATTCGAAGGGTTTGCGTTGTAGCCCCATTATAAAGGAAATAAATGTTTTTCTCCAGCTTCGGGCTCAATTTCAAAACTTGCCCTTTGCTCCTTGGTCCAAAGATGCAAAGATGTACTGTCCAAATTCACCGAAGATGAACGACTACAAGGCCAGTTCCCGCTTCCTAGGTATGTTGAAGCCAGCCCCAGTATTTAAATCTAGATGCCCTAATCATTTAGTTATTATTTTCGTAGAGAACCTTGACATGTGCGTGTTCTCATAACCTTCAAAATAAGAAACTAATGAAGTGCTGAATTTATTTGCTAAAAGTTCTTAAGACACTTCCCTACTGTCTTTGGCGCGGACACGAGGTCGTCGTTTAGTGGGCTTAACACAAATTTCAGACGAATTTCTGGTTAGAAATTTCCAAATAAGTCCAAAGGCAAACCTCGACAACATAGCGACGTTCTAACAAATTTGATGTCTGAAGGTACCACAGCCCGTGCATTCTTATGGGGACGCCGAAAAGACATGTCGTTCCATGAAAACCACATATGCCTTAACAAGAATCGTTTTGTTTTCGAGCAAAGTCCCTCCAAAATCCCTAACAATCCTTTTGCTCTACAAAAACTCGTCCGCTGTTCAAAAAGTGTGGTGCCCCCTGTAAGGACACATTTTTTGTGTAGAAGTTCCAATGTCATTTCGACTTTGAAATGTCAAGATCTTGATCCAGTAGTTTATATCTTAATGACCCTGATAAATGAGTTACAGTTTCTATGTGATTAAACTGTGAAATCGAAAAGGCACTATCTCTGATCGAATAACGAACTTTTACGTAGTTACCTTACCCAGTATACTTTGACATGTTGAGAATATGTAATGAATAACGTAGACTGTTTACTGCCGAAGTATCATTATGTTATCAGCGAGAAAAGTGTTACTAATAATTTCAGGGCCAATTCTTTATTCTTGCGAAAGCTGGGTAGTTGTGCTTTATCAAAAAGAGCCCATGGTTGAAAAGGAGACTGGCCTGTTAATGAAAATGAAATAGTAAATCGTGTCTGTTTTGGACCTCCTGCAGTCAAATTGGCCATATGAATACAAATTTTATTCTACGTTTAAGAATAGTTTTAAATGAAAGATCACCATTTAATAGGTTGAACTACAACGTATAATCTTGCTCTTGTTGCACCACAATATTCTCAACAAAATTCAAATACATTGTATTAGAGTTTTGGATTCTGATGGTAATCTGATAATAGTGTACATACCAGGGTTGCCAGGAAATTTCATACATACCAGGGTTGCCTAGAGTCAACATAAATTCGATTAATAGCAAAATTGATTAGTAACAGAAAAATTTAGATTGCTAGATAAATGGCATAGATCACAATGTCAAACTATGTCTCTTACTCAAGATGATTAAAAATTGTCATTCGATTTAAAACTACATGTCATAAAGATTTTTTCTGCTGCTCCCCTAAAAACTCTCAAAATTTCCATATTTCCTTTATTAACTCTCGTAAGTGGATTGGATCAACTGGTTTTTTATGTTTGGTGCATTTTGCTTTCAGGGCAAGAATGGCTGAAATGTCTTTCGCTATCAAGGCAGTTAGCACGTTGATGACGTCATTGAAGAGAGCCAATCAAAATATGCCGGATGCAAGTATGCCAGTCGTTCGTTTCTTTGACTCCTCTTCCTTCTTGTTTTTTTGAACTGCGAAACCAAGGCAGTCTAAGCTGAAAATACTGTAATGGACGAGGCTTTTCATTTAATGTCGTCATTTTGTCATGGAAAATAGCTTCAAAGTTAGGATGAAGGTTATTCTCTTCGCAACCAGAAGGATTAGGACACTAAGAGCAACCTGAAATACCGTTCTAAAGGGATAAACCCTATTGATTCCCTTTGACTCCCCAACGTTCCCACAGGGCTTAACTTCCTTAAAGTAAAACCGTTTCCCCTTGCCTTAGCTCAATAGGGTTGGAATGCTCAGCCTTAAGGACTATAGAGAGCAGGTACGGGAAAAGTGATTTAACAACAATAGATAATAGATGCTATCACCTTGTTAAAGTATGAGATTTCCACGGAACCCTGGGCCCCAACCTTGTAGTCAACCAGCCCCTACCTTTTAAGATTAGCCTCGAATTAAAACTTGATGTCATTATAACTCCTCTTGCAAATTCCTGTATAAGGCGTTGGATATACGTGGAGTATAACAACACCATGCTAGGATTCAGTTGTAGGTCAGAGTGGATAAAAGTTCCACGTTTTGTGGGTCAGATGATTCTGCGAAATACTCATCTACTGCTTTTCTTTGCTGTGTCAGGGTGACATAGGTTTAATGCTTTTGATATGGGACCTTTGCAGAAAACATCTTCAAAACACAAACAAGAATCACATGTGGGCACGTCCTTGCTTTACGAAGGTTGGCCGAGTCAAAAGCATACGAGTGATTGGGTGGGCCTTCCAAAAATGAAGGAGGTTATACAATATCAGATAAATTAAAAAATGTCGCGATTTGAAGCAGTTGTGGTATTGGATGAATAGGCTATTTCTGCAGCAACTAATGTTACAATGAACAAAAGTATTTTCTTCTGCATCATGTGAAACAAATTATGAAGCGGACTCAAATTGAATGGCTGTATCAGGTATCAGTTTGACATAGTCAGGGGTATGTTTCCCATTCATTAAGCGAACACTGAAATGGAAAAAAGCAAATATTATAAATGCTTGTGGGCAAATCTTTGTTGTACTTGGTTGCGAACAGGAAAGGACAGTTTATGTTTGGGGCAGTTAGAAAATATTTGAAAACGTGATGACTAAAAGAGAGATTTCCAAAGCGATGTTGTAGGGTGTTGTCCACTTCGAACCATATGATCCATATCCTTCCGCCGTTAATCTTTGACGTAACATTTCAAACTTTAAAATTGCAATGACGTTTGTACAGAAATTAATCAATAAAATGTCAAAGAAAAAGATTTATACTGTATTGTTACTACTAGGACAAGAGCTTGATGTCGCAAATCTTACGTTTAAGCGCGTCATTCTTATCCTGTTCTTTTGTAATTGTTTTTATCATCCCTAGCATTTTGTAATTTCTATTCTGTGTCCCTAGCGAACTAAATCCTTGTCCGGGCACAAAGCTCCATTCCCAGAATGCCTTTACAGGCAAACTAAAGATCCCATTAAACATGCACTTATCCTGTCATATTTTTAATTAGCATCTTACAAATCTTGACAGTTGAAAGAAGCATGTGGGAGGAAGTGATCGCAATATACCCAACTCTACTCGACTGTGTGACCTGCAATTCTACAGACGTGAGGTATGCTTTAAAGGACGCTCTGAAGGAATTTTCTGATCTTTTGGCAGTTCCACGCAAGGTACTAGAACAAGACGAATCCAGTAATGCACAAGTGAATAGTACCCAACCCAATGAATCTCAGCAGAATAATAGCGAAAATATAGCCTACAATTAATGTTATTAAATTTTAACGAGAATTTCTCTGAGTAAACGTATTAATCATGTAATAGGAAATTGTTTTATTATTGGCCTAATATATACAGGTTTCAAATTATTGTTGTAAAGAGGCGCTCTATCGTATTGGCCTGGGCCTAAGACTCCTGCCAGAGTAGGTAGTTCTGAAGGCCCATATAAGCATCGTTGTTATGCATTTAGGGGAGAGGGGGGGGGGGGGTCCTAGTCAACCACACGAATAACTGGTGCGCTCAACGGGTTATCGAGTGAAGACATATTTATATTGTTAAAAGTAATATCTTTAGATAGTTTCTTTTTTGCTTTCTGATTTTTAAATGTCAAAAGAGAACTTAGGAGAGAAGAGGAACCAAAGCTTCCTCTTCCCATTGCATCTATGGGAATTATAGATTGACGTGTTTTCTGTCAATCTCAACGCACGTGCAGCCTTTCTCCTATACCTCCTTACCCTTTTTATCTTAACAATTTATTTTCAAACAAAGGTGGCATCAGATTAAGCTTTTTGTAATACTTTAATGCCAAACCTTTAATATCTACGAAACCATTTTGATCGACAAACGAAGCCGTGAATCCGAAATTAAAACAACAGTAAACCCCGGAGTAAGGTTATAATCGCAAAGTAAAGCCATGCGGATATTTTCGTTTGGTTAGATGCACTGGTGGAAATTTACTCAAATAAAAAGGATTCAAATGTGCTGTCATTGCGCAACAGTATACGTTGTTTGGTCTTAAACCAATCTTTTTGCGAATCCCCAATCTTTCTCAATCTGAAGCAGAAATCTTGCGAAACCCATTTAGACCCCGTTTACACTGTCCCGGGACAATTTTGTACCGTTACGGTTCGCAAGTGTTTACACTGTCGCGGTTCCAAATTGTTCCGTTTAGCCGTTCCGTTTACACTGTACCGGTACGACCTTAATTTAATGGTAGAACATTGTTTAGAAGAAGCTGTATTTAGTCAACCAAGGCTTTTATTTTGCCGCTGAAGACAGCAATCGAATTTTTATTGTGAGTTAAAATGGAGCGGAAGGCCGATTAAAACTTTACTTGGACGAAAGACAAGGTGGCTTTAATTTTCAGTGTTATTTTAGACTACAAAACTGCAAAGTCCAATCAAGGCTTGGACTGGGAAACACTACAAGCCTTTTCTGTGGTCGTCTTTTCTTCAGAATTTCCTTTTCTTCAGAATTTGAGAACGTAGTTACGCCACAATCAAAGCCTCGATTACCTGAAACAGCCATACAAAAGACCTCTTTGTGATTCGTGACAAAATCGTCTCGGATAGGTGTTTACACTGTCCCGTTCAAAAACGGAACCGTGACGGTACAAAATTCGTTCGCTTTCAAAGCAGGGTCAAAACTGTTCCGGATAGCAGAGCAAAATCGTCACGGTTCCACAGTGCTAGTGTATATACGCAAGGTTGTTGATTACGTGGGCTGTACGGGAGTTGTTTTTCACGGTTTCAAATTTTGCTCGGGACATGTTAAATGGTGGGTCTTATATGTTTCCCAAGTAGGAATGTTTCTTTCAAGTTGGTACTGTTCTACATGAAAAATACGATTTATTTAAAGAGTTTCGGAATTTTGATGCGCTGCATAATTCATGAAATTAGTAAACAGGCGTATATTAAGAGGACTCCGCGATAAATGAAAATGCAGTTTAAATTTTCGTTAAAAATCTGGTGTGGGGGTTGATGTCTATTGGTCTAATTTTATGAATATTGTTGAGAGTTGCTAATTCTGGGAGGGTTACTGGTTTTGTTTTGGCTCAGTGTCTATAAGTGTATGACTCAGTATTGACGCAAATTACAGAGTGTTTTTTGGGTTGTTTGCGTCTATGGGTTTTGCTCGGATCTGGTCGGAGGTTGGTTGATTATCTCAGCCAATTCATTAATATCCTTTTAATCTGATTTTGGCAGATTTATGAGGTATGGTGTCATGCTTGCGTGGTTTTCAGGTTATGGGGAAAAGGATTTTCAAGAGAATTCTATAAAAGATAATTTTGGTGACCTTTATCACTTGATCAATCTTTCTATTTCTGGCTGGTGTTTGTTTTTTATATTATTCTCGAATCTGGATGGTTCAGTTTATTGGTTTTTTTGTTGGCTATGTGTAAGTAAGTAGCCTTAGTGGGTAAGTGGTATTGAGGAGTGCTGGTCATGTGATTAAAGGTTTTTGAAAAGTAGTGTTAATAATCTTAGAATATTTTTGGCCAAATGGAGCTGAATTGGAAGGAATGGTGGGCTGGATGGGGGGTGGGGGGTAGGGGTAGGCTACCTGAAGCATTGGTGCTACAACAACAGGACAGGCTCTAGGGTGCAATCCCTTGACCTATGCCCAGTCTTCTGAAGCAGCTTTCGAAAGTTTAAAGAATCTCTTACCTTTGATAAAATTTTCCTAATACATTTTTTCGGACGCTAGACAGAAACTAACAAATACTCTTAAAGGGCCAAAAATGACTCAGATTTTTTATACTTGTCTAGCAAGTAGTTTCCTTCCAAAGCCCCCATCCCATTTGCTCCCTTTTCAGTTGAGCTAAACCAGAGTCAACAGAAATGTTCATCCCTTTTCAGGCCATTGAGTAAAAATCTTTAAAATCTAACAAATAGAGCAGTTAAATTGATTGACATTGACCTCCAAGCCGACATTGGTTGTGTGAAAGGTATACAGGAACAAAGCAATACGACGACGAGAATCCAATGTCACGAAATAAATTTGAATTGAATTGATTGTGTGGCCGGCAATCAATTCATGACTCTAGACCCACAATGGCTACCAGAGCCTCATAAATTCTAGGGCGGAAAAAGGAGAGGAGCGGAGAAGCGGAGTTGCGGAGGAGCGTCTAGTTTAGAAGATAGAATAGTGGATCCTCAAATTTAAATCAAATTTGTGTGGCTCTGGTACCCAGGGTTCTCTAGACCACACCTCTTGACGTTGCCTTAATTAGAGGACTTATCTGGTGGGGTCCAGTCTTTGTAATTGCTAAGTGTGGATTGCTTAATGTTTAGAATAAATTAATAATCGTTAATGTCGTCGGGTGTAGGAACATGTGCCTCCCTTCAACCTTTTTAGTCTTCTTGTGAATGTGCATGCCCCAAAATTAGTTGAACTTCACCTCAAGCAGAAGAAATAAAGCACCCTTTGCACAACTGGCAGTGATATTTGCTTAGCTTAACTCTTGGCAATTCCCGTATAAATTCTTTGTCTACCTTACTCAAACCACACTGAAAATTGCGATTACGCAAGACAGGTCAATGGAAACTGACACAAATGCGATCAGGTAACCTGGAGGGCTTTGTCTCCGGAGTATCCAGGTACCTATGCGACATTTGCGTCAAACCGCAAGGCTTTATTTCGGGATATATCATTTTCAATGTGTATCCCTGTCTCTTTTTGGTTGCCCTGTAAAAAGAAATACCATAAATCATTTAAACATATTTTTACTATTTTACAACAACCTTGAAATAAATTAGCAAAACAAACCGCTGGAGAACTTAGGAGGGAGACGGTAAGTTCGAGGGTACATAATTACTGCCCATAAATGCGTACGACAAACAATTTTCTCCTGGAAACCAGAAGTGTATACGTGTTTTTATCATTCAATTCCCATTTTTTGCTACCGCCACATCCAGCAAAGATGGAGAGGGGTTCGGACTGGTTGTCCATCCGCACTTTACTGGAATTTTTTCTCTTGCAAATTTACCTCATACCCACAGCTGGAGCCTTGAATCGTCCCCAGTTCTGTAGTGACCCCATCGCTTCTGGGGTTCTGTCCACGTAACACAGTGTCTTGTGAGACTGTTTAACGAAGAGGGCGATCCCCCCTCACGACCTTAAGCTTATTCTTGACAGATCCATCAATTTATAGACTGTTCGTATTGCGCAAACGCATAAAAACAAAGCTGTTCCTAAAGCTGCAAGCGCAATTTACATAAGTGACACTCTCTTCAAACCCCACAGGGACCTTCGAATATTGTCTCATACTCGGTGTCAAGGACAGTGACTTGCATGCATGAGGATGTTACCCCCAATCAATGTGAATTGCACCAAGTGAAGAGACGAAAGAACATTCCTTTCAAATTTCAACCTGTCTCCGTAAATTTCCCTTAAAATTTTAGTTCAAGGTCACCTGACATGTTTTATGGTCTTATTCAATTAAGACACAGCATTTTTCAGGATGAGATGCCCAAATATCGACTCGTGTCTGTCCGGCAAACATTGTTCCTTTTTTTACACGTGGCTTTATGTCTTTACAAGCACTTTCCTTATCACTGGAATGGGAATGGAGCTAACTTGGTAAGTCTGGTGTTATTTGTTCTCCCCATGGATCTTTTAAACATAGACGCTGGAAGCATTTAAAAATATAGGCACCTCTGTAAGCTGCAAGTAGGTAAAGTCCCCCCCCCCCTGGCTCATACGGAATTGTCTAGTTTCCATACTGCTCGACCCGATAGTCATAAATAAGCATGATTAATAGTCATAAATTAGTATGATTAATTATTTCAAGTAAAGGGTTAGGCTAAGGGTTAGGGTTAGGTTTAGGGTTAGGTTTAGGGTAAACTAATTACGTCATCAGGTCGAGCAGTATGGAAACTAGACAGCTCCGGCTCATACTTCTATGCTTCTAAACCCGAAGTCATTGCTATTAAGTGTTTGGCGGACTACATACCATCCAAAAGAGCTGTAATGAACATATATGTTTATAATATATTTTTACAAAGGGTATTTTTGGGGTGCTTATAGGCCATGTAAGGACCAGCTCTTTGCCCGAAATTTATAGATTTTAGAGATAAAGTTTATTTTAACGGTTTCTTTCTTGTAAAGCACTTTCACCTAAACTAGAACTTCCTCTTGTTAAATGAGAGAAAGCGTGACTGTTTCTAGAGTTTGATGATTGGGTCTATGAATGGCTGTAGCTCCTGAATGCTAAGCTTACATCGTATCGGTTCTTATCGAAGTACAAATAGTTAAAACGTTAGAATGAGCCTAATAGAGAAGGAACAAATAAAGTAAATATTGCCTATCGCTAAACCAACCCCAGGCGCTATCAGATCTACCCTCCTTTGTCCATTCATTTGTTCAACTAGTCTCCAGTTTCCCACCATTCATTAGCTTTGAAATTGTATCTTCATCTCATTGTTGTGGTTAAACTTTCGACGTCGCAATTTGCCGTATTCAAGTTACAATGCGATTGGGTCCCTACACAGAGGCTTACAATCAATCTAGAGCTGTTTCTCGGAAAGCATAGACACGGCTGAATTGTCTGTCAGGCCCTTGTCCTTTTGAGAGAGAACAACCTCTAGAGGACGAGGTCAAATCAGCCTGCAGAGAACCCAAACAGGTTTGTCTTATTCTGAAGTTTTTTTATATTCTATGGAAGATATGACCAATGTTAGAAATGATTATCTATCAGCGAATATTTTTTAAACTTTCGGAGGATATGTTTGTTCTGTTTATTTACTAAAGTATCGTTTCCCTGCCCCCGTGCTCGCCCCCGAAGGCAACCTTTGCTGGAGCGCCATATATTGACGTCAAAAGAATTCATATCGATGTCTGGAAACGGATAGTTTCCTGGCAAGAAGACATATACAGATATTGATAGATTTAAGAGGCATTCAATTGCACCACAGATTGAGCACTGTAATGAACCGCCAGACTATCCTTATCATATATTATCTGGTCATGGGAAAAGCGGGTCATTGAGTTCGCCACACTGACATCCACAGGAACTAGGAAGGTCCATTGCGAGCGTACACGTGTAGTTTTGTATGTCTTCTCCCATCGCCTTGCAGTGAGCATGGCTGCAGACAACTTTCCTCCAGAACGCCTTTCTACACCTACAACTTTAATCCAGAACGCCTCCAGAACGTCAGGACAGCATGGCTGGCTGTTCTCGATTTTTTCGAAAATCTGAGGCTGGATTGTTCTTAATATTGCATTTGCTGTGTCGACTTCACTGGTAATGGCTGGTAAGGATTTAAGCGGGCGTGTCCGAAAAAAATTGAGGAGTAAAGTTACTGGTTGTGGCTGTCTCTATAGGTTAGAATACTTTAAATGACAATGCTAGACACGCATCGCGCATAATCGTGTACTTCGATTTTGAAAAAAGGTCTATTGTTTTGAAAAAAAGTGGGGGCACTATGGCAGCCCGGCCCCCCTTCGTTGGAGGTCATGTTTGCTCCAAACAGCAAGAACTATGGGGAATGAAAACTACGCTATATTGACATGTTTTTTAACTTTCTGTCCTCATATTTGTATGCCTACACTGTAAAAATTGTTGGTCATAGTTTGTCGTAATAATCAGTCATTTATCTATAAACTGTTTTTTGTCAATAATTTGTCACTAAATCTTTCATAAATTGTCCCTTAATCGTCCTGTTCGTTTGTAAATTGAACAGTGGTATTTGGCCTAAAAAACTGAATAATCGAGAACAAATTTTCATTTTTATAACCCCTGTAAGTCTAGCTGTGCTCGCAAATGTTCAAATGTCTTCAATATTTTTGCTGGAACTATTCTATCCAGGGACCCCGAAAGCAGGGGGCTGCAGGGGCTGCATGTAGCTTTATCCCTAAACACTTTTCAAACTTTTAATTAAAAGAAGACAACCCCCCCCCCCTCCATGCACAATATGCTCCACGGTCTCTGATTCTGTCATGTGATTTGTGTGTAGGTGAGCTTGCTATGATTTAGCTTTCCATTTTTGTTCTTTCAAAGCCTGTTGATGCGCAGTCTTCTTTTTTGCCTCTTGAAGGCTGGCAACGCGCAGCCATTGGGCTAGCAAGGGCTTAAGCCCCCCTCACTTTTTGGAAAAATAGGTTGAAAAATTTATTGAAAGTTCACTATAGCGCAACTTTGGAAAGTTTACTCGAACAGATTCTAAGTAGTAGCAGTTCTTCTTGACCCTACTTATCCACTTTCTCGGCGTCTTATTTTGTTAATCTATTCTCAAAGTAATTGTTATCTTCTCTGAATTGGACTGTTTAAAAAAATAAGTGGAAAGAAGCAAGTGTTTTCTACAAGAGGTTTTTTATGGCGTTCTAAAGAGCGTGGCCTCAAAATTTTCGGTCACACTCTTTTCAGCCCACCCACTTTTAGACTGGTGCGTGGTGCCTGCTTGAGGGAGCATCATTGAGGCTTCAGGTGGTACATTAGTCATCAACATTAAGTCATTGGTGAATTGAACTGTATCCTGATGTCGGTGTTATTAATGTATTTATGCTATGTACTGTATTATTACTACCCACGCGATGAGGATCACAGATGGTTCCCGCAAAGCCTGGCACTTATAAGTAGGGAATTGGCAAGAGATCAAACTGCTTTGGGACTGCAAAGACAATATTATTGCGACACACATCTTGAATTTTGTTCCTGTTCGGTTCTTTAGTGGTGTTAGTTATGGCGAACACTAGGAAGTGTTTAGTCCTGTTGTACTTTGCTACGAGAGTTTTTTGTATCATTTATTGATATAAAGAATAAAGCAATTGTGATCGATTTAGTTCATATCCCGATCACTTATAGCAACAGCCTGGAAAATATAATTAAGACAGGAATATTGCATCAAAAGCAAGGAAGGCTTCTGAATTTCCTCTAAAGAACGGTTATTGCAAACTTTTGGATGCAGCGTTTAATAGAGGGCGGCGTTTATCGAAGAGCGGCGTTTAATACAAAATGAAAAATTTGTTAAATGAAAAATGACAAGAAAAGTGCAATGAAAAGAGATAAAAACAGACCTTATACAATGCTTTCTTTTTCCCAAAATCACATAATAAAACTTATCAAAATGTCAAGGAACGTTAATATCCATGTCTCTATCAGAGTCCTCGCCTCTATGACTAAACAATTTTCATGACTTTCAAACAGTAAGCGTATAAACTATTCTTTACGTCTTGTTTCGTGTGTTTTCTAATGAACACCGCTTATCAAGATGCAGCGTTTAAAAAGTCGGCGTTAATTAGTGGGCAGCGTTTTTACAAATGGTTGGCGAAGGGTGCGGCGTTTAATAGAGAGCAATCTTTTGCAAAGGGCGGCCTTGATTAGAGGAAATACGTACCATAAATCCTCGAATAAGCCCCCGGGCGCTTATTTGCAAAAATGAATTTTTGGGTGGGGGCTTATTCGAGGGGGGCTTATTCGAGGGGGGCTTATTCGAGGATTTACGGTAATTGTCGCTCAGTTGATATGCTCAGAAGTGCTTTTGGTTGCTTTTTCTCTTAGCTGATTAATATTTGCTGGTCCTGGCTTTGGTGTAAATTATTTCTTGTGGTTTCATAATTATACAGTTTTCTTTTGTCAGATCAAATGTTTGTAGCTATATAAAATACTGAAAACTTAACTGCAAGTTTTCGTGATTTAAATGGTAGAAGACATTGGATATCTTTCACTATAATTTTGATTGGATGTTAAGACTGAGAATTCGGTAGTTTTCATTTGTTTTGCATCGATAAGTTAAATTTTCATTATTTAATTTTCTTCCTTCCTTGTTGATAAGTCTTAAAATCGCAAAATAAAATTCCTGCTAATACAATGTTTCAGATCTTCGCCATGACGTATATTTTATTTGTAGCCGAAGACGCAGAGCTTAGAAGCCATAATGCATCGTGAATCGACTACAAAGATGTTTTCTAAGAGGATCCTGCAAATATTTTGCCTTGCCTTACTGAACACATTCTTTCATTCTCGGGTATGATATCTTGTCCTAAAGTTTATAGTGCTACTATCCTTGTCAGTGTATTGCTTTGAAAAAATTAACAGTGTATCATTCACCGCCGCCCCCTACCCCAATCTTCTTACGAAATAGCTATCTGACTGAAATTTAATCGCTTAACATCGAAAGTACAGCTTTTTTGTGGAGGGGGGGGGGGGTGTTGATGGTAAAGAACAGCATTTTTTGTGGATGGGGTGGCAGGGGTTAGGGAGATGCTTTTGATCGTATGAAAAATTTATTGCAAATATTAACAGGGATTGTAGTTAATGCTTATTGCCACGACTGCTAATTTGTTTGGCTTACTGAGGTTCCATTTGTAAAAGTGGTCTGTTCTTTTGCCGAGAACCACGACACGTCCCGATGTGCACATGCTTCAAACCATCCCTCCCCCTTTTCTTAACTTGTACCAAATGGTATAATTGGCAGGGGTAGCAAAGCCAATTACTTTACAGTGGAGCCTCCAGATAAAGGACACCGTTCAAACCAGGTTAATTGTCCGTCGTACAAAGGTCCTTTTAAGCGAGTTTTGACCATTTGGGACAAAAATGTCTGCCCGTTGTTGCGAGGAGTCCGTTGTATAGAGGTATGTTTTAATGGAGGTTCGGCTGTATGATTTTCTAAGTATTTATTCTTTTTAAAAATATTGGTTGCATCTATATTCGTTAAACATACAAGTCATTGTGTTTTTACGTGATATCACTCAACTACTAACTTGTAATACATTCAGTGAAAGCCTTGTAGTAATCAAGAAGCACAATTCAAGCATCATCTATTAATAGATACACACTTTGATTTTCTAGGTATTTGTTGAGGCTGGAGTAACTGTTGAATTCAAATTGATGGAGTTTAAAAATGACCGCGGTAGACTTGCTAGTGGATCTTACTGCGAAGGAGTATCTAGTGGAACTTGTGATACTTATTTCAAACTCTGTGTTCGGTTAAGTAGCATATTAAATGGATTGACAAACTGTGATTATACGAAAAATCCCAGCAAATATATTGAAAAAAACAACATAAACTTTCAGACAGACGATACTGGGATTCCAAAAATAATTTCAATTAAAAAGGACCAATGGAATGGGGTGAGTGAAAAATATCTGAAATAAGAATGCAGTGGTTATGTATATTTATGATTTATAAAACCAGAATGCAATGGTTCAATTTAACATCTTGATTATGCGAAATTAATTATATTTTAAAATAATAATTACACAAGAAGCTTCGTTTCTTGATACCAGCTAAACGTTGAAAACAGCTCCAACACTCTTAAAGGCGAATTCAAACTCAATTCATATATTGTATTAAAGATGGAAGAATTAAAGTATTAAAGAATTACACTGTGTTATGAATATAATTTATCAGATCAAACAGAGGAAGTATCAAAATAAGCATTGATGTTAGCACTTAGGTCTACTTTAGACATTTTTTTCATAATTATCTATTCCAAACACGTCTCCTTCGCTGAAAATTTCAAGATTTTCAAGCTGGCATCTTCTCTTACCATGTTTTAAAATTTTGAATATAATGCTTTGCGTAATGTTGATATAAGTTCATAAGAAATTTTATAGCTTTATTGTAGCTTAAATCGTTTGAAGTCGTAACACTGTTAATCCTTTTTGTTTCTTTAGCATAACATTGCTATACCATATTTCTGTTCTTTTAACAGTACATTGCTATGTACCTTGAGGCATGGGATGGTGACTATGGTCCGGACGATAGAATTGACACTTTTAGTTATATTCGCCAATACGCCGCCTCGCCCAATGCCACACGCGCAGAGATCTCCGAAACACTTTATGGAATGAGAAGTACTTACAAAACACAATTGCATTTTATCGTGAATATTTATTGTGATTTGCATTACTATGGCTCTAAATGTAATGTATTTTGCCAAGGGCGTAATGATAGCATTGGGCACTTCAGATGTAATAGTAAAGGAGAAAGGGTTTGTCTCTCAAACTGGCACAATCTTCCCAGCTGTCTTACCTATTGTATGCCTAAAGACGATGATACTTATGGACATTTCGTTTGCGCCACAAATGGATCACGGATTTGTCGCAAGAACTGGCACAGCCTACCAGATTGTAAAACGTATTGTGAACCTCATCGCGATACGGTAAATGGTTATTATAATTGCAATACTGCTGGGAAGAAAGTATGTCTCCCTGGTTGGTATGGTGATAACTGCACCATCTTTTGTCAGCCTCGCAACAGCGATCTTAATGGACATTACAACTGTAGTGAGACGGGAAATAAAGTTTGCCTTCAACACTGGTATGGACCAAGATGTGATACATATTGTTTGCCTAGTGGTAATAATGCTTCTGGGATAATTCATTGTAGCGATAATGGAGAGAAAACTTGTGCTCCGGACTATTATGGCAAAAACTGCACCGTGTTCTGTCTCGTTCTTGACAAATTTGCTTCCAATTACATTTGTGACAATAGGACTGGTGCTAGGGTCTGTCGTAGTGGTTTTTCTGGCATCTTTTGTAACATTTCGCTTAGCCTCACGTCATCTGCCATCCCAGTTACGGAAACGATTGTGTTTCCTATAGAATCAAGTACGGATATTTTCCAGTCTTTGTCAACAGTGGCCTCGCCGAGTATCTGGACACAACACATTACATCAACGGTAGAAACAGGAGCAAGTCCAACTTACACAAGCCCTGTTTCTTCAGCTACAATGATAACATATTCTTCATCCATCTCAACGACTTTATTTTCTCAATTTTCTACGCTGCGTAGTACAAATACTTTTTCAAGTAAGAGCTATATAAACACAAAACAGTATTCTAAAATGCTGAGTTCTGTGATATCTTCAAGCTACGCGAACAGTGTTCGTACAACTCTTTCAAGTAGATCTTCGTACCTAACGATAAAGACGTCTTTAGCAACGCATTCTGCATCAACAGCAATTAACGAGCTAGAGTCAACCCAGCTCTCAAAAGTATTAACGCCAAGTCTGACATCTAGCTCTGTGGCCAAGCATATCCAAACATCTAGCTCTGTGGCAAAGCATATCTCAACATCTAGCTCTGTGGCAAAGCATATCTCAACATCTAGCTCTGTAACAAAGCATATCCAAACATCTAGCTCTGTAACAAAGCATATCCAAACATCTAGCTCTGTAACAAAGCATATCCAAACATCTATAGGGAAAATACCATTGCATTCAACAGGTCGTTCAAAAGCCTCAGTTTACTCGTATGAAACACGCAAGGTAGTAATTTCAGTCACTGCATCTAGTACCAAGCTTTCACGCGGGACAGTTTCTAAATCGAGTGTCTTGCCAACCAATGGAACAGCCGTGCCATCTATCAGACCAACGGACACAAACACTTCTGGGAGCAATCAGCAATCTAGGAGAGTTGATTGGCTCACAGAGACAAAAGAAGGAAAAACAGTTCTCTTCGGCTCATTGTTTGCCTTCTTTCTGTTGCTTGCTGTGGTTGTTGCTGTTGTGATGTTTGTAAGGTATGTGTCAATTTAAGTGTAAGTATTGCTTTAATAAAAATCCCTGCCCCAACCATTCCAATGTATTGTGTAACCTTTTATCACATCCTCTACCGAGATTTTTTTAGGATCGCCCCTAGAGAATCGATACTCTATGAGCTCAACCCAGAATCTAAACATAAATACAGACAGCAACGTTTAATATCTATTCCAAGTTGAAAACTTTACTCTTCACCGTCCCATCTTCAGGCTGTCTTGCAATCTTGCAATCTTGCAATCTCGTGCGAGGAAGAATCTTTACCAACACGAAGTTTTTATACTCAAAGCCAATATATACTTGCATGCTTGTCACAAATGCCCAAAGGGGCACAAAAAAGGCGGACCCTGTAACATATTAATCGCTATTAAATTTCATTTAACCAAGGTTAATTGTTATTTATGTATTCTACATGAGGTATCTGCGTAACATAACAATAAGAATAAATCAATTATAATGCTAGTGCCAATATTTTTATTATTCCAGCTTAAATTAAACCTGATCCAGAACCTGATTCAGGCACTTGAAAAACGCTATCGTAAAGTTGAATGCTCTTACGCAACCGGCATGCTTTGTAAATATCTTACTGCATGAAAATACAAAACAAAATCAATTTCCCAAGACAACTGCCGCTAAGCATGCCGGTTGCGCAAGAGCCTTTAACCATAAGACGGCGTTTTTCGAGTGCCTGGATCAAGCTTTGACGTCAGAGTGTTATGTATTATGGGATTGCGACTCAGGCAAACTGCGAAGAGTCGTCACTGGCTTAACTTCTTGTTAAACTCTTGGAGTGCGGCTCGAAGGCCTCGAAGGAGTACAAGTCTGCCCATAGTTGCGTGAGGCAAAAGTGTTAGCTACTACGCGGCAGAAGCGATTGATAGTCATTTTTATAACCATAATTTGCTCTTATCTTTTAATCCATTTTGATTTTTATGTTTTCCCTTTTTGAGGTCGCCAAAGGGGGTTGCTGTTAAGAAAAATGTTGATGATTTCGACAAATTTGACAGTTCAATCGACGAAGAAAAAGTATTTGACAAGTAAGTTCAGTGTAATTTATAATTTGTAGACACGTATATATGCCTTCTGTACTCTGATGTAAACCTTTAATTGTTTTAGGAAATAGTAAAAATATGATATGTATTGGGGTATTTTCCAAACCTACAAGATAAAGGCCAGCTTGGAGCTGTAATGGTTTAAGTTTGCAACCTTTTTTTATATGGATTGCTATTAGTAAATGTAAACGTTTTTTGCGGGACAAAATTTAAAAACGGCTTCAGAAAAGCAACTTTTAAGACATGCATTTCAAAACAAGCATAATATTTTTAGTTATTTGTACTATTTAGATTGATTTCTTTTAAAAGCAAGGTATATATCGAATTGAAATAAGATAACAAACAAAAACTAGCATTGTTGTTCGACAATTTCCTGGTGCTGGATCTTGGTTGGAAGTTGATTTCACGTTATCACGAATATTCAGCACATGATTATTCATAAATAATGCATCGATAGTATGATGTACAAATCATAGGTTTATTTTCATAGGATCTTTCTTATTTTCTCTGTAGCGAAGAAAAATCATATTTCAACCCATTATATAAAATTCCAATTGATGTTCTGACTGGCCAAAAGAAAAAAAAGAAAGAAAAACTGGCAAAGTTTTATCAAAAGAAAGACCCTTCAGATAACATTGTCGAGAATGAAGGTAATGGGCACATCAACATGACGTATGAAGAAGATGCTGACAATGTGGTTATAAATCCACTGTATGCAGTCCGAGGGCAATTGGTGTCAAATGAAACCGAGTTTTAATATGTCATGGTTCTGAGGGCGTGTTTCGTTGTCGTTATGTATTGGATAGCTAGCTTTTGAATATCCTTGAGCGGTATGAAGGTTATTGTTTCTGCAGAACATTAACTGAACTATCGTCCAGAATTTTCTGAAAATATTGCACTGAATTTAGGCGAGATAAGAGCAGAGACCAAGGAAGCGAGGGTTAGGGGGTTGGACCCTAAAGAAATACCATGAAAACCTGCTCTTTTTCTTTAGCATGCTTGAAACTTTTAAGCCCATCCGCCTCAATCTGTAATATACTTCTACCCAGCCCCTGGTAGAAGTATCGGTAGGGTTATTGAAACACTAGCTATACATACGAACGCAACTCTTTTGGAATCAGTCTGGAAAAATGTTAAAAGTGTAGTCTGGAGAAAGGTACGTTAAAATCAAATAAGAAATCGATTGTTTTCGTAACTATGCTTGGTCTTATTTTAAGATGTGTATACCATAGGTAGAATAGTTTATTTTGACTGTGTGAATCGAACCTATTGTTAAGGTCACGCATGACGTAACTCCAGAGGTCTTCAGTGATCATGATAATGGGCCTTGATAATACTGTTTAAATTTATTCAAATTATGCAAATAAATAAATAAATTCAAATAAATTATTCAAATTTTTGGTAATGCTTCATCATTTGAAATGATTGCTAGGACGTGTGCTAGTTTGCATTGAAGTGGACTTTTCGATGAAAATCGGGAGTTTTAAGTACCTACGCTGTCTAGTTCAATTGCTGTCTAGCTTAGATTTTGTTGCAAGTAATCTTAGATATCATTAGCTAGATTTCTTTGAATTTTTTATTGATTATCTAGTTTCGCATGCCAGTGACGTAGCCAAAGGGAGCAAGAGACACCTCATAATCTTTTCTATATCAGATGAGATTGGTATATTGGAAAACCTGCTCGAAGCATCATCGTCGTTATCTACTCATTGGATAGTTAGTTTTTATGCAACTATTGTTGCTGTTTGAAGGGTGTATTACCTCAACAAGAGTTATCTATTATGTTCTTTAGCTCTCCAGAGTTGTAGTCCTGGCCATGCCGTTTCAGGAAAATGAAAATTTTTGACGACATTGTATAGGGTTAGTAAACAGATCCGTTACAACCCCGTACCTGTGGGCTGGACCCATATTTCATTTATTATTGATTTTTCGCGCATTCTTTAGTATTTAGTGTTAGTAAATATTTTGCACATTGACCTAGGAATTTTGTATCTTTGTAATTACAAACATGACGATGTTAAAGCCTTTTTAGCTGCTGATCGTTTAATACTTTAATAAGGCATTGATTGTCATTAATTGGTCAAGGAGAGGGAAAGTCAACGTACTCACTGCAACCTTGCACCAATCTAGTTTCATTTCAGTTCGACTCATTTATTTTTAAAATAACAAAAAACAAGATTTGCTTTACAACCTATCTCATTAGTATAATAGTTATGAAAAAATACAACATATAACATTACATAAAATGCATACTAATACTTAAGAACAATGTGAGGGAAAGGGAAGGAGAAAGAGTAAGTGAGAAGTGAGATCAGACGTATTTCTTAAAGTAGGGGTTCCCTCAACCGGCAAGCTATTCAAGGAGAAAAAAACCCCAAGGAACCGCGGAAGTGGGGACTGAGGGGGCTATAGCCATTCCCTCAATAATTTCCAAAATGTACTTAAAAACACACTAAAAGTCGCCCTGCTCTCGATGTTTAGTCCCCCAAAAACGTTTTAGCCCCCTTAGTCAGTAATATACTCCGTGGTCTTTGGCACCCCCTGTCTAATTGACTTACCTAAATGTTACCTGAAATTGGTACAGGAACATACACACAGTACATTACAAGTTTTGGTCTATAGAATAGGGTAGTTCTTTGTTGCAAATCTGAGTTCCATATATGATGTGATTATCTGGCAGCTGCTATAATAGAAGCACCTGTTATATATACAATGCTTAATAGTTCTATACACCATATAAACTATGTAAACACCAAGATCCGTACAGTTCTGCCTATACGACATTGAGCATTTTATACCAGACCTGTAAAAAAGTAATTCTCATTATTGTATAGTATATTAAATAATATCAAGAATACTAGGAGTGTAATTATAACATAACAGATACATCATCACCTTAGTTTAAAAATAAATCTTACATAATTTTTAGGAGTTTTTAAATTCAACTGGGATTTCATTCCAAAGTTTTCCTTTTTTAGTTTTCATTGGCAGTATCAAAATTTTTTACCTTGCTCCTTAATAGCACCTTGTTTCTTAATTACTCCTTTTAATGCATCGTTTATTTGGATTTTTTCGTTGTAAATATCTGGATTTTTTAAAAACCAATCTTGTAAATATGCCTATGTGTGCCAATTTGTATGTAGCTGAACGTAGATCATTTTGATTGACTTTAGCGTTCTTATTTACAATTAAATGATTTGGAATGACTTGCTTTTCGAGAGCTGTTAATCTGTAGGGAAGTTTGTAGTTAGGTTGTCTGTATGTGGATTATCAACGGGACCTAGAACCATGCTTAGTCCCTTCTCCCATTTTAGCATTGCTGAAATTGTTAGGTGTAAAATTGGTTTTATGCCTGTCAGTCAACATTCTGACCAGCTGAGATTTCCCCAAAACAAACCAGCAACGTCTGGACAGCGTTGGGGAAAATCTGAACGTTTACGAGCCGACTCCTTCGTTGGGTGCCAAAGCAATAACGGATTGAAATTGAGATCGCAGACTCCTTTCGTTATGGTTCTTCAGCTGGAGTCGAAAATTTACTCTAGCTGAAAAATAAAAAATTACTAGCATTTGCGATACAATTTTTAAGAGATTTCACCCGGCAAAATATTACGATAAAAAAACTAAGGATCATAGGAACAACGCAACCCATGATTTATTTCAACGAGAAAGGATTTTTCCACCAACCCTGATAAAGTGGGTATTGTCCCAGTAACTAACTTGCCCGCTGCTTGGCCGTTGCAGTCTCCAGGGGGGTACTCCCATTAAGGGCTGAAAAGGGGGGTCCACTCGATATGAGGATCTTACCAAATGACTACCAAATGGCCCAGTTTCGACAATAACGACGGCTTAATTTAGCTTGCGATTTATCATAGACAATGAACAAGGTCAAGACAGCGAAGAAATTTGTCAAAGAAGGACCAGGCGCGTACAAAGAAATGAATGCTGCCATTGACGTAATTTCTGTTCTTGTGCTACCATTTGAGGGTTATTGTCGAAAAACACTACCATTTGAGGGTGACTGTTTATTATTATAGCTTTGGCCCTCATTGACTCTGACTGGACCCCCCCTGTAAGGCCATAACGGGAGTAGCCCCCGGGTTGCAGTCAAAAGAGGTTGCAAGAATATGAGAATACCAGTACTATTTCATAGCGATCTACTAGATCACTTGAAATACTCCTTTACTGACGTGATGAGGATCGTACTGTAAAGCGAAATCAGTTACCATACATCCTCTGAAGAACACCGCAGCTATTATTACAAAATCCAACTTTGATGCGGCGTTTAACAGATAGTGGCATTTATCAGAAGGCGTCGTTAAATACAAAATGAAAAGTGTGTCAAATGAAAAATGATAAGAAAAATGCGACGAAAAAGAGAATAACAAACTTAAACACTGTTTTCTATTCCCAAAAACATGTTATCAAGATTTTGTGAAAATTGTTTGAAGGTTCACAAAAAATCATCAGGTTTTGGAAGAGTATAAATTTCAATGTCACTGTCCCGTCAGAGTTCTCGTCTGTGACATGAAAACTTCCATAGCTTTCAAATAGTTAGCATATAAACTTTTCGCTCTTTCTTGTTTGTTCTGTTTCCTAATGAACGCCATTTTTTCAAGATGCGGCCTTTGAAGAAGGGCGGTGTTAATCAGAGAGCGGCGTTAATCAGAGGGCGGCGTTTATCAGAGGACAGCGTTCAGTAGCGGAAATACGGTCTTTACTGAATTTGCTCTTCTACTCCTCCGTAGCAACGGATCCGAGGATGACACGGAATCCTTTTATTCATCACCATGTTTAATGCCTTTTTCATTTGAAGACTACACTGAAAACTATACTGAAACTTTCAAATGAAAACTACACTGAAACTTTCAATATAAACTGCACTGAAACTGTTTTATGAAAAAACTTCTATCATTCACCATTTCTCAATAAATGCTTTATTTCATGAGATTAAATTAGCGTCCACCATTACCACAACTTTCAAATTAAATTCAGTAACCAATCTCATCTATCGACAGGATGAAGTTTTTCAACTGATACATTCTTTTCACTATCTGATACATACTGGCACATGATCCGGTGAATGGATAATGTAGCTGTTAATAATCTTAGCATTCTTTAAACTGCAAAAAGGCAAATATTATGGAGATTAGATTTTGTTTAATTCTTTTGAAGACAATTCAACGAAATAGTATTAGACCCATTTATTCCAATTTTGAATATTTTTGTTGTTTCGTCTAACTTCACCTTGATGTTTTTGAATAGGTGTTTTTTTAAAGCTAAAATTTTTCCCAGTTTTTACTCAAGAACAGTCTTTTTTAAGGCTCAGCGATAATTTGAGTAAATGTGGTACAAATGATCTTTGGTCAACATTCAAAATTTTATGAAGATACACGTCATATCAACTGAAATTTCTAAACACTAGTTGCTTAATCGAAAAAAGAGAGCATGCTTGTTCTTATAATCTTCATTTCTTCTTTGTCGGGGAATTACTGTACAACTGCGATGAAAAGCTACCACAAATAAGTGTCATCTCATCAAGCTTGCGTTTGTGCAGATATAAAAAATCTATCAAAAAGGGAAGAGATTGATGCAGACATGAATGCGCCCACTTTCACACATTCGGGAGATTTCACTAAATAACTAATTGTATTGTCAGTTGATTTTAGAGAAATTGAGAGAGAAGTGCCATACTCAACACACCTGCATCAGATCCCTCTCTGGGAATGACTGCGATCAAAATCTGAAGAGATTTCATAGTCAAGGATATATTGTCAGACTAGGACTCGTGGATTAGCCATTTTGAAAAACATTTTGCTTTGATGGCTGGTGCATCCAGAGCCTGTCAGTTTCTGCTACTGTAAGTTTTATCGTATTTACTTCGTTTCTCGTTTTCACATACAGCGCTCAAAGCATAGCTTTTCTTGTTTATTTGTTCAGCGAGCGTATAAAAGCCTTAAACACTCTTGTCTTGAGAAAATGACTGTTTTTTATTTCATGCACTATGATAGATGGCCGGTTTTGGAATTATAATCGCAAAGCGTGCCGGTTGCGCAAGAGCCTTTAAACGAGTAATGTTAATTCCTTGCGGCCAACATAACCCTGTCAGTAGAGAGTTTTCAGAAAATTAACTCATTCAGCTGCATGATGGAGTTTATGAATCAAACGCTTTGCCAGTAAAAGCACAGTGTTTTGTTACGAACGATATTTGATTAAGTTCACTTGTTTCATTATGAATACCAGAATAAAAAAGTAGTTGGAGCACAAAGTAATTGGAGCTAGTCGAGCTAAGCATTACTCTCCCCCCTTCCATATTATGGGACTCTTCAGTTATCAAATACCCTTGATATTGCTATTGAAACAAAGATTGAGCTGAGGGATTAAGATTAAATTGCTGATACTAACGATGATGATTTGAGCATAACCTCTTTGTGAAATCCGAAGTAGCCATTGCCATAGGCTGTGAGTATTGTAATATTGCTCGTTTTTGTTCATTATTCCGAAAGATGGCCTAAATAGTATCTCCTCTGTTGTGTATGGTTCTCAGAATGATATTGTGGCTGCTGCTTCCAAAGTTGCAAAGACAGAAAAATAAGGTAACTGCTTTGTCTCGTTCTCAAGCATTCAGGATCAGCTGACGACAAACAGAGGCTAAGGTATTCCAGCACATTCAAGAAGTACCTAGCAGTAACGAAAATTTGACATACCCTTCTATTTTAGATCTGGTATGCTATGCTGGGCTCTTTATACCTTAAAAGGCTAGATTTACAACTGGTTTTACCCATTATTCTTTCCTTGTTATGACCCTGTTATGTACAAATTTAACCAATTTTGCTATTTTCGTGCGTTTTTTGTCTGTTTTGTCAAATCAGTCTGGAAGCTTTCAAGTGCTAAAAATTAAGCAATTTTACTCATGTGGTTTGACCTTTGGTGAAACATTTACATGTTTCCTTTTTTAATAGATACTTCTCAACACCTTTTTTATGATCTTCCTGGACAACTATCTCATGCTGGACGACAAGCAATCAGTGGTAATTGTATTATGCTAGGGTTTTGGGATAGACGTCTGCAAGGCTTTTCTCATGTATAAGGCATATT